TGGAGCGGGGTGGGAATGGGGATTTTGCAGTATCTTTTCCCTGGAGCAGGGTGGAAATGGGGATTTTGCAGTATCCTTCCCTTGCCACGCCCACCATGCCCACCAAGCCACGCCCACAGAACCGGTAGTAAAAAACTTTGGATTTCACCACTGCCTTACATGATTTCGTTTACCATGATTTATGCATCTTTAAGGCCTAAAACTGTAGCTTCGATACCATGGTGACTGGTTTCTACCAAGCTACAACTGACCAAACCTCATTATGACTTAGTGTGATATGTGAACCCGATCTAAGAGCCAGGCACAGAGAATCATCCAGAAATGAATCTGTAGCTTCCTCTTGAGATCTTCCTGTTCCCAAATCACAATGGGATAAGAAGAAGTTTTAAGGCAATGTATGAACCAGTGGTGGGTTTCAATTTTTTTTACTACGGGTTCTGTGGGTGTGGCTTGGTGGGCGTGGTGTGGCTTGGTGGGCGTGGCTTGGTGGGGTGGCAGGGGAAGGATACTTTAAAATCTCAATTTCCTCCCGATTAACTGGGACTCGGGAGGCAGAGAATAGATGGGGACGGAGCAGTGGTGGGTTCCTCCCGGTTCGGTCCGGTTCGGCCGAGCCGGTAGCGGTGATGATATGACGTTACCAAACCGGTTCTCCCTCCCACCCCCCACGTTATTCTTACCTTTTATTTGGCCCCGCCCCTAATCTATTGCTGCTTCCTGAGTCCCAGCTGATGACCAGAGGGAAAAAAACTGTTTAAACTCTTGCCGCGGGGCTTCAAAGGGCCGTCCTACAGCTGATCAGTGTTAAAAGCAAACAAATGAGTCGGGTCGTAAGTGCAAGGACTGGTCGTAAGTGCGAGGACCTTCCAGAAATGACCGACCAGCTAGCCACGCCCACCTAGTCACATGACCTCCAAGCCACACCCACAAAATAAGCCACGCCCACAGAACCAGTAGTAAAAAAATGTAGAACCCACCCCTGGGACGGAGCCAGTCAGAATTTTTACTACCGGTTCTCCGAACTACTCAAAATTTCTGCTATCGGTTCTCCAGAACTGGTCAGAACCTGCTGAATACCACCTCTGATATGAACCCAATTCTAATCTCCAATGGAAATCTATATATTTCTCGCATGTTTGTGATTTCTGACACACTCTGACAACTTCCCAAAAGCAAAGAAATCTGACAGGAAGTTGGAGGTCACATCACTCCCACTAGTTTTGTTGTGTTTTTTTTTTTTTTACTGCCAGTGGTCATTCTATTACCTGTTTAAGTAAGTAAATACTGACTTAATTATTGAAATTCCTTTGCCACTGGAATTATTTTTCTATTTATGATACACATACTCTTCTTAGATCACAGACCGTCAGCACTGGTGTGACAAATATAGTCGGTGTAAAATTTAACATTCCGTTTGGTCACATCAGATTGCACCTTCTTTCTCTTAAAGGATGAGCCAAGAGGTCACAAGATTTATTTTTATTATTTATTATTTTATTAGTTTGATTTATATGCCGCCCTTTTCCGGAGACTCAGGGTGGCTTACAATACTTTTAAGCAATAGCCTTCATACTTTTGTATATATCTGCTTAATAGGGCTTTTTGCCCTCCCCCAAGCGGTGTTCTATTTTATACAAAGTCAGCTTATTGCCCCCACAAACCGGGTCCTCATTTTACCTACCTCGGAAGGATGGAAGGCTGAGTCAACCTTGAGCCTGGTGTGATTTGAACTCGCAGTAATTGCAGGCAGCTGGCAGCTACATACTACTTTAACAGTAGTTTAGTCCACTGCACCACCAGGCTCCTTATTGCCTAGAAGATTGCCTAGAAGCTTAGAAAAACACGACAATATTTGCACACCTTACAAACAGAGAAACACAGAAAACTGACTACGGAAAAAAGATTATCGAGTCTGCCCTTTAGCTTATTTTGGGTTTTTTTTGTTTTGTTTTGTTTTTAATTATCTGTAATTCTACGCACCAGAATGCAGGAACCTAGAATAATGGATTTAATTGAATGTTAGAAAAACATTCACATAAATATGAAAAATACTAATAATAAGATGTTTTTACATTTTACACTTCTTCATCTTACTCTTGTTCTACTGCACGAACTGCACTTTTTAATTTTAGAATGTGTGGCCTCTGAGCTTTGTCGTTTGCTTATATTATAATGTTATACTAATTCATAACAATGCCTTCTGGGTTGCACTTCGTTGTCTTTAAATCCCTACACAGCCTATTTGAAAGATCGTCTTTTCCCAATTACATTTACCCATCCCACCAGAGCAGGGAGGCTGGGAATAACAATAGCACTTAGACTTACGGAATGGAATGGAATGGAATGGAATAGAATAGAAGAATAGAAGAATAGAATAGAATAGAATAGAATAGAATAGAATAGAATAGAATAGAATAGAATAGAATAGAATAGAATTTTTTTCTATTCTAAGTGTGATTGGACACACAAGGAATTTGTCTTTGGTGCATACGCTCTCAGTGTACATAAGAGAAAAGAGACATTCATCAAGAATCATAAGATACAACACTTAATGATAGTCATAGGTTACAAATAAGCAATCAGGAAACAATATCAATATAAATCGTAAGGATGCAAGCAACAAGGTTACAGTCATGCAGTCATAAGTGGGAGGAGATGGGCCATAGGAACGATGAGAAGACTAATAGTAATAGTAATGCAGACTTAGTGAATAGTTTGACAGTGTTGAGGGAATTATTTGGTTAGCAGAGTGATGGCATTCAGGAAAAAAACTGTTCTTGTGTCTAGTTGTTTTGGTGTGCAGTGCTCTATAGCGTCTTTTTGAGGGTAGGAGTTGAAACAATTTATGCCCAGGATGCGAGGGGTCTGTAAATATTTTCACAGCCCTCTTGCTTCACAGTGCTTTTACAGCCTTTTCTAAGTGGTTTACAGAGTCAGCAGCATATTTTTTCCCCCAACAATCTGAGTCTTCATTTTATCCACCTCAGAAGGATGGAAGGCTGAGTCAACCTTGAGCCTGGTGGTGGTGGTGGTGGTGTTTTCCAAACAAAGGCTGTTAATTAACTTTCTTAACAGCCTACAAGAATCCAAAGAATAAATAATCTTAATCTTACTATGGTTGGCAGAAAGCCCAGAAGCAATTGGCAAAGAACTAAGATCAAGGCACGAAGGAGAGTGAACGAAGTTGTTTCCTGCAAATTGCTTCAGTCGGCGTTCTTCCTTAAATAGGCTAAGGGAGTGGCCAATTAGCCCCAAGCCTTACTCTCAAGGAGACTCCCTCCTGAGGAGCCACTCCTGCCTTTTGGCAGCTCCACGTGCCCGTGCATCGAGAAGAGACTCCTCCTCTTCTTCCTCTTCACTTATGGGAGCTTCTGGAGGCCCTGGCTGAATCCCTGCCTCTGGCGCCACATCTTCTCCAGCCTCCTCATTGTCCGACTCGAGTGCCAGCTGCACAGGCTGCTGGCGCAGCACCACACCAGTTTCCTCGCTGTCGGAATCAGCCACCAGACGCACAGGCCGCGTACGGGCCACAACACTCTGTGGTGGCTCCCTCCCTGTAATCATACCTGCAGAAATAAAATTGGCCCCCACTCTTTTGAAAGGCTCCAAAGACATGGTCTTGGCAGCAGGGTGATAATGGAGCCCATCAAGTGGTGGTTTGATTGTTGTCACCAGGGGGATGAAGGCTTATTGGGTTTTGTATTTGGGGTTTTGTTTCTGTAAGCCTCCGGGAATCACCATGACTGAGTTGATTGGCCATATACAGGTAGTCCTCAATTTACGACCGTAATTGAGCCCAACATTTATGTTGTTAAGTGAGAAATTTGTTAAGTTGAGTTTTGCCCCAATTTTACGACTCTCCTTGCCACATTTGTGAAGGGAATCATCGCAGTTCTTGAATGAGAAACACGGTTGTTAAGCGAATCTGCTTTCCCCATTGACTTTGCTGGTCAGAAGGTCGCAAAAGGGGATCATGTAACTCTGGGACATTGCAGCCCTCATAAAGGTGAGTCAGTTGTCAAGCGTCCAAATGTAAAGCACGTGACCATGCTTTCCCACCATAAGTGTGAAAAATGGTCATGAGTCACTTTTTTCAGTGCTGTCATAATAAATGGTCACTAAATGAACCGTTGTAAGTCGAGGACTAGCTGTAAAGGTTCTTAATAAATAATAAGTCTGAATATTCAGGCACATCCTCTCATTTATAGCTTTGTTATCTCATTACAATGCTCCTTAACAAATATTGACTCTCTCTCTCCCTCACCCTCTCCCTCTCCCTCTCCCTCTCTTTCCTACTCTTTCTCCCTCCCTCTCTCTCTCTCCCTCTCCCTCTTCCTTTCTTTCTTTCTCTCTCTCCCTCCCTCTCCCTCTCTCTCTCCCTCTCTCTCTCCCTATCCCTTTCTCTTCTCTCTCTCTCTCCCTCCTTCCCTCTCCCTCTCCCTCTCCCTCTCTTTCCTTCTCTTTCTCCCTCCCTCTCCCTCTTCCTTTCTTTCTTTCTCTCTCTCCCTCTCCCTCTCTCTCCCTATCCCTTTCTCTTCTCTCTCTCTCTCCCTCCCTCCCTCTCCCTTTATTTCCTTCTCCCTCTCCCTCTCCCTCAACCTCTCCCTCTTCCTCTTCCTTTCTTTCTCTCTCTCCCTCCCTCTCCCTCTCTCTCTCTTCCCTCTTCCTTTCTTTCTCTCTCTCCCTCCCTCTCCCTCTCTCTCTCCCTCTCCCTTTTTCTTCTCTCCCTCCCTCCCTCTCCCTTTCTTTCCTTCTCTCTCTCCCTCTCCCTCTCCCTTTCTTTCCTCTCTCTCCCTCCCTCTCTCTCCCTCCCTCCCTCTTCCTCTCCCTCTCCCTTTTCCTTCTCTCCCTCCCTCTCCCTCTCCCTCTCTTTTTCTTTCCTTTCTCTCTCTCCCTCCCTCTCTCTCTCCCTCTCCCTTTTCCTTCCCTCCCTCCCTCTCTCCCTCTCCCTCTCTTTCCTTCTCTCTCCCTCTCTCTCTCCCTCTCTTTCTTTCCCACAGCCATATAATAAATGAACTGATAGAAACCGAACGTGCTTACGTGGAGGAACTTCAGAGCATAATTGAGGTACGTTGAGTGTCTTTCGAGACTTGAGCGTTGAAGCTGAAGTCAAAAGCAGCACAGAGGTTTTTGCCTTACTCCTCCTCAGAAGTGTCAGTAAAACTATCTGATTTTATTCGTGAAAGTATGTGGACCTACATACTTGCTTTTTTAAAGTGGCACCTCAATTTTCATGCATTTATCCTCTCATCTATTACATGATTCTTTGCTTTTGCAAAAGTTCAAATCCCAAACTGCCCCTATGTGGTTAGGAGAACCTCTGCTTCAGAACTTTAAAACAAACGTGTTAAATAAATGTATTTATTTATGGAATCGACGCTTCTGGTGCCCTAGTTTAAATGACTGAATTCTGAGAGCTGAAGTCCACACATCTGAAAATTGCTGACGTTAAAAAAGACTGACCTAGGCAATGTCTGGAATTCAAAGCCAGTAGGTTGATAGGGAATACACGATGAAAAATGAGAAAACCAGGGAAATTTCTTTATATTATGAAATGAGTAGAGGTGGTGGAATTCACATCTTTGAGTTGCAAAATCTGGATTGCGTTGGCGCAGAATTTATCTACTTTGAGTTCAAAAGGAAGGTCCAGATTTAACATTTCTTAAGCAATCTTAGAATAGAAAAACTGACTGAAGGGGCGGGAAGAAGATACTTCTCTGCTTTTGATATTTTACTCATTACTCATAGTTTTGTTCCCCTCTCACTGTTCTCTTTCTTTCTCTTAAATAGGGCTATGCATCAGAAATGGACAACCCTGATTTAATTCACTTGATCCCAGCTGTAGTTTTGAACAAGAAAGAAGTTCTTTTTGGAAACCTCTCAGAAATCTGTGAATTTCACAACAGGTTTGTGGTGGGACTCCGAATACAGCTGTAAAGTGTTTCTTTGAAGGACGTGTCTTCTAGAGGCCATAAAACAGGGGTGTCAAACTCGATCTCATTGAGGGCCGCATCAGGGTTGTGTTTGACCTCGGATGTGTGTGTGTGGCCAGGGTGGGCATGGCGAGCTCGATGTCACTCATGTGGGGGCACCTATGGTTGCCCGAGCACTCTGCCAGCAAAAACGGGCTCCCAAGCTTCATTTTTGGCTGCAACAGCCTCCTGCAACCCTCTGCCAGCAAAAACAGAGCTCAGGAAGGCCATGTGCGGCCCTCCCAAGCTCCGTTTTCACTGACAGAGGTACCACAGGCTGGTCCTTTATGTTTCAGGGGTGGCCCGTGGGTCAGATCTAAGCACCCCGCAGGCCGAATCTGGCCCCCGGGCTCTGAGTTTGACACCCCTGCCATAAAACATCAGTCCTAAATAACTACACTGACTACAATCCATGGACTGCAACAACTGGCCACCTGCAATATTTTTAATATAAGGAAATAATATATCTGGATATTTTAAAGCTCACATGGATTGTATGTAACATCTATTACATACGGTCATTATGACTTTCAAACTTCAGTTTTTAGGTTCCCTTCTGCTACCATATAGACGTGAGGGTCATCCAACAAAGCTTTTTTGCACAGAACTAAATTTCGCCAGATAATTTTTGTGAGAGGTCCAGACAAGCTGTGTTTTCCTTTACAACTGAATAAAATATAAAATAATACATCATTTTACAAACAATGTGCACATCCACGACTAAATTTCTGGGCCTGCTGCCAACAATGTACCGGAGGTGAAATGCTCCTGGTTCGGACCAGATCACTCGATCCGGTAGCGATGGTGGCGGGTGGTTCGGAGAACCGGTAGCAAAAATCCCTGTGCCCTCCCCACATGTCCAGCTGAGCCGCGCAATCATCAGAGGCTGATTTTTTTTACTTTTAAAAGCATTTTTTCTATTTTAAAATGCTTTTAAAAGTTTTTTTTAAAAAAGCCTCTGATGATTGCGCAGCTCAGCTGGGATCGTCAGAGGCTTTTCAAAGCATTTTTTTCTGCAACCCCTTTGGCCGAAGAGGTTGTAGTAAAAAAAATGCCTTTAAAAGCCTCTGGTGATCCCAGCTGACTTGCCTGATCGTCAGAAGCTTCTAAAAGCATTTTTTTCTGCAACCTCTTAAGGTTGTAGAAAAAATGCTTTTAAAAGTAAAAAAAAAAAGTTGACCACGCCCACCCAGACACCTTACCCACCACCACCAAGCCACGCCCACAGAACCAGTAGTAACAAAAATTATTGAAATTATACTCCGCAGACCTGCTAGGAGACCTTGTAGCTTAAATTCAGGGGAAAACCTCACCTGAAAAGCCACTTTTAAACTTTTGCTTTCATTTTGTGTTCCATTCCAGAATCTTCCTCAAAGAGCTGGAAAACTGCATAGAAAAACCTGAGCTTTTGGGTCGGTGCTTTTTAAAAAGAGTAAGTGAATCGCAGTGTTTCTTTTAATCTGGTTTCTTGACGGTGTTCTGACTCCTTCCTTTTGGGCTTTCAGCAGGCAGCCAAATGAGATGTCATGTGAGGTTAAAAAACTTGCTTGGGCAGTTAACAAATAACCAAAGACATTAAAAAAATCACCTTTTTTTTCTTCCAGTTAGTTGGCAGGACAATGCTAGAGTTTTTCATTGCCCCACATCTTTCCATTTCCATCTTTCATTCTCTCCCCCCCCCCCATGCCTTTTCTTACTGCACAACTTGAGAAACAAAAACAAGTAGTCCTTGATTTATGACCGATTGCTTAGTGACCGTTCAAACTTATGATGCACCCAGAAAAATGGGACTTACAACCCAGATTAAAACAACCTCAATGTTTGGGCCATCCCCACAGTCATGGGAGCTTAACATTTGGGCTGCATTTACAACCATTTGCAATATCTTGCAATCATAATTGGTGGTGCAGTGATTAGCATGCAGTGTAGTACAGGCTACTTCTGCCAATGGCCTGCAATTTGGCAGTTCGAATCTCACCAGGCTCAAGGTTGACTCAGCCTTCCATCCTTCTGAGGTCGTTAAACAGGAAGCTCCATGTGGTCAGCTGCACCAGGAACTCAGACCCATGTGGTCCTTTTCATCAATAAACCATCTTTCCAATTAGTCTCTATGTTTCCGGTGTCTTTCTTCCCTCTTGGAACTGAACCAGATGGTTCTTCATAAACAGTCCTTCGGCCTTATCTCCAACCTTTGTCTTCTTTGGCACCCTGCCAAAGGCTTTTCTTGGCAAAAGTTCAGAAGCAAGAGACTCTGACAAGGAACAAATGTAGCAACATTGCTTCCCAAGAGACATTGCTGCTCTTTTAAGCCTTCTGGGAGGGGCCAATCATCTCTGGGCCTTACTCCCGAGTCGTCCTTTTTGCTTTAGCTGCTCTTGCCTTCTGGCAGCTCTTCTCATGCGTGGACTAGGAACAGGCTCCTTCTGTTCCTCTGTCTGTCTGCTGTCAGCCTCTGGAGGCTCCGGAGTCCGCACATCGCTCCCAGATGGCCCTGGCCCCATCTCTGCCTCCGATGCAGAGCCCTCATCCGGGCCTTCCCCTGATTCTAGGACTGGCCCATTGTCCTCCCCAGCCTCCTCACTGTCCGACTCCACTGCCAGCTCTGCAGACTGCTGGCAGACCACAACAGATGGATATTTCTTCCAGCACTCCCTTGCCTCCCCGTTGGCTGGGTATTACAAGGTTTACAACCTATGCGAGATGCCTAATAGCCCCACATGAATCTCCATCCCTGTTTATACCTCCCACTACCATGCTTTAAGCGCCCCTTCCCCTTATTCATTTATTCATTCCCTTTTTTAGCATAGCCCTCTGATGAACTTTTGGCTACTGTAACACCTTTTGACCACAAGTCTAGCTTTGGTTGCTTTGGCTAGAACTTCCTGTCAACTATTTGTACAAACCTAAGAAAATAAGGTTACCAGATAATGCTCCTACTCTGTATACCTTTTTCTATAAGCTACTGTGGTTAAGCTTTGCACGAACTACAAAAGTTTCCTGTCAATTTATCATTTCACCCTTTCCTTTGTACGTTCAGCTACATCAGTTTCTGAGTTGTGCATTCCTAAAGGTCGGTCTGATGTGACCAATGGTGTAACTGATACCTTACTATTTCCCACAACCAGAAGTGATGATCTGGAATAAGAAAATGTTCTATCTGCTACTCAGCAAGATCAACCGAGCTTGGACTGAAACTAGGTGTTCGTTTTTCTTTTGTGTTTTGGATTTGTTTCTGAAACATTTCATGAAGGTTGCCTACGATTTAAGAATAACAAGATAACAGAGTTGGAAGGGACCTTGGAGGTCTTCTAGTCCAACCCCCTGCTCAGACAATTGGTTGTCAAGTCTATTCTTAAAAACCTCCAGTCATGGAGCACTCACAACTTTTGGAGGAAAGTCGTTCCACTGATTAATTGTTCTGACTGTCGGGAAGTTTCTCCTTAGTTCTAGGTTTGTTCTCTCCTTGGTTAATTTCCATCCATTGCTTCTTGTCCTGTGTTTAAGTGCTTTGGAGAATAGGTTGACCCCCTCTTTTTTGTGGCAGCCCTTTAGATATTGGAAGACTGCCAACATGTTATCCCTAGTCCTTCATTTCATTAAACTAGACATATTCAATTCTTGCAGCCCTTCTTCACATGTTTTATCCTTCAGTTCTCTAACACTCTTTGTTGCTCTTCTCTGCACTCTTTCTAGAGTCTCAACATCTTTTTTTATATGGTGGTGACCAAAACTGGATGCAGTATTCCAAATGTGGTCATATCAAGGCATTATAAAGTGGTATTAACACTTCATTGTGATCTGCTCAGCTCATGACATTGGCTTCACTTCCATCAACCCGTGGGACAATTCAAACCTATCCAGGGTACCATGAATGGACAAAGACGGTCGAGTCAAGTGGATTTTGAAGTTGTGCTTTTGGGAGTTGAGCCAACCAAGCACCAAGCATAAGGGCTTTAGAAGATGTGAAAATGCACTTAAATTACTAGAGCAGGCAGGGGTAAACTCTTAGCTATTTTGGAGACTGGGAGTGTTTCATTGAAACTCCAGATCTGGTACCTAAATATCATAGAAGTTGTGGAAAAAAATGCACGTTCCTCAGATTACATTGTTTGGTTTTGGCTTCTTAATGGCTTTAAAAAGTCCTGATTTTAGCATGACACATAAGCAAGGTGGGATTCAGCCGGTTCGGACTGGTTCGGGCGAATCAGATGCTAATTTTATATCTGGTTCACCAAACCAGTAGTTGCAAGGATTGGCTGGCCCCTCATACCCCGCCCCTCCCAGAAGTCTCCACGCGGCCCGTTTTAGATGCCAGGTAAATGCAGCGCCCACCCGGAGGCTCTGGGAGGGTGAAAAACGGGCCTCCCGGAAGTCTGGAAATGAGCCTGTTTCCAGCCTCCACACAGCCTCCGGAGCCCGGGGGAGGCCATTTTCACCCTCCCACAGACTCGAGGAAAGCCATCCAGCAACCAGACAGAGAACCGGTTGCTAAAATTTTTGAATCCCACTCCTGCCCCTAAATCTAAAGCTAAACTTGCTCTTAAAATATGAAATCTGCAATAAACATGATGCAAAGTTACGAAACGTAGAGGTTTGAGCATTCTGGCAAATTTATTTGGGGAGAAAGCTTCTCCTTTGGGTATGTTGATTGACGTGATTCAACACTGACGTCTTTTGTATTGCAGAAAGAAGATCTTCAGATCTATGAAAAATATTGCCAAAACAAGCCAAAGTCAGAGGCTCTTTGGAGGCAGTGTGGAGACAGCCTTTTTTTTCAGGTAGGCTCAAAAAAACAAACCAACTTGAGAGACCATTGTTCTCAGGTCTTAGAAGTGTGTTAGAAGATCCCACACCAGGCAAGGGGTTGGCCTAAATCAGTGTTTCTTAATTCTGGACACTTTCCTGCCTGTGCAGGGGGTTGGACTAGAAGACCTCCAAGGTCCCTTCCAACTCTGTTACCCTATTCTAGATACTTGACTGAGTTGCTTCTGAATATTATCTTGTTTTCCAGGAGTCCAATAATGTTTAAGCTCCCCTTACTTATATTATGGTTCCTGCATATTTATAACAAGGTGACCTCCCTTACTCTTTACGAGAATATTATTACCCGTATATACTCAAGTATAAGCCAACCCGAATATAAGCCGAGGCACCTAATTTTACCACAAAAAACTAGGAAAACTTATTGACTCGAGTATAAGCCTAGGGTGGGAAATGCAGCAGCTACTGGTAAATTTCAAAATAAAAATAGATACCAATAAAATTACATTAATTGAGGCATCAGTAAGTTAAATGTTTTTGAATATTTATTTCAAAGAAAAACAGTAAACTAGCTCTGTAAGTGGAAAAGAGGCTCAACAAAAACAATATGGTATCAACAATAACTTTAAAAGTACAACCTTTAAAACCTTAGCTCAATCAGCAACCAAGCTAAAACACAAGAGTTAAAATCCTTCAAAACTGGATTCCTCCTCATCATCTGTATCTCCATTTTTTCCTCACTCAAGTATAAGCCGAGGGGGACTTTTTTCAGCATAAAAAATGTGCTGAAAAACTTGGCTTATACTCGAGTATATACGGTACATTCTGGTAGAGAGAAGTTCCCTGAGGATGGGCTTCCTCAGCACGAGTCCAAAAGACTCGGAAGACTAAAGACTAAATCAGAAGACTAAAACTGTGGTTCCAGTGACCGACCAACATTGGATCTTGCAACATTATCCTGGGACACGTATATTTGCCTTAGTTCATGAGAGATTGAATCGCTAATGACACCAAGACCGTCCAGTAGCTGCCTGAACTATCCTCTGGCAAACACACTATACATGTCCGTGGCCGGAACAATGGAAGTTCTAGAAATTGGGAACAAAGGCAGTTTGAGTGTCAGCAAAATGAATGATCTTTGCAAGTTAGCATCCAGATCTCTTTGCAGGAAAGGCATAGCAATTGGCCGTTTACCGTGCTGAAACGAGCAGATCACACAGATGAACTGCTGTATACTTTTCTTTTTTGTAGAAAGTCAATCTAAACTTCTGGTGACTGCCTGGACAAACCTCTGCAGTTTTCTTGGCAGCCTTTTCAATAATGATTCGCTCTTGCCTGGTTCTAGTTTGATTATCTTTAACTACTAAAATTGGCTCTCGTATTACACATACAGTAAATGTTTTTTTTTTTTTTGTACCAGTGTGCTATTTGTCAACTGGACTTTGTTTTTTCTTGAAGATATTTTGCTTCTCATCCAAGAAGCATCCTCGGTTCTGACTGAATGCTGGGGAATGGAAAGATTTTTTTTTTAATCCTTTGCAGTCATCTGGTTGTTAGCACTTTGCAGATGATGGTTCATTGGCTCTCTAATTCTCCAGCGTTCAGTCAGAACTGAGGATGCTTCTTGGATATGAAGCGAAACGTCTTCAAGAAAAAACAACAAAGTCCAGTTGCCTTCTGAAAAAAACCTTTGGACAGTGTGCTGTTTATTTCCTTATACCATCTAATCTCCCTAAGATGGGTGTCAGCAACCCGTGGCTCCAGAGCCGCATGTGGCTCTTTTGTCCCCCTGCTGTGGCTCTTTATTGGCTGAACCCACTACTGGCTGGCCCCCCCCTTCGCCCCCCCCCCTTCCAGGCACTCCTTGCCTAGCCTGAGAGAGAGAGAGGCAGAGAAAGAGACGCAGAGAGAGAGATACCTGTTTCCCACAGAAAACATTGGGAGCCACAAAACCTGGATAGAGGTGGCTGAGGTGTGTGTCATGTGACTGGGTGGGAGTGAGTGACATCGAGTTGGCCACGCCCACCCAGGTTTTGTAGCTCCCGATGTTTTCTTTTCTGTGGGAAATGGGTCCAAATGGCTTTTTGAGTGTTTAAGGTTGCAGTCCCCTGCCCTAAGACATGCAAATATTTTTTTTTGTAAGACATAACCCTCTTTTTTATAATTGGCCATGGGCTAGCCAAGACATTGAGCTTATAAAAGCAAAAAAGATTTTTAGCTTTTTTAAAAAAAGTTGCATTTGTAATTTAGTTCTTAGTATACCTTGTTAGACCAGAAGCACCTCATTCTCTCTTTTTTTTTCTTACATTTTTTTGCAGGAGTGTCAGAGGAAATTAGATCATAAACTCTCCCTTGATGCTTATCTTTTAAAGCCGGTCCAGAGAATTACCAAATATCAGTTGCTTCTGAAGGTAAGAGAACGGTTCATCTGCTAATAAAAGTACCTGTAATTTTTGCAGTATTTAATTGCACAAGAGGGTGACTATTCAGTCCATTCTAAAAGCATGTTGATGCTGAGCGTGGGGTGAAAAAAAAACAAATGATTGAAACAGAAACAGAATAATGGTGTTGGAAGGGACCTTGGATGTCTTCTAATCCAATCCCCATCTCAAGCAGGAAACCCTATACCAAGCGTGTCAAACTCAATTTCATTGAGGGCCGCATCAGGGTTGTGTTTGAGCTGGTGGGGGGGTAGTGGATGTGGCCAGGGGGAGTGGTCGAGGTGGGCATGGCCAGCTCGACGTCCTGCAGCCCTCTGCCAGCAAAAACGGAGTTCAGGTGGGCCTCCTCGGCTGTTTTCACTGGCAGAGGGCTACAGGAGGCCATCGCAGCCGAAAACAGAGCTCCCAAGCTCCGTTTTTGCTGTCAGAGGCACCGCGGGCCAGTCATTCGCTGTTTCCAGGGCAGCCCCACAGGCCAGATCTAAACACTCTACGGGCCGGATCCGGTTTGACACCCCTGCCCTATACCATTTCAGACAAATTGTGGTGTTTACAGGGGTGAAATCCAGCAGGTTCTGACAGGTTCTGTAGAACCAGTAGCGGAAATTTTGAGTAGTTTGAAGAACCGGCAAATACCACCTCTGGTTGGCCCCAGAGTGCGGTGGGAATAGGGATTTTGCAATCTCCTTCCCCCAGGAGTGGGGAGGGAATGGAGATTTTGCAGTATCCTTCCCCTGCCACGCCCACCAAGCCACGCCCACAGAACCGGTAGTAAAAAAAATGGATTTCACCACTGGGTGGTGAACATATGGTGAACTGGGTGTTTACATATGGTTTTGGTAAAAACATCCCATAGCAAACAATGGGTTTAACAACTGATGCAAAAAATGGTGTAAAATCAGGTCTGGTCATGTGATCATCTGCTTTACAACCTTCGCAACACCTATAATGGGCAGGCTCCGTTGTGGTTGTAAGTTGAGGAGTTCCTGTATTTTTGAATGATATTAAATAAACTTGTATATAACGTTGTTTTCATTCTTTTCGTTGACAAAAAAATTTTTTTTTCCCTTCTATGTAAGGATGTCAACATTCTGGAGCATTTTAAGGCCTTGTGATGTGACCTTTGCTTTCTTTAAATTCCCTTTACAACCAGGAAATGTTAAAATGCAGCAAGAATTCCGAAGGCACTGCTGAACTTGAAGAAGCTCTCGCAACTGTCCTTGATATCATCAAGTCAGCGAACGATTCCATGCACCAAATAGCAATTACAGGCTATGAGGTAGGCCTTGCCGAAATAATAATAATAATAATAATAATAATAATAATAATAATAATAATAATAATAATAATAATAATTCATTGACATTGCAATACCTGGTGATGCACGGATTGAAGATAAGCAGCAAGAAAAAATCACAAAGTACCGGAATTTGCAAATTGAAGTTGAGAGACTGTGGAAAAAGAAATCGTGTGTTGTCCCGATTGTAATTGGAGCCCTTGGAGCAATACCCAAAGGGCTACCCCGCTATTTAGAAATTCTAAATTTGCCGGACTTGAACATTTTGACTCTACAAAAAAACCACCTTACTCGGAACAGCTTACATCCTCCGACGATACCTTAACAGTTCCTAGGTCCTTGGTTAGGACTCGAGCTGCTGAGCTATTAACCAGCCTCAAAGGCTGTGAATCTTACTAAAGATTAACCAATAATAATAATAATAATAAAGCAGTGTTTCTCAACTTTAGCAGCAGCTTTAAGATGTGTGGACTCCAACTCCCAGAATTCCAAATGCTGGCTGGGGAATTCTGGGAGTTAAAATCCATATATCTTAAAGGGCCTAAGCTTGAGAAACATTGTGATAATGTATGTTGCTGAACTCTTGATTTTCAAACAGTGGAGAGTTTTGAAATCTTGTCTTCCTTAAAATAAAGATATTTGATTTTAAGTTTTCCTTAACCAGGTTCTCTCCAAGTATCTTGGAGCTCTGATTCTGAGAATTTCAGACAATATCTAGAAGGTGCCACGTTCTGAAAGACAGTCTTGGACTGTCTTTTCCCAGGAAAAGTAGATTGATGAGCAAAAAAAAAAAAAGAGTAATGGTAAAATAATGTCAAACCTAGCAGTGCTTAAATTTCTAAATAGAAACAATTCTTGGCTCCATTTATTCAGAACGATATAATTTCATTAGAAGTCAAGTGTATTGTAGTAATGCATAGCCAGAACTGAGAATTATGCACCAAAATCCCTAACTTACCTGCCTCCTATCACTGACCCCACCCCATGATCAATTATGTCCAAGCAAGATGTTTTTAGTTCAAGCATAGATTGGTATGCAACTGCCTTTTTCTCCCAGCCAGATAACCTTGAGGCAGCTTCTTTTTTTTTTTTACTTTTAAAAGCATTTTTTCTACAACCTCTTCGGCCAAAAAATGCTTTAAAAAGTTTTTTTTAAAAAAGCCTCTGATGATTGTGCGGCTCACCTGGGATCGTCAAAGGCTTTTAAAAGAAAAAAACCCTTTTTTTCTTTTAAATGCCTCTGACGATCCCAGCTGAGTTGCCTGATTGGCAGAGGCTTTTTAAAAAAGCCTCTGCCGATCAGGCAACTCAGCTGGGATCATCAGAGCCTTTTGAAAGCATTTTTTAACAACCTCTTCGCTGAAGAGGTTGTAGAAAAAATGGTTTTAAAAGTAAAAAAAAAAAATTGGCCATGCCCACTCAGTCATATTACCCCCCCTCCCACCAAGCCACACCCACAGAACCGGTAGTAACAAATTTTAGATTTCACCTTTTTAGATTAAAACCTTGCTTTATTCTTGTATTTCTCCTGTCCTGTTTCTCTCTTCCTCTAGGGAGATGTGGCCGAGCTGGGTAAATTGCTCCTTCAGGGCTCTTTTAATATCTGGACCGACCACAAGAAAGGACACAACAAAGTCAAAGATTTGGCCAGGTTCAAGCCAATGCAGAGGCATCTCTTCTTATATGCAAAAAGCCTACTTTTTTGCAAGAAACGGGAAGAAAACACAGACGGTCACGAGAAGTCTCCTTCCTACAGCTTTAAAAATTCCTTGAAGGTAAATCATTTCTTACAGTGGAAGGGAGAGAAGTTTAAAATCAGAGGACAAACCAACATCAACACCTGTATGAGCAGAAATTAACACTAGTCAGCGTTAATTAGTAAGTAAACGGTGCCCAAATCAAGAAAGTACCAACACAGATAAACAAGCTAACCACAAACAACAGCCTAATTAAGGGACCACCAAAACTGACAGGGCAAACCATTAATATATTATCAGAGCTTGTTGCAGCACACGCAATCAGATAATTCAGCAGGATTCAAAATGTCTTTATATACATAACAACACATCAGGCTTACAATAGCCTTGTAAGTTTTTCCACGTTGTAGAGAAGAGAAACACAGCACAAAATGGAAGCACAAAATGGAAGCACAAAATGGAGGAGAGAGAAGCTAGTGCCCTCAAGTTTATAGTTAAGCCACGCCCAGGCTCCAAACTGTCTCTTAGGCCCCATACAACAAATACTATGTTTCAGTCTCCAAACAGTGCCCATAGGCTGATCTGTTGCCTATTCCAGTCTATGAATATTCATACTTTGACATATATAAAAATTAAGAGCAAAACCCACTCCCGCTCCCTTGTAGCACTGATGATGCTACCTAGTTTGGTAGTGAAATGTCTGCAAGAAAGCCACCATGTTTAAAGAGCACCAAGGACCCCACAGAACCCCTTTAAATCAACAAATATATCAAAGTAACAAAACCACACATTGAAACGAACGTAACACTGGCTCTTTCCTTGTAAAGAGTTGCAGGTGGAAAAGCTTTCATGTTGTAGAAAAGGGAGCCTTGGAGATTTTGTTGGCCTTCATAATATTTGTTTTATCTACTAATAAAATACTATTTGCTAGTGCAAATAGACTACTAGAGGAAGGTTGCCTGGGGAGGATTTGTATCTTGAAAAGGTGGAATACACCCATCAAATTAACGGCATTAAAAACTCTTGCATCAGGCAATTAAAAGAAATCATATTCAAATTAAATTCTCTAGATTTCCAGCACGATCCCTCATAACCCTAAACTACCTGGGCAAAATTGAAAAATTCCATCCGAGGCTTTCCATCTCCTTGGTTAATTCTGATGACTCATTCTGAAAACAAGGAAGTAAATTCTAGTGTTAGGTTTCCCTCTTAATCCAATTTTCAAGAGGCAACTGAACTTTTTGGTTTTTCTTTGAAGTCGTTTCACTTCTCATCCAAGAAGCTTCTTCAGATCAGAGCTGAAAGTCCAGTTGCCTCTTGAAAAAGCACCTTTGGGACAACCATGACCTGGATGATTGAGAATCTCCATAGACGTTTCCCGCTTTAAAAAATCTTGTTTTCTTAGAGGCACAATGATTAGGAAGTAGTATTGCAGGCTAATTATGCTGACAGAGTTCGATTCCTTTGGTCTTGATCAGCTCAAGGTTGACTCAGCCATTCATCCTTCGGAGGTCGGTAAAATGAAGACCCAGATTATTGGGGGCAAATATGCTGACTCTATAAACCCCTTAGACAAGGCTGTAAAGCACAATGAAGCAGTATATAAGTCTAAGTGCTGTTGCTATTACTATTGCTGTTGAGTTTCCCTATATCCACTGATGAGCGTTGTATATACAATAAGATTATTTACAGTCATCAATTGAACTGTCAAAAAAACAAACTTGAAAATGTTTTCTCTTGGCAAACTTGATGAATCAATTGGCAAATAAAGATACAGCCTCATTCTATTCCTTTCCAAGGACAAAACAATTCAGCAGTTTCTTTACTTATTCTAGAATTTCAAGAGTGTTTATTTGTCAACCGAAGTCAAGGATAGATCTTTTCAAGCCAGGTTCAAAGGAATCATAACAACGGAAAAATCAACTATTGCCCTTGTGAAACAGTTTCTGTGTCAAGAGGAAAAAGCTTTATACCAAACATAAAAATGAGTTTATCCAAACATTATGAAAGACAAGCTCATATATAAATAGAAAAAAAATGCACTGATACAGGACGTATGGCTTGATGATAACCCTTGAAACAAAATTGCAGACGGATTCAAAACTTAAAACACTAAAAGACAGATACGAATTGAGCGTGAATACCTTAGAAATGCAAGCTGAAAATAATAGAATAACATTTATTACAGACAAAAACTAAGTTATGCAGATACAGCCAGAGGTGGCCATCACATATTGTAATAATTGGTTTGCCCAGAACTGAAAATGTGTGTGCGCGCGCCTTCCACCCATGTGCGTGGCATCAAAAAAATGGTGATTATATAGGACGGGATAGCGCCAAGGCAGGTGGGCGGACCCAGCCGCTGGTCAGAACTACTGATTCGCGCGAACCGGTGGCAGCCCACCTCTGGATACAGCATAGTTTGGCAATATTATATGTGAAAAAGATCTTGGAATAGCAATCTGAATATGAGTCAGAAATGTGATGCCATTTCAAAAAGAAGGAAGGAAGGAAAGAAAGAAAGAAAGGAAAGAAAGAAAGAGAAAGAAAGAAAGAAAGAAAGAAAGAAAGAAAGAAAGAAAGAAAGAAAATTTAACTGTAGGCTTTGTCAACAGAACATATTTTCCAAATGTTGGGAAGTCATGATTACATTTAACTGATCAGATTTCCCTCCTTCAGAATTATGTCCATTGCTAGCACCGCACTTTAAGATGGATTCAGGCAAAGAGGAAGAGCTTCAGAGAATGGCAGTGAAGCTGACCAGGGAACTAAAAAGTCAGATCTATGAAGAAACATTGAAGGAATTAGGAAGGACAAGAGAAGATGGAGTTGGATGTAATACTACTCTGGCCAAGAGCAGACAGCTGCCAGATTACACTTCAAATAGAATCCGGAATAAACACACTTCACTCTTCACTTTTCATCCTTTTTTTTAAAGGTGGGATTATCCTTGACACTCCCATCACATTCTAGTTTTAATCTAATTGCCTCTTTATTGCATTTGTATTGCTACCAAACATTCTTTTTAACCCCCACGTGAGTCTCTTCTCACAGAAACTTCATAGGTTTTGTGGTTTGTGATTTATATCATCATGGCTTTGAATTCTAGATATATAGAGAACAAGAGAACGTCTGCAGAAGGATTCCGTAGTAGACTATAATGAAGTGGAAATCAAAGCAATCCACACTGAGAGGAATGTCACTTTCTTACACTTTAGTGGATTCAACATTTTGTTCAGTGGTTAATTCATGTCCGGCTCTTTACGGCCCCATGGGCCATAGTATACCAGGCCCCCTGTTCTCCACTGTTTCCCGGAGTTTTCCAAATTCCTGTTCATTGCATCGATGACACCATCTAACCATCTCATCCTCTGTCGTCCCCTTTCTCCTTTTGCTTTTCGTTTTTCCCACCATCTGGGTCTTTTCCACTGAGTCCTTCTTTCTCATTTGGTGGCCAAAGTATTTGAGCTTCAGCTTCAGGATCTGTCCTTCCAAAGAAGAGTCAGGGTTGATTTCCTTTAGGATGGACCGATTCGATCTCCTTGCAGTCCAAGGGACTCCCAAAAGTCTTCTCATTCAACATTCTTCCCTTTTATTGTATCCTCCTAACATGAGCAAGGTTGAAACTTTGCTTGGCAGGTGCTTGGAAATTTACCATCGTTGTGACTTCTGTATTGCTTCTGTATTGTATTATCTGTGACGTAAGGAGTGAGTGTAGTTAACAAGCAACATTCCCTGTGCCTTCTCCCTGCTATACTTATATCCCCCAGCCCCCAGGACTTAATGCTAAGGCAAACTTTAACTCTAAACAAAGTTAAAATTTATCACCCTGCCTTATGTCTATGGAGATTCTCAGTCATCCAGGTCAAGGTTGTCCCAAAGGTGCTTTTTCAGAGCTGAAGAAGCTTCTTGGATTAGAAGTGAAATGTCTTCAAAGAAAAACCAGAAAGTCTTTATAAGTAACTCAAGGTAGTGAACATACATAATATCCTTCCTCCTCCTCTTTTCTCCAAATCAATAACCCTGTGAAGCGGATTGGGTTGAAAGAAAGGGACTGGTCCAAAGTCACCAAGATGGCTTTCATGCCTAAGGCAGGACTAGAACTCACAGTCTCCTGGTGATTGGTCCAGAGTCATTGTGGGCCTCCGGGTGATTGGCCCTAAGTCACCCAACTGGGCTTTCATGCCTAAGGCGGGACTAGAACTCACAGTCTCCTGGTGATTGGTCAGAGTCATTGTGGGCCTCCGGGTGATTGGCCCTAAGTCACCCAACTGCTTTCATGCCTAAGGCAGGACTAGAACTCACAGTCTCCTGGTGATTGGTCCAGAATCACTCTGGCCTTTGGGTTATTGGCCCTAAGTCACCCAACTGGCTTTCATGCCTAAGGCAGGACTAGAACTCACAGTCTCCTGGTTTCTAGGTCAGCACCTTAAACACTATAGCAGTGATAGTGTTTTGCCATCGCGTGCCAAAAGTATGGGGAGCCTAGGGGGGTCGCGCGTGTGCCCACACCCATAATTCTATGTGCCCCGCCGCGCATGCATGTGTGACCCGCCATGCTCCCCCCACTTTTGGCACGGTGGGCCCAGTAGGCCCATTTTTTGCTCTGCCCAGGCTCCAGAGCCTTTCTAGGAGCCTGGGGAGGGCAAAAACAGCCTTTCCCACCCGCCAGAGGCCCTCTGGAGGCCGGAAACAACCTGTTTCCTGACCTCCAGTGGGCCCAGATGGCCTGAAAATCAGCTGCACGTGCCGGAGCTGAGCTCACGTGACCACCAATATGGCTCTGTGTGCCACCTGTGGCATGCATGCTATAGGTTCGCCATCACAGCACTATAGGAAACTGGCTCATGTGCTTTTAAGGTGAACTTAAAAACAAAAACAAAATGTATTGCAATGACCAATGATCGTGTTCTGTATTCAAACTTCTCTTTCGAACAGATGAGCACTGTTGGCATTACGGAAAATGTCAAAGGTGATTGTAAGAAATTTGAGATCTGGTACAATGGCAGAGAAGAGGTCTATATTATTCAGGTATTGCAGTTTCACTTTTCTTCATTTCCAGATGTTTCCCCCCACCCCCACCCCCCGCTAATACATTATTCATATTCTTGATTATTCAGAATTACAGGAGAAAATAAGCCTTGGGGACAGACAGAGACTAAAAAAGGAACAAGATTTGGCTTCCTCCCTTTCTAAGATTAATATTTGTTTTCTAGCCAATAAAGCCCTGGTTCACACCTCATTCCAACTTCTAATTCGTTGAACAGCTTTTGATAAGTTACTCTGCAGTAAGCATCCCTTCAAGGAGAAGATGGAAAGAGTGCTTAGATTTCCAGAACTAAGGAGAAATTTCCTGACAGTGGGAACAATTAACCAGTGGAACAGCTTACCTTCAGAAATTGTAGTAGCTCCATCACTGGAGGTCTTTAAGAAGGGATTGGACAAGATCCCTTCCTACTCTGCTGTTCTGTAGGTGGAGGTATTTAGACCTCCAAGAGGATAAAAACGGCCAAATAAATAGGAAGGGAAAGAATGGAAGATATATTAGATGCAAAACTGTTTAGCTGAACTCTTGCCTGAATTTCTTGCAATTGCTAACTATGAGGAAGGCGGTTCATTCCCCAAGCTTGTGATTTGGTTTCTGAATATTTCATTACCAGGCTAGGCAGCAGTGGGTTTCACATATTCTTACCACCGGTTCGTCCCGTGCATGCACGCACACTTCTCGTGCGCCAGCCTTCCCACATGTGCCCGGCCTTCCATGCATGTGCTTTGCTCGCGTGCGCGCCTTCCGTGCATGTGCCCAGCCTCAAAAACGGGGCTAAATAGGACGTCTTTATGCCAGGACGGGTGGGCAGACCCACCCACAATCTCAGCTACTTGTTCGCCCGAACCGGGACGAACCGGCTGAATACCACCACTGAGGCTACGTAACATCTTCAGCGGAATTTAGGGAATGTCATTGTGTTGTGGTTCGCCAGCAGCCTGTGGAGCTGGCAGCAGAGTCGGACAGCGATAAGGCTGAGGAAGAAAATGGGCCGGTCCTGGAGGCTGGGGAAGGCCCAGATGAGGGCTCTGCATCAGAGGCAGAGATGGGACCAGGGCCATCGGGGAGTGAGGTGCGGACTCCAGAGCCTCCAGAGACTGATAGGAGTGAGGCAGAGGAACAGGAGGAGCCTGTTCCTAATGCACACATGAGAAGAGCTGCCAGAAGGCAAGAGCAGCTCAAGCAAAGAGGACAACTCGGGAGTAGGACCAAGAGATGATTGGCCCCCTCCCATAAGGCTTAAAACAGACCAGCAACGGCATTTGGGCTTTGCCGGAAAACAACATTGGTAGCTTCGTCTTCTTCTTCGTCTACGTCTTGCGTTTATTTTTGTATCTGTGACTTCTGAACGTTTGCCAAGAAAGGCCTTTGGCAGTTTGCCTAATTGGACCAAGGTTTGCGATAGGACTGAGGAATTTGTGTTGGGAGGAATTTGCTTTAATTTAGCTGAACGACGCTGGGAATGAAGTAATTCTCAGCTGTTCGAATAAAGTTTGTCTTTTCACGGACTGATTTTCCTACGACTTACTTGGGCCTGGGTCACAACACATTGTTGGTGTGCTTCTGCTTATAAGGGCTTCATGTGGTCAGTAGGTCTTATGATGGGAGGGTCACATCAGGTAAGGGTCTAGTATGGATCACGTTAGGCAAGGGTCTTATGATGGGGAGGTCATGTCAGGTGAGGATCATTGGGAGATGAAGTGCTGCTTGGGGTGTGTGTGGGTTGGTTGTGAGTCGGTTGAGTCCTTATAAGCAGAAGAACATCAACACTGACATTCCCTAAATTCCGCTGAAGATGTTACCTAGCCTGGTAACAAAACATTCGGAAACCAACCCACAAGCTCAGAGAACGAGCCTCCACCCTCAACCTCCACCTGAGCTGCAGATATTGGCTGCTATCCCATTGCTAAGTATCCTGTTGCGACTGTAATTGTAACTGTGGTTGTATCCTGTTTTTCAGGCGGCGTCTATGGAGCTGAAGAACACGTGGGTGTCAGAGATCAGGAAAGTCCTAACAGGACAACTGGAAGCTTGCAGAGGTAGGAGGACGCCGTATAAAGGGGACCGTAGCCGGGAGACACATCAACACTGCACATTCTTTTCCTTTCTGAAAGCTTGTAGAAACATGTTTCAAGCACACTTCACTTGAGTGCATCGAGATAGTTTACCAGAACTACTAAGTGTGCCTAAACCATAGACAAATCAGTTGTGTTCTTTATCATCCCTTTGAACCCGCAGAAGGAGCACAGAGGGGTCAACCCCTCTCTCTCCTTATATAAGAGAGATGCAGAAGGCAAATGATCCCTGGCCTTGTGGCCTCACAACACTGGTGTGCCATGGCAGTGTTGCAGGAAGTAAGTAGGCAGCTACATTTTGTGAAGCTGATCTTTCCGGATAGTATTCAAGGACAGCCCTGTGTAAAGGAAACATAAGCAGTCTAACCAGGAGACTCAACAAGAATGTGAGGGGCTACCTTCGATACATCTTGAAGTTGGGCTCCCAACCATGCCTTCTAACCATAGCTTCTACCAACCCATAAATACATACATGCATACTAATACAAGCAAAGTATAGAAAATTAGAGTATAAAAGACAAAAAAGATTAAAAAAGGAATAGAGTAGAGTAGAGTAGAGTAGAGTAGAGTAGAGTAAATATAGAATAGGAATAGAATAGGAATAGAATAGAATAGAATAGAATAGAATAGAATTAGAATTAGAATTAGAATTAGAATTAGAATTAGAATTAGAATAAGCTTTGTTTTTTTTTTATTTTTTATTTTTTATTTTTTTTAAAATTTGATTTATATGCCGCCCTTCTCCGAAGACTCAGGGCGGCTTACAATGTGCTCAGCAATAGCCTTCATCCTTTTGTATATTTATACAAAGTCAGCTTATTGCCCCCACAAACTGGGTCCTCATTTCACCTACCTTAGAAAGGATGGAAGGCTGAGTCAACCTTGAGCCTTGGCGAGATTCGAACCCTGCAGTAATTGCAGGCAGCTGGTCTTAATAAGCTTAATAACAGGGTGCCTTAAACCCTTGTACTACCAAGGGTTGATGACATTTTTAACGTTAGGTGTCCATTTTAAGTCTTCAGATATTATAGAAACGTGAGAAAAAATACAGTATTAATCACTTCGGCCCTTCTTTCCAGCAAAGGCTTGCCATCTTAACTTTCCCCTTCCTCTTTAACCCTTTTTAATCCCCAGACCCATAAATCATCAGTTCAATCTTTCCTTCTTTCAGCAAAAAGTCATGAACTTCCACCAAGGTGTGATTACTGCTGTGCTTCTGTGTGTGCAAACATATGTGCAAATGTGGGAGCATTGCATCTAGCAGCTTTTCCTCGCTTCCTCCACCTTGGACGACCTTCTCCCGTGCACTCAGTACAACTTCAGGATACTGCCACGTTGACTTTTCCCTCCTCCTTGTAAATATTTCTATTGTGTGGCATACAAGACGCCATAAAAACCTGAGCTCTCCCCAAGGTTTCCTCCTCTTCTTGCTTTTGAGGCCAGGCAACCCCCGGGACCTATGTTTAGCCAAGCTGCAGCTGCTCAGATTGTTCTGCATCGCTCTTGACTGTTGTCTTGATGCTGTACCAGCTGTGGCAAAGTGGGAAGAGGGTCCTCTGTGCCCTTCCCTCCTACATTTGTCCCCCGGGAATGAATGCTAAGGCAACCTTCAAAGTCATAGGCAAGGGATCCCTATCATTAAGACATCCCTCTCTGCGGGATCCCTGACACTCTCCGAGCTTGGTTGTTTTCTTACAGATGTTTCACTACCAAACTAGATAACATCATCAGTGCTAAAGGGAGTGTTTCTAAGGGAGCCCGGTGGCTTACGTGGTTAGGACACTGGCTGACAATCGGCAAGCTCGCATTTGAGACCCGAGTGCTGCCGTGTGGTTGAGTAAGCTGCCGTCACTCGCTTCAACTGCTGCTGACCCAGTAGCTTGAAAGCAGGCAACTGCGAGTAGATAGATGGGTACCACTTCGGTGGGCAACTTAACAGGGACATGAAAGGTAGCATCACCAGTGTTAGAAGGGAGTGGTGTTTGCTCTCTGTTTATATACTAGTGCAGTGATGGTTTAATCTTTTTGGTGTTGAGTGCGCAAAGCACGCGAGCGTGAATGTACGCACGCGTGCCGGATCTCCAAAATGCAATGCGAGCGCCCACCCCCACATGCATGTGTACCCCCCATGCATACACACACCCCCACACACACACATGTGCTCCACCTCCTGTGCCCCATTTTGGCTTCCAAATTGATGCAGGAGGCTTCCAGACCCAAAATGGGGCACTGGGGGGCGCACGCATGCGAACCCCCCAAATGCAATGTGAGTGCAACTGTGCATGTGCCCCGTCCCCCATGCAAGTGCCCCGCACATGCATGCGCACATTCCCCGCATGCGCCCCAAAGACCAGCTGGCCAGTGGGAGGCGTGCATGCATGCACAGTGGAGCTGGGCTGGTGCGATAGCTGGCATGCCTGCAGAGAGGGCTCTGCGTGCCATAGGTTTGCCATCATGGTACTATTGGCTTGCCCAATACATCTCCTCAGCAGCAATCAACACCCAGATCAGCAGAGATTAACACCAAGATTAACACTAGACCAACAATCAACACTAGACCAAAAGTAAACAATATCCCAATCAGGGAACTACCAACAGACCAACAAGCTAACAGTAAAGAGCCTAATCAAGGAACTGCCAAGTCGACTCCAACCCACCTACACTAACAGAGCAAGTTACTGTATATAAAAAGAAAGCAAATGCCACTCCCTTCTAACACTGGTGATGCTATCGTTCATGTCCCTGTTAAGTTGCCCACCGAAGTGGTACCCATCTATCTACTCGCAGTTGCCTGCTTTCAAACTACTGGGTCAGCAGCAGTTGAAGCGAGTGGCGGCAGCTTACTCCACCACACAGCAGCACTCGGGTCTCAAACGCGAGCTTGCCAATTGTCAGCCAGTATCCTAACCACGTAAGCCACCGGGCTCCCTTAGAAACACTGCTGTATCTCCATAAAACCCAATGCACATAAGACTACCTTATCTAGTCAATTTCCAGGATATACCACAATTCCTGATAATACAGTTTGGACATCGAGTAGCTATGTTGTTTTTCCAGATATACCGGCTGTTAACTCTACAAGTTAGACCGGACTGAGAAACCAACACTGTTTAGATCAAAACTATCATTGTAACAGCTATAAAAACAAGAATTGCAAATCGGAATGTGTTTCTCCATTCCCTCCTTTTAGTTTCGGGTGAATGAGAAGGCGCTTGTCTGAGACTATGCTCAAGTTAGTTTCTTAACAGAATAACAGAACTGGAAGGGACCTTGGAGGTCTTCTAGTCCAACCCCCTTCCTAGGCAGGAAACCCTATAGCACTTCAGACAAATGGTTATCCAACATCTTCTTTAAAATTTCCAGTGTTGGAGCATTTGCAACTTCTGGAGGCAAGTTGTTCCACTGATTAATTGTTCTAACTGTCAAGAAATTTCTCCTTAGTTCTAGGTTGCTTCTCTCCTTGATTAGTTTCCATCCATTGCTTCTTGTCCTGCCCTCAGGTGCTTTGGAGAATAGCTTGACTCCCTCTTCTTTGTGGGAGATATTGGCCTGAGATATTGGAAGACTGTTATCATGTTTCCCCTAGTCCTTCTTTTCATTAAACTAGACATACCCAGTTCCTGCAACATTCTTTATGTATTTTAGCCTCCAGTCCTCTAATCATCTTTGTTGTTCTTCTCTGCACTCTTTCTAGAGTCTCCACATCTTTTTTATATCATGGTGAACAAAACTGAATGCAGTATTCCAAGTGTGGCCTTACCAAAGCATTATAAAGTGATATTAACACTTCACGTGATCTTGATTCTATCCCATTGTTTATGCAGCCTAGAACTGTGTTGGCTTTTTTGGCAGCTGCTGCACACTGCCGGCTCATATTTAAATGGTTGTCCGCTAGGACTCCAAGTACCACTCACAGTCACCACTATTGAGCGAGGTACCACATATCTTAGAAGAAGTTTGAGCCCTTCTTATTGATCGTTGCCTTGACAGTGGCTCCTCCTCGTTCAAGGCCATTCCCTCTAGCCTCCAGATCAACCAAAGTCAAGCATCAAATGTTCATGTCTGAATAGTGACAGATCCAGCCCACTAAGCTTTTATTAGCAATCCGAGTTTTTCTAAGAAACCCGGGTCAAACTATGCAATACATTAGACAGCAAACAATAACATTTCACTTCCTTGGAAATCAGGTCCATCAACTGTTTCCCATGTTAATTTACAGTAAAATTATGTACTTTTTTCTTCTTTTTTTTACCCATGGCAGAATTAGCTCTGGCTTTCGAGTATCATGTTGAACAAGGCAGCAAAACGTGTTGGGGTTACTAAGCCTACTTGTCATACCAAGGGCAAAGAAAAACCCACATCAAAAGCAGACTTTGCATGTTGAAATTCAATAAAAAAAAATTTAAAAATCAGTTAAAGGCTTCCAGTGCCAGCAGTTCTGGCAGAGAAAAATAAATTTCTCATCTCTGAAGGATCTTAAATGTCAGATACAAAGTTAGGCATATGTTCCTATTGCTTCCTCTTTTTTTGTTCTCTCCCAAGATTTAGATTAGGAACTAGAAACTGTGGCTTCCAGATATTGTTAAACTACAAATCCCATCTTCCATGGTCATCTTGGAGGTTCATGGGAAATGATACCCTTCAAAAATCTGGAAAGCTAAAATTCCCTAACAATGGCCACACTATTCTTTATATGTGTGTATTTATCAAGGAAATGAAATGCCTTTTCCATTGCCACACATGGAGAGCAATAGCAGTTAATTATTTATTTTATTTATTATTTATTTATTAATTCAATTTGTATGCCGCCCCTCTCCGAAGACTCAGGGCAGCTCACAATGCATTTAAATTCATTATAAAAACATTTAAGAATTAAAAACATTAAAAACATTAAGACTCATTCACACCATTCATGGCTGGATCGCAAGAGCGAGATCAACGGCCCCAGGCCTGCCAGAAAAGCCAGATCTTCACCGCTTTTCAGAAGGCCAATAGGGTGGGGATGGTCCGGATCTCAGGAGGTAACTGGTTCCAGAGAGCTGGGGCAGCCACAGAGAAGGCCCTCCCCCGCGGGCCCGCCAGCTGGCATTGTTTAGCTGACAGGACCCGGAGGAGACCAACTCTGTGGGATCTTACCGGTCATTGGGAGCTATGCAGTAGAAGGCGGTCTCGAAGATAACCTGGCCCTGAGCCATGTAGGGCTTTAAAGGTAATAACCAACACCTTGAATTGTGACTGGAGACCAATAGGGAGCCAGTGCACTCGCGGAGAATTGGTGTAATGTGGGTGTACCTAAGTGCACCCACAACAGCTCTCGCGGCTGCGTTCTGGACCAATTGTAGTCTCCGAACACATTTCAAGGGTAGCCCCATGTAGAGCGTGTTGCAATAATCTAACCATGAGGTGACAAGGGCATGAGTGACCGTGAGGAGAGCCTCCCGATCCAAGTAGGGTCGCAATTGGTGCACCAGGCGAACCTGTGCAAAGGTCCCCCTAGCCACAGCTGTCAGGTGTTGCTCTAATCTTAGCTGTGAGTCTAGGAGGACACTAGAATTAAAGCTTGAAAATTTCTATTGTATGATATAGATCAGACTTGGGGGCATTTGTGTGGGTGTGTGTGCATGCCTACATACCTTCACAGCCCCATTGGCTTAGCCCTGCACAGCAGTCCCAGATTCTCATGTGGCCTCTTGGGAAAATTAATTGCCCACTCCAGATATAGATGAATTCATAGATTACCTTGAAGAAGGTAGGCAGGAACAGTTAAGACAAAATAGGGGATGGGAAAAAAAAGAAGGCATGGAAAACAAACTCAAAAAAACCCACTTTGAATTTGTTTGGTGTAAATGGGGGCTGAAGGAAAGTCTTTCAAGCTTTTAAGATTCTGTTATAAGTGGAATTATAGTGGAATTCCTGTAATTCTTGCAGGTTCTTTTTCATGACTGTCAACTGACATATGGCACTATATCAACCCCTAAATTTTCTTAAGAATAATTTGGTCTAGTGATTAAGGCACTAGGCTAGAAGCCAGGAGATTAGTCCCGCCTCAGGCATGAAAGCCAGTGGGTGACTTTGGACCAATCACCAGGAGACTGAGTTCTAGTCCTGCCTTAGGTATGAAAGCCGACTGGGTGACTTTGGGCCAATAAGAGGAGACTCTGAGTTCTAATCCCGCCTTAGGTATGAAAGACGACTGGGTGACTTTGGGCCAATGAGCAGGAGACTGTGAGTTCTAGTCCCGCCTTAGGTATGAAAGCCGACTGGGTGACTTTGGGCCAATAAGCAGGAGGTTGTGAGTTCTAGTTCCACCTTAGGTATGAAAGCCGACTGGGTGACTTTGGGCCAATGAGCAGGAGACTGTGAGTTCTAGTCCGACCTTAGGTATGAAAGGAGGCAGGGTGACTTTCTCCAATCACTAGGATACTGTGAGTTCTAGTTCCCCCTTAGGTATGAAAGCCAACGGAGTGACTTTGGGCCAATCACCAGGAGACTATGAGTTCTAGTTCCCCCTTAGGTATGAAAGCCAACGGAGTGACTTTGGGCCAATCACCAGGAGACTGTGAATTCTAGTCCCACCTTAGGCATGAAAGCTGGCTGGGTAACTTTGAGTCAGTCACTATCAGATAGGAGAAGGAAGGAATGTTAGTATGTTTGCCACTGTGAATATACTAACATTATAACACATATATTATATTATAATATTATAACACATATTATAAAAATAATAAAGGCGGGAAACAAACGAACAATTACAGAGGTGCTTCTCAGCCCAGGTTTTCACCATATGGTAATGATTTTGCATCAACTACCCTGATCCAAATGTTATTGAAAGATGCCTTAGGTGGATTATTTAGGTGGATCACAGAAATACAAGAGTTCCAAGGAGATCAAAATATATAGGACACTCTACAATCTAATTCAATAGTTATTTTCCTTTCCCCATGATTCATAAAATCCTGATCAGCCACTTGCCTGTTCATCCCTTCAATTTTTTTTTTAATTTTTTTTTTTTTAATTTGATTTATATGCTGCCCTTCTCCGAAGACTCAGGGCGGCTTACAATGTGCTCAGCAATAGCCTTCATCCTTTTGTATATTTATACAAAGTCAGCTTATTGCCCCCACAAACTGGGTCCTCATTTCACCTACCTTAGAAAGGATGGAAGGCTGAGTCAACCTTGAGCCTTGGTGAGATTCGAACCCTGCAGTAATTGCAGGCAGCTGGTCTTAATAAGCTTAATAACAGGGTGCCTTAAACCCCTGTACTACCAAGGCTCTCATGCTAAAGTTGTAATAGGAGAGACCCAGGGTGTGAGAAATGCCATGTATTTATTTACTTAACATATATATAGCCCCATGTATAAAAATGGTGAATTAAAATAAAATAAAATAAAAACATAACTGAGGAATCTATATTTTTTTTTAAAGTCTAACTATTGTAAAAAAAAAAAAAACCTTATCCGCAAGTTTATTTGTTCCAGTAGGCGAAGAAATGAAATACTCATTTTGTTTTTCCTTCTTTTCCTGTGACAGAAGCAAGCCAGCTTCACCAAAGAATCACAGAGAGCGTTTATCACGCACCAATGAATTCAGCCAACTCCTCCAGGTATGGAACACCCAAACTGTGTGGCCTAGAACAATCTTGGCAACTTTAAGACTTGTGGACTTCAACTCCCAGAATTCCCCAGGCCCCAAGGCCTAAAGCAGTGGTTCTCAACCTTTTCTTCACCATGGACTTCCTTTAAATACCCTCTGTGGCCGTGAACCATGGCCAGGGACCCCCAAGACTTCACTCAAGATTTAAATCATGATATTTCTTCATGCATTCAGGGACCGCCTGTGATGACATCGCCCCTCCCCCCACCCACCCCCCAGGTCCATGGACCACAGGTTGAGAGCCACTGGCCTAGCGTCTTCCTATGACTTCTCAGCAGTTCTGGTGGCTTCCGAAGCGGGAAACCAGAATGTGGCTCCTAGTTTCTCAGGGGTGCAAGCAGGGAAACTCACATGGTTGTAGATGCCGTCTTGACCATTTTTGACCCCGCTTCTCAATTTATGTGGTCATAAATCAAGGATTACCTGTATAGAAGCCTAATCTAAAGCTACTATCAGGAACCGCTTTGGATTTCTCCTACAGAATAAAGCAGTAGAACATCTTTTTTTCGTGACATATGGTCAGCCTGTCATGTAATTTAATCTAAAATAAACATAAAGGTTCTAGAAGAAAGAGGAGGCCAGCGAAGCTATACAAAGTTGCATACAGGGATTAAAGCCAGTTTAAAATTTGCTGGGTTTTGATTTGTTACACACAAGGGAAGAAACACAGAGAGGAAAAATCCACTGCATGCAAAGACAGCCTTAAGGAAAAACCATAATGACATGACATTTATATCTTGTTTTTAAAGAATTGACGGTATTGCAAAGTGAATTACATCACGGCTTTGTCCTCGGGGTAAATGCATTAAAAAAGTGGGGGCTGACAAGGGCGTAGGGACAGAATGCCAAGAGCATTTTCTACATGTGGCATTTTACTCAACTAAACATTTGGGTTGTTTCCTGATTAAAGATGTCCAGAAGTATAAATTGATAGTTACAGAAATATAAATGCAGAACTATGGAACTTTATTTGCATATTTCTTAAAGGTGAACCAGATAAACTAAAAAAAATAATACATTAATCTATGTGTGCACAAATATGCAGAGAGTTGAGGACTTTACTTGCAGTCCAGATCAGTAGTAATACCTCACTAATCAAACATAACAAGAAATTGACATGGGGCATGTTTGAAGATTGCAATACCCATAATAGGTGTAAACAGGTCATTTAGAATTTCCCAGGAGATGGTAGGTAGGTGTTGTTGTTGTCGTTGTTAGTTGCGAAGCCGTGTCCGACCCATCGCCACCCTGTGGACAACGTTCCTCCAGGCCTTCCTGTCCTCTACCATCCTCTGGAGTCCATTTAAGTTCATGCCTACTGCTTCAGTGACTCTTTCCAGCCACCTCCTTCTCTGCTGTCCCATTCTTCTTTTGCCCTCCATCTTTCCCAGCATTAGGCTCTTCTCCAGGGAGTCCTTCCTTCTCATTAGGTGGCCAAAGTATTTGAATTTCATCTTCAGGATCTGGCCTTCTAAAGAGAAGTACATAGGTGTTATGTCTAATCAACAGCTGGATTATACAGGTAGTCATCAATTTACAACCATTCATTTAGTGACTGTTTGAAGTTAGAACAGCACTAAAAAAGTTACTTACAACTTATCCTTGGACTTACGACCATCACAGCCTCCCCATAGTCATGTGATCAGAATTCAGGCACTTGGCAACCGGCAAGTGGATTTATAATGGTTGCCACGACCATGTGATCATCCTTTGCTACTTTCCCAGAGAGATTTTGACAACTGTGGCAAGAAATTTGGGGCTCTATTGTGGTCGTAAGTCAAGGATTTAACTGTATCCAAAGAGGCAAGCTTAGCTGTTAGAACCATCTCCAACAACCAGCAATGGGCTGGCAATTTATTTATTTATTTATTTTTATTTTATTCATATTTATATGCCGCCCTTCTCCCGAAGGACTCAGGGCAGCTCACAACAATAAAACAACAAAACAATAAATTAATGCTAAAATAATCCAATTAAAACCCCCAACGGTTAAAACTAAAAATTCCCAGCAAATCAGGAGATTTGCTGAAAAAGCTATGTCTTCAGGCCACCGCGGAAGAGCGGAGGTCGGGGGCCGTCTGGAGCTCAGTGGGTAATTCATTCCAGAGGGTTGGTGTGGCCACCCACTTGGTGGCCACACCGACTTCAATTCAATGAATTGAAGACAATGACGTGAAGACCTGGCCAGACAAAAAGAGGTTGCTAGGCATGGCAGCACTTGAGTTAGTGGGATGCGAGAAAGAGCATCCCAGGCTTCAACTCATTGCTTCAACTTCTTAGTCTAATCTATCTAGAGAAAAGATGGACCACGGGGGACGTGATAGCAATGTTCCAACATTTGAGGGACTGCCACAAAGAACAGGAGGTCCACCTATTCTCCAAAGCACCTGAAGGCAAGACAAGAAACAACAGATGGAAACGAATCAAGGAGAGAAGAAACTTAGAACTAAGGAGAAATTTTCTAAACAGTGAGAACAATTAACCAGTGGAACAGCTTGACTCCAGAAATTGTGGGTGCTCCATCCCTGGAGGCTTTTATGAAGAGATTGGACAGCCACTTGTCTGGAATAGTATAGGGCAGTGATGGCTAACCTTTTTGCCATCACGTGCCAAAAGTGGGGGGGAGCACGGGGGGGTCGCGCACACGCATGCCCACTCCCATAATTCAATGCATCCGGCGGATATGCGCACGACCCCACCGCGCGACCCCCATTTTGGCACACAATGGTACGGTGAGCCCAGTAGGCCCGTTTTTTGCCCTCCCCAGGCTCTAGAGGCTTTCTTGGAGCCTGGAGAGGGTGAAAATGGCCTTCCCCACCTTCCCAGAGGCCCTCCGGAGGCCAGAAACGGCCCATTTCCTGACTTCTAGTGGGACCGGAAGGTCTGAAAATCAGCTGGCCAGTGTGCACATGCGCGCTGGAGCTGAGCTACGGCAACGCTCGCGTGCCCACAGATATGGGTGACATAGGTTCGCCATCACGGGTATAGGGTCTCCTGCTTGAGCAGAGAGTTGGACTAGAAGACCTCCAAGGTCCCTTCCAACTCTGTTATTCTGTTAAATGTGATGTTAAATTGTCCTTGGCACTACCAGGTGTAGTATTTTCCCCTCTCCTCTTGAAATCATTTCTGATTTAATCTAGTATTCAGAAATATCTAGTATTTCTGATATAATCTAGTATGCTTCATTGAAAAAGAATTATTATATTGCAATCTGCCCAACTCCTAATTGGACTGTTGGATTATAGGTGGTCTCTCCCTGTAGGAAGAACTAGGACCCCAGATAAAAGTTGGATTTTTTAAAAAATGTTATGATGTTGTGGGCACCAAATGTATGTTTTGCAAAGAGGACCAGTTGCTGGCAATTTGCTACCAATGCAGATTTATTATTTATTTATTTATTGCTTCGATTTATATGCCGCCCTTCTCTGGAGACTCAAGGCGGTTTACAATGCATTAAGCAATAGCCTTCATACTTTTGTATATACCTGCTTAGTAGGGCTTTCGCCCCCCCCCCCCCAAGCGGTGTTCTTTTTTATACAAAGTCAGCCTATTGCCCCCACAATCTGGGTCCTCATTTTACCTACCTCCGAAGGATGGAAGGCTGAGTCAAACTTGAGCCTGGTGAGATTTGAACTCGCAGTAATTGCAGGCAGCTGGCAGCTAAGTGCTACTTAACAACACTTTAGTCCGCTGCTCCACCAAGGCTCCTATGGTGTCCCGCTTCCTTTTCTGATCTCTGCAATTTCCTTCCATGGTCGTTTTGGCTTGGTCTACAGGAAAGATTGGACATCCAGCTGCCTTTTTGATGCCTGACTGGTGCTTCCCACAGAGTTGGACAGATGTTGTGCAGATTAAAACAGGTTTAGCATTTGAAAGAACTGCACACGTTCAGCCAGTTGAATGTTGCAAGTTCTGTCTCCACTGGGTTTATCTGCTGATGCTGTGATAACAGGGAATTTGTTTACCATTCCTGCCACTTATATTAGTTTGGGAAACACACACAAGTGTTTTCAACTGTTGACCAGTATTTGTCAAACTCTGCAAGTTTAAGATGTGCGGACTACAACTCCCAGAATTCCCCAAGAAGAATTCTGGGAGGTCAACTCCAGAGATCTCCAGATGATCTGTCCCCGTCTACACACACACACAAACACAGCCAGCCGAGGGTTAAGAAAGTACTTGGCACGCACACAGGTCGTTATCTCAAACTTGGCAACAATATAAGCACCGTCTGCCAAGAGCTTTACTGCAACAGATAACATAAAATTACACACGCATTGTAAATAGTCCAGCAAAACAATATCCCTTTCGGCAGCTTCAGACGTTGTTCAAGTGACTAGCCAGAGTTAGTTTTTGTTCGTCACGGAGTTTTACCAGCCACCACCCTCTCTTATATAGTCTCTGGGGTGTGGTCCAGTGACTCAGTTCTAATCCCTAGCACGCCTCCTTAACTGCTGCAACCGTTTATCACGCCTTCGTTGGCGTGCATCCAGGAACGACGGCTCTCCTTCCTCGCTCTCATCCGAGACACCTGGATCCTGGCTAATCTCCTCTCCCTCGGCCGGCACCTGAGACAGTGCCAGAGGGGAGGGGCCTGGAGAGGGAGGCCTGGCTGACTCCTCTCCCTCATGTTCGGAGCCTTCTTCCTCCAATGAGATAGGCTCAGAGGGCGGGGCCACAACACCAGAGTTGACAGACTTGGGATGTAGTTCTTTTCATTTGGTTCTTAAGTGAGTCAGTGTTTTAAGCGAAACATCCCGTGACACAACTTTGCGATTTTTACTTCCGGCTTCTCCACTGACTCTGCTTGTCGGAAGCCAGCGTTGAAGTGCACCAATGGCAATCGCATGGCTGAGGGGATGCTGCTATAGTCATAAATGCGAGGACTGGTTGCAAATTTACTTTTTCAGCACTGCTGTAACTTCGAATGGTTGCTAAACTAGGCAGTTACCATGCGGGATTTACATACAGTAGTGGCCAAAATTGTGGAAACCGTTTGGGAAAAGTGTATTATGTAAAACTAGCTAATAACCCCACTTTTTTTTTTTTTTTGCAATAGTACCATAAAATTATATACCAATGGAAAGATAATTTATGCAATAATTTTTATGAAAGATTTGCTAATAGAATAGCAGTTACAGTATAAAGAAGAAAAATGAAACACCTAGAAAAAAACAAGATATACAAAAATTATCACCATCGAAAGAACGAGATATACAAAAACTATCACCATAGGAAAAAATGAGATATACAAAAATTATCACCATGTCAGTTAATACTTACATGGGTAACCTTTAGCATGAATTACGGCCTTACAAGGTCTTCCCATGGAGTGAACCAAGTCTTTTAGTTCTGCAGCTGTTATAGTGTGAAACCAAGATTGAATGATTGCTTCTATTAACTGGGTTTTATTGCTGGGTCGCTTCTGACGAACAAATTTCTTTAGTCGGCATTGGGTTAAGGTCTGGACTATTCCCAGCAGTGGAATATGATTATCTTGAAACTCCCCCCAAAAAAGTGGTGTTATTAGCCATCAAACCTCAAAAATACACTTTTCCCAAAAGTTTTCCACAATTTTGGCCACTACTGTACACACGCAGATCCATTCTAAAAGGAACATTTTTAAACAAGTGTCCCAGTAAGAACATACTGAGATGTTCTGCTTGTTGCAACAGATCCCTTTCAACATGTTAACCGTCACCTAACCATGTTTGTTACATCTCTTTTGACTCCACAAGGTACGGCAGAAAATCCATGAGTTTGTGCGAAAATAAATCTGAACTCTCAAGCTTGGAAACGTCAAACAAGCGGAACGTGAGCCCCAGCACCAGGCAGAAAAGAGGTAGGCCGTTCAGAAGACCCTCTCACCGAAAAGGGAGAAGAAAGGGGTCATGGGATAGAAACTCTTGCGAAGTTAGGCTATCAAAATAGGGATTGATGCAGTGAAGTTGTTGACTCTATCATGCTCTTATAGAGTGAGAGATTTCTGTCAGAGTTTGTTGCAGCAATCAAATCCAGAAAACACACACAGGTAACTGATGCAGCAGGATTCATTAACTTCTCTTTATATACATAATAACACATGAAACATATATACAATAACAAGAGTGGTTCTTCCAACGTGGTAGAGATGACAAGCAAACACAGGCAGAGGAGAGAACAGTTTCAGTTCAGCAGACTAGTTTGCAGCTTCAGAGCTCAGAGCTTAATACAGACCAAGAGAACCTCCTCTATACAGGGCAGTTAAGCTAAGCCTAAGCCACACCCAGACTCCTTGCTGTTTCAGTCAAATACTGTTTCAGTTTCCAAACAGTTCCCATTGGCTGACCTTGTTATCATGTCTCTGCCAGTCATTAATTCACTGACAATTTCTCTGTTATAGGCCTTGCATATTCAGTTGGGACAGAGTTCATGTGGTCAGTTGGAACATGGAAAGGATCAAGCTTGATTTTAAAAAAAAGCTTTGATATAAAGCCTCGATAGAAACAAGGTGTTGAGACCCTAAAAAAGAGCGCAGAGAAGAGCAAAAAAGATGATTAGGGAACTGGAGGCTAAAACATTTAAAGAACGGTTGCTTGGTTAGTCTAGAGAAAAGAAGGAACTAAGGGTTGACATGATAGCAGTGCTTCAATATTTGAGGGGCTGCCACAAAGAAGAGAGGGACAACCTATTCTCAAAGCACATGAAAGTAGGACAAGAAGCAGTGGATGGAAACTCATCAAGGAAAGAACCAACTTAGAACCAAGGGGAAATTTCCAGACAGTTAGAACAATTAATCAGTGGAATCACTTGCTTCCAGAGGTTGTGGGTGCTCCACCATTGGAAGCTTTTAAGAAGAGATTGGACAGCCACTTGTCTGGAATGGTATAGGGTCTCCTGCTTGAGCAAGGGGTTGGACTAGAAGACCTCTAAGTTCCCTTCCAGCTCTGTTATTCTCTATTGATCTTTCCCCGTTTGATGTACTGAAATCTTAAGCTGGCTAAAGATAGGGGAATCCAGTGATCAGTACCTGTCGACAACTACAACACAACTTTTGTATTTGGCTACGTGCCATCCTTTTTAACTGATGCAGCTGAAGATAGAACCTGGGGCCTTTTGTATGCCCCAGATGTGGAGATCACCCAAGATGGATTGATGATGGGCCATCAAGTTGGTGTTGACTCTTAACCATTACACAGATATTTTCCCTCTCTGTAAGCAGGTCTGACAGTTATCAACCTGATTTAATAATTACCAAAATAATTTAAAATGAAAAATTTAAGAGTGATGATGAATGTGGCAAGTTCCCCAACTCTGGGAAGAGTTTAGCTTTCTGGTTTGAGACTTGAGAGATTGCCGAAGAAAAAGTGCTGATAATTTTATTCTAGGAGAGGCTCCTGTGACCTAACCAGCATTGGGTTTCACATATTCTTACCACCGATTCGCCTTCCACGCATGCACCCGGCCTTGAAAACATGGCTAAATAGGATGGCATTACGCCAGGACCCACCCACAATCGCTGCTACCAGTTCACCTGAACCAGTCCAAACCGGCTGAATACCATCTCTGGTATTCAGCCGGTTTGGTACATCAACCAAGATTGTACAATGCCACTCAGACTACAGGGATCACCAACCGCTGATTGTAGACAGTAGATTGAGAAACATACGAACCTATGTCAGCTACTGACTTTGTAGTTTGTATGACTCCTCCACAGCATGTTTTTTCCAGTGAAATACACAGTGCGATCTTGAGTTTCTTGACTGCTGTTATATACACCGGCTGAAAATGAAGCCAGAGTAAGAAATTCCTTTCTGGATTTCAACCTCTTCCTCTCTGGGCTGTGGTGATGAAGAGTAGCATTTTGTCTGGCCTGTGCTGACTGTGACCCCTGGTTGGGGAATCTCTCTGCTTGTTGATCTCATACCAGAGAGTAAGTCTCTTTGCTGTATGTGGCAGGTCGGCCTTTTGAGATGGGATTTTTAATACAGACCGTTTGTGTAAGCCCAGCTGCTGTTTTGCCCTTGTACTTGGCATCTTCCCATCTGATGGATGGATGGAAGGATGGATGGATAGAAGGAAGGAGGAAGGAAGGAAGGAAGGAAGGAAGGAAGGAAGGAAGGAAGGAAGGAAGAAGGAAGGAAGGAAATAAGGCAGGCAGAGCAGGGCAAAGGAAGGAAGGCAGGCAGAGCAGGGCAAAGGAAGGAAGGAAGGAAAGAAAGAAATGTAGAAGGCAGGCAGAGCAGGGCGAAGGAAGTAAGGAAGGGAGGAAGGAAGGAAAGGAAGGAGAGTTGGGCAAAGGAAGGAAGAGAGCAGGGCAAAGGAAGAAAGGAGAGCAGGGCGAAAGAAGTAAGTTAGGAAGGAAGAAGGAAGGAGGGAAGGAAAGGAAAGGAAGAGTGGGGCAAAAGAAGGAAGGAGAGCAGGTGAAGGAAGGAAGGAAGCAGGGCAAAGGAAGGAAGGAGAGCAGGACGAAGGAAGGAAGGAAGGAAGGAAGGAAGAAAGACAGAGCAGGGCAAAGGAAGGAAGGAAGGAAAGAAATGTAGAAGGCAGGCAGAGCAGGGCGAAGGAAGGAAGGAAGGAAGTTAGGAAGGGAGGAAGGAAGGAAAGAAGGAGAGTTGGACGAAGGAAGGAAGGAGAGCAGGGCAAAGGAAGAAAGGAGAGCAGGGCGAAAGAAGTAAGTTAGGAAGGAAGGAGGGAAGGAGAGGAAAGGAAGAGTGGGACAAAGGAAGGAAGGAGAGCAGGGCAAAGGAAGGAAGCAGGGCGAAAGAGGTAAGTTAGGAAGGAAAGAGAAGGAAAGGAAAGGAAGAGTGGGGCAAAAGAAGAAGGAGAGCAGGGTGAAGGAAGAAGGAGAGCAGGACGAAGGAAGGAGGACAGTAGGGTGAAGAAGGAAGGAGATCAGGGTGAAGGAAGGAAGGAGAGCAGGGTGAAGGAAGGAAGGGCAGCAGGGCAAAGGAAGGAAGGAGGAGAAGGGTGAAGGAAGGAAGGAGAGCAGGGTGAAGGAAGGAAGGAGAGCAGGGTGAAGGAAGGAAGGAGAGCAGGGTGAAGGAAGGAAGGAGAGAGGGCAAAGGAAGGAAGGAGAGCAGGACGAAGGAAGGAAGAAAGGACAGCGGAGCGAAGGAAGGAAGGAAGGAGAGAAGGACAAAGGAAGGAAGGAGAGCAGGGCGAAGGAAGAAAGGAAGGAAAATTAGCAGAACTGTTGTCAATTTTACCTGGATAATATTGATAGGCAAAAGATCCATCGTTTCACCATTCTAACAATAAAAAACCTTGAGATGTCCACCAGTGACACGGAAAACAAATAATCGGAACTCTTGTATAACAGTTGCTGAGGCTCATCCTCCACATTCTTTCAGAAGATGCAGCCAGCCTAGCAGCCCAGAATAAATCACCCTGGAGGGCAGCAACTGGTGACAGAAAGGAGGGAACATTCCTGCCACAATATACATTTGCCACCTGGAGATGATGCATTGTTTCTACCACACCGGGTCAAAAAAAACAGCCACATTTGATGCACAGCAGGAGGAGAGGAAGAAGGGAGGTTATTTTGGCTGTAGGCTAGTGGCAGGTAAAAGCACTTAAGCTGGTGGCCTTGAGAAGCAGTTCATCTGAACTCATGCCAGGACAACCTGATAGAGCAGATCAGCCGGGAGTCCATTTCATTCAGCTAAAACATCCTCTAAATCGCATGGAGCTCAAACTCCCAGAATTCCCCAGCTGGGCTGGCTGGCTGGGGGAATTCTGGGAATTGAAGTCCACATGCCTTAAAGTTGCCAAGGTTGGACACCCCTGCTCTAAATGGAAAAAAAATAGGAGTGTCCTTTTCAAGACTCTAAGCTCCTCTTGCCTCTAGAAAGCTGTGGTTTGAACAAAATAGCAGAACCCAGTTAGATAGCTTCTTCCTTAAGTTTTAATGGTCTTTTTTTTTTTTTTTTTTTTTACAAATACTGTACATGAGCATCTCTTTGACTAATAAGCAAGTACTGGAGTGCATAACACCAGATAAGTCACTTGAAGGCAAAATCACAACACTGCGTCTCACTTATTTTGACCACGTGATGCTGGGAAATCCACTGGAGAAAGCAATTACGTTGGGAAGAGTTAGCAGTAAAAGGAAAACAGGCCATCAAAGAACACGGTTGCTGGATACCATCAAACTGACACCAGCCAGAGCGTAGAAAAACTCAAAGAAGTAATGCAAGACGGGAAGATGGGGAGAGACGTGGCCCGTAGAATCAGCAGGAGTTGAAGGGGTAGCATCATCACAGCATCTCTTGTGCACCTCCTGCTGGCCGAGAAGAAATTAAATTGAATTCCCTTCATCCTTCAGAAACTCTTGTCTTAATTGTATGATAAAGACAGAACAGCTGAGTTAATTTGGCAGGACGAACCTTATTGTTTGACATCAACAAGCTAAAGCAAGAGTTTTTATATATATAAAGCTTATATCTTATAAGAGGAAAACCTTTTTCTCCTTCCTTCCTTCCTTCCTTCCTTCCTTCCTTCCTTCCTTCCTTCCTTTCCTTCCTTCCTTCCTTCCTATTTCCCAGAATCCGTGCACAAATGTTTTGGCCCTTCTTCCCCATACTCAACGCATCTTTCAGCTCTTGTATAATTCCAGCCAAATAAACCATCCAGACAAGGATATATTTATTTCATGATGCTTATAGAAGGGCAGAAAATCTTCCATCTCCTAGTCAGTGGTGGGATTCAAATAATTTAACCACCAGTTCTGTGTCCTAATGACTGGCTGGGGTGGGCGTGGCCATGGTGGGCGTGGCCAGGGGTGTGTGACAGGCAGCACTCAGCCTCCTGCACCTCCCTGGGAGCGAAAACAGGCTGCGGGGGGGGGCGCACCCCCTGTGCCCCGTTTTGGGCCTAGGAGGCCTCCCTGAAGCCTCCTGGGAGTGAAAACAGGCTGTGAGGGGAGCACTGCACTCCCCCGCATCCTGTTTTGGGCCTAGGAGGCCTCCCTGTACTTACCTGGGAGCCAAAATGGGGCACTCCTGGAAGGGGCGGGTGGGAAGGGGCGGAGTCAGCCAGCAATTTAACTACCAGTTCGCCCGAACCGGCCTGAACTGGCTGAGGAGAGGTTTTAAGGACCACATTCCAGATGAGACAGGGAACAAAGTTAAAAGTGAATAGAATTGGGGATTTTTTAAAAAAAAGACTATCAAAGTTAGCAGAGGCTTCAATTGCATATACCATTCCCTCTGTGTCTACTCTGAAGTAAGCAAGAGCCAGACAGCAAGGAGGAACAGTATGAAGCTTGAACAAAGTAAATTTATTCATTTCACCTGTTTTGGAATCTCCGATTCTTTCGGAAGGGTTTTATGGCATGATTGCAACTGTCTGTGGTAAATACGTCAGAAGCAAGAAACAAATAGCTTGTACCAGAGTGACCCAGTTTCCAGGTGTGAGATGAGGATAAACAAGATTGTTACGGCTTTATTTAGAATGATGATTAGTAGGTACATGAGAATAATAGTGAGCCTGGGATGAGTTGCCTAAGTGACCACATTGAATTCCCTTCATCCTTCAGAAACTCTTGTCTTAATTGTATGATCAAGACAGAACAGCTAAGTTAATTTGGCAGGATGAACCTTATTGTTTGACATCAACAAGCCAAAGCAAGGGTTTTTTATATATAAAGCTTATATCTTATAAGAGGAAAACCTTTTTCTCCTTCCTTCCTCCTTCCTTCCTTCCTTCCTTCCTTCCTTCCTTCCTTCCTTCCTTCCTCCCTCCCTCCCTCCCTCCCTCCCTATTTCTAACCTGGAGTACATGCATTGCTAAGTAGGAGTCAATAGAGCAAATCAACAGAAAAATACAGCAGCAAACCCTAATTTCCATAATTTTCTTTAATCTCAATTTCACCTCCTGCACTTAAGTCACAAACTTTAAAAAGTGAGGTATTTAATATTTTAATATAATGAATTAAAATCCAAACATTTTTTGGATTTTATTTTTTTCCCCCAGAAACCTATTTTTACCATGCTCAAAATTCAAATCCCTTTCTTTGATTCTGGATTGCAAATTAATCTAGCTCTTGTCCAAGATACAGTGGATCTTACACGAGTTGTGCATGCAACTCATGAAATTATTGGGTTAAATATTGCTTGTTTCCCAGTTGGGCAAACTTGGCGGATTTACGAAAGTTAATTGAGACCACTAGGAAAGGCTGTAGACTGGAGTAGAAGTCAAAAAAAGTATCTCAGGAGATAATTAATAGAAAACTTCCAAGAAAGCTGGAAGTCATCCTCAGGAGCCAAACTCAACTCAAAGGAGACATTTATTGAAACTTGTTTGCCTTAGTATTTTGTTATTTTTCTTCTAGCATTAGCACAGCTGCTAACTGAAGGGTGTACTATATTCAACAAAATGCTTTGAATTTGTTATTTTTAAGCAATTCTTAATAACATTTCATGGGGGTGTGATGGCCTAGAAGTTAAGATGCTTGTTGATTGGAAGGTTGGCAGTTCGAGACCCAAGTATTGTGTGATCGTGTGAACTCCCATTCTTGCCCAGTTCCTACCTAGCAGTTTGAAACATGTAAATGCGAGTAGATAAATAGGTTGTCAGGGTTCCAAGTAATATACCCATAGCAACCAGAACTCCGAGGCAGGTAGATTCCTTAAAGAACAGTTTTATTAGATATATCATTTCACGGACTGGTGAAAACCGACTCTAAAGGTTCCCATGGTTTTCATCTAATTAAAAGTAAAATTTTTCCCCCACTTTCCCAAACAATCAGTCACATGGTCCAGTCAAGGTGCTGTCCGGTTGCTTGGAAACTTCACTCCCCCTTTCTTCAGCCACCTTGCGGGAATGTCCTTGGTTTTCAGGGGAAACTATTTTGTTTTGGCTACAAAATGGCCTGTCAGGCAGCTTCAGAGTTGACATAGGTACCCACTTTGATGGGAAGGTAACAGCTTCTGTGCACCTTTGACATGTAGCAATCCTGGCCACGTGACGACAGAAGTGTCTTCCAACAATGTTGGCTCCCTTGGCTAGGAAACAGAGATGAGCACTGCCCCGTAGAGGCAAATGCAACTGGACAGGGAAAACTTTTACCTTGACAAACATGTCATTATTTTCGAGAGAACTGCTGTTGTTTCAGTATGCCACGTTTGTTTTCTTAAGCTGGAAAGTTATTCTCATATTTAGCAAATTAACGGATGCTGAGGAAGTGCTATAACCTTCGTCAGCCAGCAGTTTCAGCTACATTGTGAATACACAATAGTGGTCCTCTTTAAACCCAAAACCTCTCGTGTACAAACTAACGATAATTTTGCGACGGATGCCATATAAACTTGACTGCATGTAATTCCAATCTCTGCATTGGGATGTTTTGTGGGCGTTTGCTTTTTTTTAAATTACTTTGCGCTGAGTTGTCCTTTCAGGATTGCAAACCCCCCTCCCCCTTTCCATTTTGCTTACTAATGAAGCCCAGCTACTAAAACCTATTATCCTGTGCATGAGAATATCGGTTTGGCTCGGCCGGTTTGATTCCTTGATTCCTCAGATTCCTATTCCTTCCTCGTTTCCTGCTCCACAGCCGTGGGCTCAAACTGCCCCGCCATTCTCGGTCCCTTCCCCCGGCTTCCTCAAGCTTGAACCTTGGCCTGTCTTCCTAAACTGCCAGATTAACCCCTTCTTGCCTTCCTTCTCTCCTTCCTCTGCCTCTCTCTCCTAGCCGATTCTTCCACCAGCCTTAACCTTGAGCGATCAGCTCTTGCTCGAAAGCGGTTTACATTACAAGGCCTTTCCAACCGCAGAGCCCTACCCAAAGGTAAACGCCTCCACGCCTGTCTTCCATTCCATTTCGCCATCTGCCATCGCTGCTGCGGCTTCATTCCCATCCCTCACGCACTGCAGTAAAGTTTTCTTTTCCGACAGCCATTTCTTCCGTTTGTGCTGGTTGTGCATCCGTGCCTTTCACAGAATGTGCTGATAACATGCATGGAGTGAACAGGGGGTGTCCCCCCAGCCCCCCCAGGTGTGGAGGTAAGCCTTATGGCTTACCTTACCTTCCATAATTATATTATGGAAACATTACCATATCTGGGCTGTAAAAATCAATGTAACCACTAGATGGCAGCAAATAATTCCATATTTAAGGATCTCACTGCCACCTGTTGGTGAGCGTCTGGCATTTTTTGCGACTAAATTGTTCTTGTGAATATATTTTATAAGCCCTCCTGGCCATCAATTTAGCCATAAAATGTGTCTTTATTAGTGATTTGGCAGCACAGCAATCCGGTAGATTCTATAAGATGTTACGAATCAAGAATGAGGACAATTCTACTTGAAGCCCGCATCGTCTGAAGGGCACCGAGGGTGGGCAGAATTGCCTTTCAATTTATTTATTCATTTTTTGCATGTTTCTACCTCACCTTTAACCTGCATCTATCTGCTCTCCCAGATCCAGAGTCTAAAGAGAGAGACGTTCCCCGTCGCTTTTCCTTAGCTTCCTCCATCAACTCCACAACTAACACATCTTCTCTAACTAAAGGTATGGACATACTAACTAACCCATTAGTTCAGTGGTGGGCAAATATGGCCCTTTTATGACTTGTGGACTTCAACTCCTAGAATTCCTGAGCCAGCTTGGCTGTCTCAGGAATTCTGGGAGTTGAAGTCCACAGGTTGTAAAAGGGCCACAGTTGCCCACCCCTGCATTAATTGCTTAATTTCCTGTATGTAAATTGCTGCAAATACTGCTAAAATTATACAACAGAGCCGGTGTTACACCTTGTAAGGCTCAGAGAAATGGGCCATTGTAGTAGCAAGAGTTTTAGTATTGGAATAACACTGCCATTTGTGTAGTTGCGCCAACAGATTAATACTCCAATGAAGGAACTCTACTTGCTAGATAGGTAGTCCTTGTCTTATGACCTCAATTGGGACCAGAATTTTTTGTTGCTAAGCACGGCAGTTCTTAAGTAAGCTGCATCTGATTTTACGAACTTTTTTTGCCATAGTCATTAAGTGAATCGTATAGGGTTTCCTGCCTGAGCAGGGGGTTGGACTAGAAGACCTCCAAGGTCCCTTCCGACTCTGTTGTTTTGTTCTGTCTCAATTGTTCAGTGTATCATTGTGGTTGTTAAGCAAATCTGCCTTTCCCCGTTGACTTTGCTTATTGGAAACCCCCTAAAACGGTCACAAATAGCCACCACGGAACCGCAGAGACCCTGCAACCATTGTAAATGCACGCCCGTTGCCAAGTGCCCGAATTTTGATGTCGTGGCCATGGGGATGCTGCAAAGGTTGTAAGTACGGTTACAACTGGTTGTAAGTCGTATTTTTCAGTGCTGTTTTAACATTGAATGGTCACTAAATGAATGGTTTTAAGGCGAGGACTACCTCTAATGCTATGATATAATCTTCTGATACGAATCAAACCTGGGGGGGGGGGAGAGAGAAATTCCTTGATTTTGGTGCAGAATTCTGTATTTGAACAGTGTTGATTGGTTGGGTCTTACGACAGCCATAAAAAATGCTTCCTCTTCCAAACACAACTTTGCAAACGTTTGATCAGTTTTCTATGCATCTCCAGCCTCTTGTGACATGTCAGTCAGTTAGAAAAACAAATGGAAAGTATTGTAAACCTACCAATTAATATTCTGGATACACCGAAAGGCAACGAAGGGAGAGGAAAACCAAGAGCCAAGTTTGTAATATTACATGGAAAACCTTTGGATTACCAAAATATTAGTTTCTCTTGGAAACCTGTGATTCAGTTTCTATCATGATACTCAGCATGTTATCAGTACTTAACTGAGTTTAGTGGGTCTCTGAAGTTAAGTGGGGGTCATCCTGGTTAACCCTTGGATGGGTAAATTCCAGAAAAATCCCAGGGCTGTTAGCTTAGACTGGGAAATAAAAAAACACATCAAGTTTTTCAGAAGAGTTGCCGACAGAGATAATTGCATGAAATTACCAGGTGTGAGATGGATGCAATTACCAAGAACCGAGTTTGACTCAAGGACATCTTTATTATCCTAGGTTATATATCTGACTAGAAACATGGTAATGCAATATATTATGTAAGTCAGAGGTATCAAACTCAAGGCCCGCGGGCCAGATCCGGCCCGTGATGTGGCTAGATCTGGCCCACAGAGCTGCCCTTGAGACAGCAAAGGACTAGCCCCCAGCGCCTCAGCTCTGGCCCAGGCCAGCCAGGCGCTAATCTATAACTTGATGGCTGCCATTCGGGTTGGAACACAATCAGCCTTAGAAGGAAGGAAAAAGATGGGAATGAGAAGGAGAGAAGGACAAAGGGGAGGGAGGGAGGAGGGAGGGAGGGAGATGGGAATGAGAAGGAGGGAGGTAGGGAAGCTGGCCACGCCTACCCCGGTCACATCCACCCCAGCCACGCCCACCCCCGGCCCCCAAGCTTAACCACGACCCTGATGCGGCTCACAATGAAATCGATTTTGACACCTCTGATGTAAGTCAACAAACTTTAATCGCTAAGGGGAAAAAAACTAAGAGGAAATTTAATATCTATCAATACAAAAATGTATTCTTATAGTCAGCATAATATTTAGAGGCTCTGTTGTCCTATCCATTTTTAACTTCAATTTTCTACAGTCGGAGAGAATACGGAGACAGAGTTTCATGCGCTGGAATCACGATTACTTAGCTAAAAGTTCATGCGCACAGAAACTCATCTAGATGGGCATGAAATGTAATAATTCTTAAAACATTAAGAGAGGAGATCAGTCTGAGCCCAAGCCCCTTGGTAGGAATCCTATAGTTCTTTCGATAACCAGAAATAATCTATAAAAATGAAGCATTGGGTAAATTTGCTGCCGATCTCACAACATTGTGCTTTTTTTTTTTTAATTTGATATATATATATATATATATGCTTCTTCCATCAACTGCTAAGCCCTTTTAGAATAGAATAGAATAGAATAGAATAGAATAGAATAGAATAGAATAGAATAGAATAGAATAGAATAGAATAGAATAGAATAGAATTTTTATTGGCCAAGTGTGATTGGACACACAAGGAATTTGTCTTGTGCATACGCTCTCAGTGTACATAAAAAGAAAAGATACGTTCGTCAAGAATCATAAGGTACAACATTTAATGATAGTCATAGGGAACAAATAAGCAATCAGGAAACAATATCAATATAAATCGTAAGGATACCAGCAACAAGGTTACAGTCATATAGTCATAAGTGGGAGGAGATGGGTAGTGGGAACGATGAGAAGATTAATAGTAGTGCAGACTTAGTAAATAGTTTGACAGTGTTGAGGGAATTATTTGTTTAGCAGAGTGATGGCGTTTAGGGAAAAACTGTTATTGTGTCTAGTTGTTCTGGTGTGCAATACTCTATAGTGTCGTTTTGAGGGTAGGAGTTGAAACAATTTATGTCCAGGATGCGAGGGATCTGTAAATATTTTTTGACTCGTGCAGTATACAGGTCCTCAGTAAAAAGCAGGTTGGTAGCAACTGTTTTTCCAAGCCAAGCGAGCAGGCCTGGCATCATCTAACTGTATTTCCAATCTTTATTATCTACAAACTTCGCACAGGTCCCCTTGTTCCTGCGGTTAAAGTCAAGAGGCACGAAATCAAAAGCGACCCAACTCCTTTCGGTTTTGAAGGTACAGCTCCCGAATCCATGCATGCTGTTGACTTGTAGATTGTCCTTTCTCACATCACCCACTAACATTTGAAACCATTCTCTGAATCGCCATATCAAGATGAGCTTTGTTGGTTGTCCATCATTGTATTTATTACCTGTCATATCTATCTCTGAGCACTTAAAGGTGCTTTTTCAAGAGACAACTGGACTTCCTTTGTTTTTCCTTGGCGACGTTTCGCTTCTCACCCGAGAACTTTCTTCACAACTGAACAAATCAATTAGTTAAATCTATATAATATTATTTTTCTAAGGCACTCAGTCACAGTTCTGCTTCTCCTGTCTCCTTACCTGTTATTGTTTTGACGTGAAACTCTAAAATGACATGATCAAATATAGCCTACAAAATATCTATTTTTGTTCACGGTTCAATTCATTCTACTTTTATCTATTCTTAATCTTCTCCATTTCCATCGGTCATATTTGAATGAATGCAGCTTTGCCTTCATCTGTCTTTGAGAATGCTAACCTCTAGTGGCTTTGACTGCATGCTTACCTATAGTGTCAATCTTTTTACCTGTGCTGTGTTTGGTTGATGCTAATCTTGTTTTATTTGCTAATCAGTAATCACACAAAATGTCTTGGCAGTCCTACTGTGACTTATTGACTGCATGCTTTCCACGTTCAAATAGCACTGGCATGTAACCTCTGTCAGACTTTATATTTTCTTTTAAATCCAAAAACGTAAAAATTATAGCATTCACTTAGCATGGAAGAGGATATAAAATTATTCCGGGTGCAGGAGAGTTTTAATATCACTGCTCCCTCTAGTGGTAAGAAAATTCTGTTTGTGACACCTCAAGTCTCTATGAAAATGTCAGATGCCTATCTCAGGGCTGTCAAACTCGTGGTCCGTGGGCCTGATGCGCTGGCCACACCTACACCTGGTTTAGCAAAGGGGAAAAAAGTCACAATACGTCACGTGACGAAACCATGGCGACGCGAGTTTGACACCCCTGCTCTAGATTTTTTGCGACTCCTGGCCTTTCCGTAGTTTGATTTACCATATTTTTCAGAGTATAAGACGCACGTTTTTCCTTCCTAAAAGGGGGTGAAATGTAGCCCCGCCCATCCACTGGCCCCCACCCTTTGGCCTGTGCCTCGTAGCAGTTACCTCCTTGCAAGCAAACAGCAAGAAAATCAGCTCCTTTCAGCTTCAGCACAGCCTAATTAGCACAAGTTGATTGGATCGGCCTCCCGGCTCTCAGCTGATTTGCTCTCAGCTGTTTTGCGCAGGGCTCTGCTGCTTGCTGCAAAGAGATAAATTGCTGGAGCAGATTTTTTTTTTCCTTGTGCTAATCAAGCTATGCTGAAAACAAAAATGAAAGTAAAGCAGGCTGTTTGCTGCAACATGGCAAAATTGCTCAGAGGCAGAGGGAGATTTCTTTTTCTTCTTTTCCTCACCAAAAAAGGTAAGTGTGTTTTATACTCCGAAAAATACGGTAACCATGGCACCATTCCCAGACAATAGGATGGCTCTCCATGTGTCCATAATAATACCTTTATTTTGATCCCAGTCCACAGATGAGATAGACTTACAGGTAGTCCTCAACTTACGACCCCAGTTAAGACCAATTATTGCTAAGGGAGACAGCTGTTAAGCGACTTTTGCCTCCTTTTTACGACCTTTTTTGCCACAATTTTGCCACAATTAGGGGACACGGTGGCTCAGTGGCTAAGACACTGAGCTTGTCGATCAAAAGGTCGGAAGTTCAGCAGTTCGAATCCCTAGTGCCGCATAACTGGGTGAGCTCCTGTTACTTGTCCCAGCTTCTGCCAACCTAGCAGTTCGAAAGCACATAAAAAAAAATGCAAGTAGAAAAATAGGGACCACCTTTGATGGAAAGGTAACAGTGTTCCATGTGTCTTTGGCATTTAATCATGCCGGCCACATGACCACCGAGACATCTTTAGACAGCGCTGGTCATACGTGTGAAAAATGGTCCTAAGTCACATGTTTCAATGCAGTTGTAATGGTCACTAAATGAACTTTTGTAAATCGAGGACTACTTGTATACCGCTTCATAGTGCTTTCACCCCTCTCTAAGCGATTTACGGAGTCAGTATATTTGCCCCCAGCAGTCTGGGTCCTCATTTTACCGATCTCGGAAGGATGGAAGGCTGAGTCAACCTTGAGCCGGTCAGAATCGAACTGCCAAACTGGTGGCAGCCAGCAAACAACAGAAGTAGGCTTCAGTACTGCATTCTAACAACTGCGCCACCACAGCTCTTAGTAATACAGTCCTTCAATGTTAAGTTCTAAATAAACTCATACAACATGCATTGCCCCAGTTGGGGAACAGCTTTTTAAAATGTTCTGAGGAGATTTAGAAGCAATTGGCAGAACCTTCTCTAAAAATATCGCAGTCCACTCCCCTCTTAATGTGACTGCCAAGGGCAGCTGGTCTTGCTTTCCAATTTGTCAATGTATATAGCAAAGACACCAATAGGTGAGGCTCTGGTTACGTAGCTGAGGCTGCCATCTTGATTTTGTTGATGTTCTATCTAACAGTCTCCACTGATCCAGAGTAAGGGGTCCTGAGGAGACCTGTTTTCCTTAACACAACCTTTGATCTTTGTCAAGGAAAGTTTGCATGCTCACCATTTCATCTTTAAGATGGCCGCCAACCAGCATTTTTAAAATTATAGAATACTCTGCTTCCTATCCCAGATGCCTTTGAAAGCACCCTCTTGGCTCAAGCTAACTCCAACGCCGTTTCCTCTGCAAGAATGGTACCCAGATCAGCTTCACAGACAGGTAAAAAGAAATCAAGAGTATTCTTTTTAAGATCAGATGCTCATGCGCTTGAGAACATCTTTGGAGAAAAAAAGGATCTGGTATGGAGAAAATTTATCTGGGTTAGCCCCATGAAATGGACTGAAACTCTTTTACACAACAAGAAGCCCTAGATTCTTAAAAATGCGCTCAACACTTGGCTGGGGTTTGTGCCAGAAGCCTCTTGATTGATTAAAGCATGAAAAAATCATTTTTATTTTCTATTGACCACCTTTTTTTCTACCTTCAACTTCAGTTGTATTCTATTTATCCATCCTCTGTTTTCTTTCTCCCTGTTTTGAAAATCATAAACTCTTCAGAGGGTTGACTTAGCTATGTTGCTTCGTGAGTCCAGTTGATTCCTGGTGACTTCATGGACACAGGGCAGTTTTCTTGGCAACGCTGCTGAAATTGTTGCCTATTGTCTTCTTCTGGGATGTTTTTTTTCCCCCCAACTTCCCAGGGATGCCCACAGTCTCTGGGGCTCTCCAGAGGTCTCCCGTCCAAATATTAACAACTGGCCGAGCCCAAAAATGGTCAAGCAGAGGTTGTCTCTTTCAGAACACACCTCATGCGTTGCTGGTATTCTCATCATGTTGTCATGATTAAAAGAGTCCAGAGAAGGTCTATACTCCAGTGATTCAAGTCCTACTGTCGTGTGGCGGTGTGAGCTCCTGTCACGTGCCTCAGCTCCTGCCAACCTAGCAGTTCAAAAGCATGTAAATGCAAGTAGATAAATAGGTACCACTTTGGTGGGAAGTTCCCAGTGTTCCATGTTTCACCATACACTTTACACTGCGGCATGATGACATGCTGGCCAGATGATTGTGGAAATGTCTTTGAACAGCACTGGCTCACCGGCTTAAAGAAACAGAGATGAGTAAAATCTGTTAGAGTTTGTTGCAGCACACACAATCAGACAATTCAGCAGGATTCAAAACTTCTTTATATATATAATAACACATAAGGCAAATATATAATACCTATGCTGGTTTTTCCAACATGGTAGAAAGAAAAGATTGTAAGTAGGTACAAACAGAGGCCAGGGACAGCAAGAGTCAAGACTCCTCCTATATACAGAACAGTTGAGCTAAGCCATGCCCAGGCTTCTAGTTGTCTGAACCACCAAACAGCCCCCATTGGCTGACCTTGTTGCTATGCCTATTCTAACTCATGAACTCTTATACACTGACAAAATCCACAGGGATTCCTTTACGTTTTGTCATGATTATGATTTTCAGAAGAAATACCTGTTTTGATTCTGACACTGCAATCTTCAATAAAGCGATGCTCTCCAGGTGTGTTTTAACTGCCTGACTGAGCCAATACCGTACAGGACGCGATCCCACTTTTAAATCATCTCTTCTTCCAAAAATCCCTAAATATTATACATCGCGTGTCTTAGAAGCTGACTGTCAACTGTCTAATATTGATGGACTGGCACTTTTTAGAAAAAAACAATCTTCTAAACAAAAGGAACAAATTAGCATTGTATAATATATGAATTATTTCGGTAAAGGATTACATTTAATACTTTAATAAATGCATGCATATTAGGAGAGAGAAATTGGGCTAATCTCGTTCATCAAGAACTAAAGAAATAAAAGCAGGAAAGTAGCTGGACTTCGGCACTATGGCTGAGCAGCACACAGAAATCCCAGCAACCCAGGAATGCAATGCTGATTTGGGGAGTTGAATTTGGGGCTACAATTATTATTATTATTATATTTACAAGACTCCTTTTATCTTATCTAAATCAAATATCAAATTTGATTTGATATCTAAAACGCAACAGGAGATAATGCCAACTGTGTTTTTTTAATGAAGGTTGGCCGAGCAGACAGATGCCATCGCTAGATACATTTGAGGACTTCGAAGCCATCCCATCCAGCACTGAGGACCTCTCAAACTCTTCAGATCTGGATGAAGACAGCCACCCTTCTAATGTAGGTAACATCCTTCTGACCTTCGTGCAAGATCTAGACGTGTCAAAAAGACCAGTTTTACCCAATTCCGGGCTACAGGTCTATTTCCAAGATGGTTTTGGGTTGGGTACTTCAAGGATCTTTAATAATAGAGGTAGTTCTTGCATTTGCTGGAGAAAACAATTATGTTTGGAAGAGTTAGCGGTAAAAGGAAACCAGGCGCCAAAAATTACAATGGTTGGACACCATTAAAGCTGGCACAAGCCAGAGCATAGAACAACTCAACGAAATTGTGCAAGATCAGAAGTTGTAAGGAGATCTGGCCCATAGAATCCCCAAGAGTTTGGCACTTCTGAATGGATAAGATCATCACCATTTCTTGCGTAAAAACCACTTGCTTAACAACTGTTACGAAGTTACAATGGACTTCAAAAAAACTAGTTGTGACCTGTCCTAATACTTAACAATTGCCACACTTCCCCTCCGGTCACACGATTCTATTTCAGGTGCTTGGCAACTGGTTTGCCTTTATAACCAGTTAAATTGACACCAGGAAGGCCCAGGTTCGAATCTGTGCTTAACCATGACTCTTCTTTGGGTAACTTTGAGCCAATCACTCTTTCTCAGGCCAGTCTATGCGAGTTGTGTCCTTTAATGCTCAAATGAAATACCTTTTTGAGAATGTGTGGTAGTGTTTTTTTTTAAAATTTGATTTATATGCCGCCCTTCTCTGGAGACTCAGGGCGGCTTACAATGCGCTAAGCAATAAGCAATAGCCTTCATCCTTTTGTATATTTATACAAAGTCAGCTTATTGCCCCCACAACTGGGTCCTCAATTTATCTACCTTAGAAAGGATGGAAGGCTGAGTCATCCTTGAGCCTGGCGAGATTCGAACCTGCAGTAATTGCAGGCAGCTGGTCTTAATAACAGGGTGCTTTAGACCACTGTACTACCAAGGCTCTTTTGTTGAAAACAGAGGTCTTCAAGCTTGGCAACTTTAAAATTTGTGGACTTCAACTCCCAGAAATCCTCAGCCAGACGGGAGTTGAAGTCCACAATTCTTAAAATTGCTAAGTTTGGAGACTCCTAGCCTAGAAGAATATGTGCAGTAAACTTGCTTTTAAATTGAGCTTCAGCCTCAGCGCTAAGTATAGAACATTGAGAATGTCAGAGATGTCAGCCTTGAGAGTCCAGACAAGAAAACACCTAGAAATACCAGCATTAACTTTATGCCTCTTATCTGACTGTTCTGTCCCCACTACACGTTAGTCTGTGTGTGCAGCTCAACATGCAGCTAAACCCACCTATCCTCCAATAAAACAGACCGTGTGTGTAGATCTGAATGCTTTATTGAAAGAACAGGATATGGTGAAACGGGGGAAAACAGGGATACATACAACAAGAACCAAATACAAGATAGGCAGTATTAAGTTACTGCTCAACATAACAATTAATAAATACAAGCAATTTAAATCTCACCGGCGATGCTCGTGTGGGATGTGGGTTTGTCCAGTGGTGGGATTCAGCCAGTTTGAGCCAGTTCGGGCAAACCGCTTGTTAAATTTCTGGCTGGCCCCTCCCCTCCCTGCCCCATCCAGGGGTCCCCACGTGCCCGTTTTGGCTCCCAGGTAAGTGCAGGGAGGCCTACTAGGCCCAAAACAGAGTGCAGGGGGGGTGGGCCCCCCCCCCCCCCCCGTGGCCTATTTTTGCTCTCAGGGGGCTGCAGGAGGCCGAATGCTGTCTATCACACCCCCTGGTCACGCCCACCATGGCCACACCCACCCACCCGGTCATTAGGGCAGAGAACTGGTTGTTAAATTATTTGAATCCCACCACTGGGTTTGTCCTTGGATGACAATGTGCCACAGATTAAGATGGATTCTTTTTTGTGCTTCTGACTTCTCCAAATGCTAAAGGAAAATGGAGTCTGGCTTCCCAGCATGAACTTGTTTGAGAGTGTGGGCTGATGGGTAAAATGGGTAGGATCATCTTCAAACAATATACTTGGGGCATATTTGTCTCTCCGGCCACTAGATGAGGCTAGAGGGCAACAACAATATATAAAGATCATATGGTGTGGCATGACATCGACTATTGTCTAGTCCATGGTTTTTTCTCCTGTCCCCCAAGGTCATTCTCACATACCATTACAGAGATTAAAATGTAGTCACTGCTGTACCAAATATTTGTAGATCATTTATATTTATAATATTTGTATACCTCCTTTCTCTTTTCCTAACATGCTTATATTAATGAACATTTGCAGTGTATCAGTGACATACCGTTGGCTATTTTCAGAAATAACTATCTGTGGCTTGGTTTCATTCATTTTTAGGGATCGAATCTATACCGGGTAGAAGGGAGTTTTGATACCTGCTTCCCAGACTCCCTCACCTTAGAAGAGGGCGATCTAGTGCAGTTTATTCAGGAAGGAGAGAATGGACAATGGTAAGTAAATGATATACTTGCTCATACAATTTTTAAATCATAATTAAAAGGGAAAAAATGCTTTCCCCTAGGTTCTTGAGCCCTACTCTGAGCCCTGATTTCGGCGAGAATTAAATTAGTTAAAAATTTTCCCTGTGCTCCCAGGAGCATCAAGTAAAATGATACCACCTTGTTGTTTTGCTAGCTGATCCATGATCATTTGGTATGCTTTTTTCTGATCTTGGTTTTATTGATCATAGCCATACATTTGTCCTCAAGAATAATCAAAGACTTGTTGAAAATGTCCAGACCAAATGTAATTTCTAATGTTGGATTTTCCCCCTTACCAGAGGGAGACTGCTTGTGGAGTACTGTGAAGCCATTACCATGGCAACTCCATTGTGCTGCACAGTAGAAGTCATTTTAAGGCAGTACAGTAGAAGCCATTTTAAGGCACAACAGGCTGTATCTTAACAGAACACACACCCGAAGGTGTGTTAGGGATGTCTTACCCCCATAGTATTTCTTTCCAGAGAGTAAGCCATCTGTGTACCAAGTTTGGTTGAAATTGCTCAAGGCATTCCAGAGTTATGCTGGAACATACACACACACAGCCATTTATATATATATAAATATATATAAGATTTTGGATGTGTCTCTGAACATTCCCCTACCTCTGATTGCTTTCTGCAAGAAGTATTTTTATGTGGACTAACTTTATTACAATCCTATATTAACCCAGAAAGATTGCATGCTATATACAGTACCAGCAGTGGCTGAAATGTGAAAAAAAAAGGAATTTTTTTTTTTTCTCCCTCCAAACTCAGGTTAGTGAAGAAGCTAGTTTCAGAAAAAACAGACTGGATCCCATCCAGTCTGTTACAACCAGCAGAAAGTGAAGCCAACAGCAGTTGTAGAATCAGTAATTCAGGTAAGCCATAGCAAAGTTTGAAAAGTTTTATGTTTCTAATTTAATTCTGCATTCCTAAGCAGTAAAAAAATTCTGGCATATTGTTTCTTTGAGAAGACAGAGCATTGGTGAACCAAACTATTCTCATCCTATTAATGTACTCATGAATATCCCAAATTTGAGGGGATGCAGATTTTTGTTGTTGTTAGTTGCAAAGTCATGTCCGACCCATCGTGACCCCATGGACAACATTCCTCCAGGCCTTCCTGTCCTCTACCATCCTCTGGAGTCCATTTAAGCTCACGCCGACTGCTTCAGTGACTCCATCCAGCCACCTCGTTCTCTGTCGCCCCCTTCTTCTTTTGCCCTCCATCGTTCCCAGCATTAGGCTCTTCTCCAGGGAGTCCTTCCTTCTCATTAGGTGGCCAAAGTATTTGAGTTTCATCTTCAGGATCTGGCCTTCTAAAGAGCAGTCAGGGTTGATCTCCTCTAGGACTGAACGGTTGGATCGCCTTGCAGTCCAAGGGACTCGCAGGAGTCTTCTCCAGCACCATAGTTCAAAAGCCTCAATTCTTTGGCACTCAGCCTTCCTTATGGTCTAACTTTCACAGCCATACATTGCAACTGGGAAAACCATCGCCTTGACTATACGCACTTTTGTTGGCAGGGTGATGTCTCTGCTTTTTAGTATGCTGTCTATAACAGCTGGTCATTTGCATCCTTTTTAGAGGGTCGTTGAAGCACTTGGAGGTTTATCTGTGTCCTTAGGGTCACCTGAGTGGTGCTCCTGGTTCCTGTAGTCTGCAATTTTTCCTCTGGAAATCCATTCCCATTCCCACACCATTCAAAGAGCGTTCATCCCAAATTATATAGCTAAAAGTCTGTAGAGTTTCTCAGTCATCCAGGTCATGGTTGTCCCAAAGGTGCTTTTTCAGGAGGCAACTGGACTTTCTTGTTTTTTCTTTGAAGACGTTTCACTTCTCATCCAAGAAGCTTCTTCAGCTCTGCCTACAGGAACCATGAGCACTTACTCAGGTGATCCTGAGGGACACAGATAAACCTCCAAGTGCTTCAGCAACCCTCTAAAAGGATGCAAATGACCAGCTGTCTGCAAGGAATATAAATCCTTCCATCCAGTCAGAGCTGAAGAAGCTTCTTGGATGAGAAGCGAAATGTCTTCAAAAGAAAAAAGAAGAAAGTCCAGTTGCCTCCTGAAAAAGCATCTTTGGGACAACCATGACCTGGATGACTGAGAATCTCTACAGACTAAAAGTTACATTGTTATTACTGATACTGTTGGTGCATTTTCCCATTTCAGATGTCTACAGCGATACCCACAGCTCTGCATCCACAAACTCAGAAATGAAGATGGGAGAGCTGAACCGAAGTTTAACAGCTGGACAGAAAGCTGGAAGCTGAGCAGACCAGGAAACATCTCCTCAGGGTTCAACCTTTTCTGTTTACCTGCCGATGCTGGACCAAATTGCCTTTTTTTCACCCAAGCTCCAGATTTCACACTTCAATATTTTGTCAACGTGAAACACATTAAAAAAAAAAAAGAATCTAGTAAATTTCAAAATCGACTAAACTTCAAAGGTGTCCGAGTTACCTTCGTATTCGACAAAACACACTCATCGTATGCATTTTTATATTTTTTTTGCACTGCATTTTTGACTGTCGAAATTAGCCTAAATTAGACGGACGACAACAGATTGGGTTGATAAACCCTCAGCTTCGGGGCAGAGTGATGGATTCTCAAAACTCAAATCACCAGATCCTCAAGGTGTCGTTCTGTTGGGCGGAATGAAAAGTGTTCGTTCGCCAGTTTGGATCAGCTGCTCAGCCACTCGTTTTCCGTGGCTCGATCTAACTTACCTGCTGTTATCTCAAAGACAATCAAAACCAAGGGAGCCCCCCCCCCAAAAAAAGTCGAAGCTGAGTGACGACGGAGAAAGTGCAATTCCTGAACCTGAGCCAACGGCCACACCTTTGCACGACAGGGAAAGGTGTCACTTGCTTTGGGTTATATGTGTAATCTTTTGTCTCTACAGGGTGTTTTGGATGCTAACTGGAAGCAAATACGTAGCGTGAAAACTCAAAAAAGGGGATGAGGAAAGGGCTTTCGTGAAGGCAATTCTGGGATGTGGCATCGACATGCCAGCTTTGTTCCCCCTCTGGAGGTTTCGCATCCAGTTCTGTCTAATGCTGCAATTCAGTGCTTTACACTTGCGTGGAATGCGTTTGGGCATTGTCCTGTGCTGGGCTCTGGATTAGGATACAGAGTTTCTTCCCCACCCCAATATTTACTGAATCCCCATATAATGTCTCTCTCCCCCATAACCCCCCCCCCAAAAAATGAGGTACTTGCAAAGGGAATGGTTGCCAAGGAGAATGTGCTGTTGCTTGAAAGTTTCTTGCCATGTCATATTTCGGGGGTGGGGGGGAAGCATTGCAGCCCTCTCAACAATATCATGAGTTTGCCATAAGTATAAAATAAAATTAGCTTGCTTCAATTTAAAAGCTCCAGAGGCTGATTAGAGAATACAGGGACCTAGTCCAACCCCCTGCTCAAGCTGAGACCCTATCCCAGTGTTGGCGAACCTTTTCAGCACTGGGTGCCAAAACGGGAGCCACACACGTTTGCCGGAAACCAGAACAGCAGGCTCCCGGTGCACATGTGTGCGCCAAGAAGATGATCTTCCGGTTTCCAGTGCGCATGCTGGTCTTTGCGCATGCACACAAGCGCCAGAAATCGGAAGACCAAGTGGTGTCAGGTTTCGATGTCATCTCAAATAAATTGCACTCCCAAACAATTAATCTTTGCTGAAATATTCCATTTATTGAGTACGACAGATCTGGCCCCGACTTCGTCGTAGCCGATACTAACCCTCTGACCCCCAAACCCTTCCCGTTCCGTTCCCCAATTCTCATCTTCTCATTGGCCATCTTCCAAGTCAGTCTCCCCAGCTTCTGACCTCACCCCACAGGAATGTTCCCCCCTCCCATCCCATCTCCTAGGGGATATTATCTACAGAGAAAATAAGTAGGTGAAAAGTCAAGCCTCGTCTTTTTATGGCAGCATCAGAATGCTGACAAGTGGCCGGTGGGCATGTGCGTGCAGGAAACCGGAAGATCATATTCCTGGCACCCGCATGCGCACCAGGCAGCTACTCCTCCAGTTTCCAGCACTCCTGCACATGTGAAGACCAGCTGGCCGGCGCACCGGAACCCGGAAGAGCAACAGGCAACGACTCACATGCTCAGAGAAATGGCTCTGCGTGCCACTTCCAGCACATGTGCCAAAGGTTCACCATCACGGCCCTATCCAATACTTCTCAACCTTGCCCGCTTGAAAATATGTGGACTTCAACTCAATTTTACCCATCAGCCCATCAATCATGCTGGCTGTGAAATTCTGGGAGTCGAAGTCCATACATCTTCAAGCGGTTGAGAAATACTCACTGCCCTATACTATGGCTGTCCGATCTCTCCTTAAAAACCTCCAGTTTTTTTCATTTAAACCTCCAGGCATTGCAATTTGCAGGATTCAAGGTGCACGTCAACATCAGAGGGAGGGACTTATATTGTGAAAGTATTTTGCATGAATTCTTCATTTTGACGATGAAGGGGGAAAGCTGGTTTCTACAAATCTGCCTATAGTGTCATGTTCAAAAATGTTTTTTTTTCCCCTGAATATAGGAATAGGATGATTGAGGAGCGCTATATAAAAATCTGATCAATCAAGAGAAATCCAAAGGTTTTTCTCCAATCCCTGGAATGTGGCAACACCGCATAATCTGAAAGTTGCATTTCTGGGGTCTTAGCAATGCCTCTTGACTGGCACATCAATAGGTAGATGTGCCGCTTGAATGGTTTGACTGATCTTGGAATCCCACTATAAAAGCGGAATTATTTCCCGGAATAAGGCTTTGTCCTATAAGCCTATGCTAAAATGTTAGGCCAATGGTTTTCAATCTATGAACTGCAGACTCTGGAGGGACCACAATGTTGCCAGAGGGGGGGTCCACAAAAGCTTGAAAAAAATGTTATGATTTAAATCTTGAGTTAAGTCTTGGTGGGCCAGAAAAGGTATTTAAAGGGGGTTTGTGGGGAAAAAAAACTTGAGAACCACTGTGTCAGGCCATTTTCCTGCTGAATTTGCAACATTACAAATTATTTTAAGGCAGCGTTCCTGAGACTCATCGACCCCCTTCATGAAATGTTTGATCGTTTATCGACCCCCAAACATTTATTATATGAAAATAACAAATACGACTTTAATTAATAGTACCACAAATCATAATAACAGCAACAGCGGCAACTCTCTGGATAGTCGCATCAATCCTTGGGAGAGGGGGGGGTCATTACTGACCACTTTGGAACCTTGATTTAGGGCAAGGATGTCCAACTTGTTAACTTTAAAACCTGTCAACTTCAACTCCCAGAATTCCCCAGGCAGCCATGCCGCTGCAGGAATTCTGGGAGTTGAAGTTCATAGGTGTAAAGGGGCCATCGTTGCCCACTCCTGACTGGTGGTACAGGGGAAGCCTTGCTAATGCTTTCCTGATGCAAGGGCTCATGGGATACCAGACGTTCCGGAGGAAGGAAGGAAGGAACTTTGTCATAAAGTGGGTGCTGGGGACAAGAGCAGTTGAGAAATGCTGGCTGGCCAGTTCTGTGAGTTGAAGTCTGCAAATCTTAAAAGTTGTCAAGGTTGGGCACCCATTTCAGGAGTTTTAAACTCCACATGGTCTTCCAGATCACCTGGTATTCCATCACACAAACTGAGCCAAACAGTATGAAACAAGAGTGTAGCCTATGTGGTATAAACTAGTTCTTTAAATCAGGGGTCTCTAGCAACTTTAAGACTTGCGGACTTCAACTCCCAGAATTCCTCAGCCAGCTATGAATTCTGGGAGTTGAAGTCCTCAAGTCTTAAAAGTTGCCGAGGTTGGAGACCCCTGCTTTAAATCATGCACGTATGATAAGACTGGTAATGAGGGATTGTAACTTTAAAGCAGCGTTTGTCCACCTCAGCAACTTTTAAGACGGGTCGACTTCAATTCCCAGAATTCCTCAGCCAGCAAGGGAATTCTGGGAGTTGAAGTCCACCCGTCTTAAAGTTGCTGAGGTGGACAAACGCTGATTTAAACAACGGGAATCCCATTGGGGCATCTTTTAATTTCTGATCTGCTTTCCTAAGTACTACACTGATCAGGAGTCACAGTGACAACAAGTTTGAGGCATGTAGATAGGGGAGGAAAAGATTCTTGCATTCCAATTCAGCAAGCAAGGCCTGGTTTTCTGTGTGTTTGCATTTGTCAAGAAGATGCATGTTACACACTCGCACACTCCAGGGTCCTTTGAGTTTCCTTGATCCAGAGACGGTTGTTATATTGATTTTTTTTTAAAAAAAACCCTTATACTGTCCAATTTTAGTGGCATGATTAGGAGGTTGGAAATTTGCAAAAAATTGGCGATAAAATACAGTTGAACTTGGCATTCAGTACAGGACTATTTCTGCCCTTACAGAACGGAGAACATGTTCAGACACAATGGATAGATTCACTTAGGAACACACTGTGGCACCTTCTAGCTATATTTGCATTACATTCCCTAGCTTTCCCATTCTTTCCTTAAATACACTGAACAGCTTTGGAAAAAAAAACATCTGGGGATCAGAAAGATAGCACGCTACAGGTAATCCTCGACTTGCCACCCTTCGTTTAACAACTGTTCAAAGTCACAACAGCCGTGAAAAATGGGACTTTCCAACCGGGCGGGATCACACTTACGACTTTTGCAACATCCCCACACTGTCACATGATCAGAATCCGGGTGCTTGGCAATTGGCTTATATTTATAATAGTTGCAGCGTCCTGGAATCACATGATCCCCATTTGCCACAAGTAAAAGTTAATAAGGGAAATCCAGATTAACTTAACAACCGTGTGATTCCTTTAACAAGTGCAGTGACTCACTTAACAACCGTGGGGGGAAAAAACCCAGGCAAAATTCACATATCATCAACCGCCTTGCATACCAACGGAACCTCTGCTCTCCATGGTGGTCACAAGCTGAGGACTACCTGTATTTAAAATCCTCCTCTGTACTGTGTTAGCCCCAGAGCTGCTAAATTTTGCTGCTAAAACTCCTGCAAATGTTATTTGCAGGGGCGTCTGCGGGAAAGGAGTTAAAAAAGGAAGAAGAAGAAAAAAAGATGGCGGCCATGGCCACCTAATCAAAGCCCCACCCCTTTTTATACAGAGAAAAGAGGCGGGGCTTTGGTTGCATCCTCTTGATGGCCGCTGTCTTGATTTATCTCTTCCCTTAAGATGTCCTTGATTACTCGGCCCGGGATCTGTAATTTTTAAATTTGTTTTCCACGTTGAGGATAACGTTATTTGTGGTTCATCATAGCTTGGAAGAGCAGCAGGGAAATTCTGCTTCCTTCCTTCATTTCTTGTTATCAGGACCGAATGTATGAATGTACTCCAAAAATGTGTGTTTGTGTGAAGCTGAACTTTCTGTAAATAGACCATTACGAACTGTGTAAAACCAGTCCTTTGTTTTGACTTTCTAAGAATTATAAATACCATGTTGCAAAACCCCTTGCGATCTTTTTTTTCCCTTGCTTTTAAGCGCGACGTGAAGCTGAGCTCAATCCATCTCAGAAGATAAAACCGAAACGCAAAGACTTAAAGGAGATTTGGCGTTAATCAACCGAATCCGTCGTTTCTTTCTTTTTTTTTTCTTTTTCCTTTTGTTAAATGCAACAGCAAGATTATTAGCAGGGCAGGCAGGGACCTTTTGCCCATTTGTGAAAGGAAAAAAAAAATCTCCTTTCTGAAAGCTAAACATTGATTAGGAGGAGCCTATTGCTGTGATCAAGGCCCGAGTAGTGATTACCAAACACAATTCAATCCTCAACAAACTTATTTTATTAAAACAGCTGAGAATTAATTCATTCTCAGCTTAGTCCAAAACAAAATTCTTCATAACCAGTCCATCGGCCTTATCACCAACCTTTGATGTCTTCGACAACTGGCCAAAGGCTTTTCTTGGCAAAAACGTCCACAAAGTTCAAGAGACGCTGACAAGAAGCACTGGAATCAACGTTGCTTTTCTACAAAGAACCCAACGGCTCATTGCTGTTCTTTTAAGCCTTATGGGAGTGGCCAGTCATCTTCTGGCATTACTCCTGAGTTGTCCTTTTTTCTTCAGCTACTCTTGCCTTCTGGTAGCTCTTTGCATGTGTGCACTAGGAACAGGCTTCTCCTGTTCCTCTGCCTCTCTGCTATCTGCCTCTGCAGGCTCCGGAGTCCGCGCATCGCTCCTCGATGGCCCTGGCCCTATCTCTGCCTCTGATGCAGAGCCCTCGTCCGGGCCTTCCCCTGACTCCAGGACTGGCCCATTGTCCTTCCCAGCCTCCTCACTGTCCGACTCCGTTGCCAGGTCTGCAGGCTGCTGGCGGACCACAACACCTATCAAACAGAAAATATGCAAACACTGCTGTCATTATGGAAACCTGGCAGTTTAGCATGCAAAACTAGTCAGAAGTATGCCATGATTCATTGTTTTGCTAAGTGTCAGGGCAGTGATTAGATGCCTAGGCAATTGGTTCTTATGGATCCAGAGACAATAAACTTTCCAAGAAATAAAGGGATCTTAAGCTTCATTATTAGTTGTAGTAAATAGATTTAAAAGCATAACATATAAAGCAGAGGCCTTCAAACTTGGCAGCTTTAAGAGTTGTGGACTTCAACTCCCAGAATTCTCCAGCCAGCTATGCATACACACAAGCAAGGTGACATCAAAATCTCTTATAAAATGTCAGGAGCTCCTTAATAACGACAGCAGAGATACCCCAATGGCAGTCAGTTTCCACAAAACTCAGTTCCCAATAATCAACAACCCCCCCCCCCACACACACACAAAAAGTTTTATCGAAACTTGATAATGACTTCATGGCCCATCTTTTATAGTCACAAAGCTGCAAGACTTGACTGAATGGCACGTGATAATGGGATAGGAACTGAATGTGTGAGATTTTCATAGCTTTGCAGCTATGTGAAGGTTCTCCCTCGTCTTTATGCAGCAGGCAAGAATTGAAAAAGCAAGCAGTTCAGCTCAGAGTTTGACCTAAAGTTCTAGACTTTTCTAAATATGAAGGAGAAATCAAAATTGTCACTAATCTCTTTGCACTAACAATGGTCTTCAGCAGGGGTGAAATGCTCCCGGTTTGGACCGGATCTTCCGATCCGGTAGCGATGACGGCAGGTGGTTTGGAGAACCGGTAGCAAAAATCCCTACCCGCCCCCCATGCCCAGCTGAGCCGCGCAATCATCAGAGGCTTTTTTTTATTTTTAAAAGCATTTTTTCTACAACCTCTTCCGCATGTGGCTAACAACCACATGACTACAAGGGATATACATTCTTCCGTTCTCCATCATTCAGTCAGAACTGAAGAAGCTACTTGGATGAGAAGAGAAAGGTCTTCTAGCAAAACCAGAAAGTCCAGTTGCCTTTTGAAAGAAAGCTTTTTTATTATTATATTGGAATGACCATAGCTAACATGCCACAAAATTGTGAACATTGTACAACAAAGAGCCCAGTCAAAAGATTAATTCTTTTTTTCTATCCTTAAACAGATTTTTCTGGTAAGGGATAAATAAAAAGAAGCATTGCTAGGAAATGTTTCAGAGGTGGTATTCAGCAGGTTCTGACCAATTCTGGAGAACCGGTAGCAGAAATTTTGAGTAGTTCAGAGAATCGGCAAATACCACCTCTCATTGGCCCCGCCCCCATCTATTCTCTGCTTCCCGAGTCCCAGCTGATCAGGAGGAAATGGGGATTTTGCAGTAACCTTCCCCTGGAATAGGGAGGGAATGGAAATTTTACAGTATCCTTCCCGTGCCACAGCCACCAAGCCATGCCCACCAAGCCATGCCATGCCACACCCACCAAGCCACGCCCACCAAACCGGTAGTCAAAAAATTTGAATCCCACCACTGAAATGCCTGAATGTTAAAAATGGGAGGCAATGACCATGGATGGCCTCTACAATTCAGTGAATTAAGCAAGGAAATGGCAAGATCAAAGCTTTGGAAGAAGCCTTCAAATAAATCAACCAAGTAGATTTACCGTTAAGCACTACAACTACATGCAATGCTAATTTTGTCCACGAGGAGGCAAGAAGGTTTTAGGAAAGATTTAATGTACATTTCGGATGTATTATTTCACTAAAGGAAGCTTGGCATGTTGCCACACCTATTTGCACAACAGAAATTGTTGAAGAAGTTCACAAGGGATAGCTTCTCTCCATTTTAGAAATTTTATCTCTTCGGTTAACTCTGATCAGAAACTGAAACGTTTCACAAAATGTTGTGGAAAGCTTCCATGAATTCTGGAAGGGGGAAAAATATGTGATTCTGTGCTGAACATTTATCAGGTCCATAAGGAATAATATTGGGAGATTTTTTTAAAAAAATATCACAAGATAAAGTGTATCAGTGCCTTTTAGGCCACTATTGTTAAGGAATATGCACAGAGTAACCCTTGAGTAGCAAGGTTGTGCACATGAGAAACGGCTGAGAGTGATTGTGACTAAGCACTGTCAATACAAAGACACACTGAGTTGTGATATTCTTTTACTTTTAGGAAAAAGTAAAGCAAAGTCCAATAAACAATCCAGGTCATACACAGATAAAGATAGTTAAATTGTCAATCCAGGGATATTCCAAGAACAAAGTCTTCTTACCAGTTGTTGTAGTCATATGCAATAAAACAGTTCTTTTTGGAGTTGCAAACAGGAACAAGTATAGCAGTAAAACAATCAGTAAAACAGTAGAAAACAACAAGTAGCAATGATCAATCAGTGATCATGCAGAGAGAACAGGCAGAGAGGAGCAGAGGTAGCAATAATAATGTAATAAGAAAAATAAGCCATGATTCAAGCTTCCTCTTAAATACGTTGGCTACAGAGCTAACCAATCAGAATACAGTATGATGTAATACAACATTACAGTCTTAAAGCTATACATTACATTTTGACTGCAAACATGCATTGATGGTTTATATATATTGCCAACCCAACCAGTTAGGCAATAGCCATTCCCTAACAACTATCATATATTATTTTCAATATGACTATGAAATATGCAGTTAATAAACCTTATTCCTTCTACAATTCAAGGCTTAAGTAATGACAAGCAATTAATGGGGGGAAAAAATATTATTTCTGGTAACTAGTTAAAAACTAAACTAATGCTTCCGTGTCATTTTTTTTCTGCTTGATAACCTCACTCGTGATTAGAGGCAAGGAATACTTATTTTATTGATTAAAATTCTGCAGGAATCCTTCCTCGGTTTCAATTGACCAGTGCTGGAAAGAAGGTTCCCATAATCTGAAAGGATTTGGGATAGGATGGGAAAAACCACAAGGCTTTTTAATATTTTCTTTCGGCTTCTGAGAAACAACAAGATGTTTCTGGATTAGCGTCGCTCAATCTTCACCACTTTTAAGATCTGTGGACTTCCGCTCCCAGAATTCCCCAGCCAATCATGTGGGCTGGGGAATTCTGGGAGTTGAAGTTTACATATCTTAAGTGAAAAGTGATTAAGGTTGAAAACATTGTCCCTACCTAGATAATCGGGATTTGTCTCTGGGATCCATTCTCTCCTGCTCAGACTGAAATGCCTATTGCAGAATTTTAACAAGCAGGTTCAAAGGAAATGAAATGAACCGGCAATAACTTCTCCAAATCTTGCTTTTAATTTCAGTTCCACCAGCCTTTTAGCAAGCAGGCTCACATGTTTCAAAGATGCTTTCTCTCCACCCTTTCCTTCTCGCATGTGACTTACCAACTGCCTATATAACCCAGAAATTTCACTCTTCGTGAGCACCACTTCCTCTTTGCTCAAAACTCTTCATCAGGGAACAGTGGGTATTTTTTGTTCTCCAGAGAAGTGTCTGAATGAACCTGCTGTAGCCGGGAAGAAAAACCACCAAGACCATTGTGGCATCTTAAGGGCCAAAACGTTGCATTAATCCAATCCCTCTTTTACCGCAATAATTCAGTTTGAAGTGGTTGCATTATGAGTCGGTGGAAGCCACTAATTGAATTTCTTCTAATCATGGCTGGAGGTAAGTAGACATCTACAGGCTTGGCTACATGTTACACTTTATTTGCACGTGTTAGAATTATGTTTGTATCAGAGGTGGGTTTCAGCAGGTTCTGACCAGTTCTGGAGAACCGGTAGCAGAAATTTTGAGTAGTTTAGAGAACCGGTAGCGGAAATTTTGAGTAGTTCGGGAGAACCGGTAGCGGAAATTTTGAGTAGTTCGGAGAACCGATAGTAAAAATTCTGACTGGCCCCGCCCCCATCTATTCTCTGCCTCCCGAGTCCCAGCTGATCGGGAGGAAATGGGGATTTTGCAGTATCCTTCCCCTGGATTGGGGAGGGAATGGAGATTTTACAGTATCCTTCCCCTGGATTGGGGAGGGAATGGAGATTTTACAGTATCCTTCCCCTGGAGTGGAGTGGGAATGGAGATTTTACAGTATCCTTCCTCTGAAGCGGGGTGGGAATGGAGATTTTACAGTATCCTTCCCCTGCCACGCCCATCAAGCCATGCCACACCCACCAAGCCACACCCACAGAACCGGTAGTAAAAAAAATGAAACCCATCACTGGTTTGTATACAAGTGAAGATTCAGTTTTCACTATCCAGGAAGTAGGCTTGTCAGAGATTAAGGTAAACAACTGGTGGGGAAAAAAAATCTGTTGTGAAATAACTTTTTTCCAACCTTTTGTCCTTGACTTACAACCATTTGTGTAGTTCTAAGCTACATCACTGAAAAAAGTGACTTATGGCCGTTTTTCGCACTTACGACCATTGCGGCATCCCAGGGTCACGTAATCACCTTTTGCGACCTTCTGACAAACAAAGTCAAGGGGGGAGCCAGATTCACTTAACAACCGTTTTAGTAATTCGACAACTGCAGTGATTCACTTTACAAGTGCGGCAAGGAAGGTTGTTCAATGGGACAAAACTCATTTAACAACTGTCACATTGAAGAGTGGCAATTTTGACCTCCATTGTGGTTCATAAGTCGAGGACTACCTGTATTTAACCAAGTATGTTGGGACTGAGAACATTGTGCTCATTTTCCCCTCTTTGGACTTTTGTAATGAGTGTTTGTTCTAAAGCAATCTTGGGATCTCAAGTGACGCAAAAGAGAGAGCTCAGTTTAGATCCAAGGTTTATCAAATCCACCTTGGCAAAGAGTCACTGGCCCCCTCAACGTGTGCATCTTCTACTAATCTTGGTTAGACAGGACCTTAGAGAGAAATCAGGGACTTGCAATGAGTAAATACAGGTAGTCCTCAAGTTATGACCACAATTGAGCCTAAAATTTATATTTTTGTGCAGTGGTGAAATCTAAAATTTGTTACTACCGGTTCTGTGGGAGTGGCTTGGTGGGGAGGGAGTAATGTGATTGGGTGGACGTGGCCATTTTTTTTTTACTTTTAAAACCATTTTTTCTACAACTTCTTCGGTGAAGAAGTTGTAAAAAAATGCTTTCAAAAGGCTCTGACAATCTCAGCTAAGTTGCCTGATCGGCAGAGGCTTTTTTTCTTTTAAAAGCCTCTGCCGATCAGGCAACTCAGCTTGGATCGTCAGAGGCTTTTAAAAGAAAAAAAGCCTCTGCCGATCAGGCAACTCAGCTGGGATCATCCGAGGCATTTAAGAGACAAAAAGCCTCTGCCGATCAGGCAACTTAGCTGGGATCATTAGAGGCTTTTTTTTTTACTTTTAAAAGCATTTTTTTGGCCGAAGAGGCGATCCGGTCCGAACCGGAAGCATTTCACCCCTGTTTTTGTGTGAAAAATTTGTTAAGTGAGTTTTGCCCCATTTTACAACTTTTCTTGCCATATTTGTCAAGTGAATCACTGCAGTTGTGAAGTTAGTAACAACGTTGATGAGTGAATTTGGTTTCCCCATTGACTTTGCTCCTCAAAAGGTTTCCAAAGGGGACCCCAGGACACTGCAACCGTCATAAATAGGAACCAGTTTGTCAAACATCCAAATGTAAATCACGTGACCATGGAGATGCTGCGATGGTCGTAAGTCTGAACAGCGGTCATAAGCCGCTTTCCCCAGTGCCGTTGTAACTTGGAACGGTCAGTAAATAGACCGTTGTAAGTCGAGGACCACCTGTATAGAAGTAATTGCAGCAGGATAACCAATGGCAATGGGCACATAGCACATTTCGTGGTATGACTGTTTTCGTTCAATGCAAAAAACGGGCAGGCAAACGCTTTCAATTCGGCAGTATGGAAAACCCCCTGTGATGGGAGAGTGTGAGAAACAGGAAATTGAAGGCTCTTGTGTGACTCTCTTTCGCAACTGAAAGAAATACTCCAGTAGAAATAGCGTTAGTATGAAATTGATTCACAAAATTATATGAGAAATTCTGAACGGGTTTATGTAAAGCACTCTCCTCCCAGCAGCATAAACTCTAACAGAAACTCTAACAAAATAGAGCATATGACGGCCGTAGCCAGGGGGGCTTTCTATCAGGTTTGCCTGATATGCCAGTTGTACCCCTTTCTGGATCGGGACTCCCTACCCACGGTCACTCAAGCGCTCGTCACTTCTCGTCTGGACTATTGTAACACTCTCTACATGGGGCTCCCCTTGGGGTGCACCCGGAGGCTCCAACTGGTGCAGAATGCGGCCGCGCGGGGGATTATGGGAGCGACGGGGCGCTCCCATGTGACTCCTCTCCTGCGCAAGCTGCATTGGCTTCCGGTGGACTTCCAGGTGCGCTTCAAGGTGTTGGTGACCACCTTTAAAGCGCTCCATGGCTTAGGGCCGGGGTACTTACGGGACCACCTTCTGCCACCAATTGCCTCCCTCTGGCCAGTTTGCTCCCACAGAGAGGGCCTCCTCAGGGTGCCGTCGGCCAGACAATGTCGGCTGGCGACCCCCAGGGGGAGAGCCTTCTCTGTGGTAGCACCCACCCTCTGGAACAATCTACCCCCAGAGATACAAGTGATCCCAGACCTCCGGACTTTTCGTCAGGCCCTTAAAACCTACTTTTTTCAGTTAGCTGGGCTGTTCTGATTTTATGGTTGGTTTTAAATTTGATATTGATTTTAATTGAAATGTTTTAAATTATGGGCCAAATTTTATTTAATTATTTTAAATCTATTTTAACTTTTGTGTATGAATGTTTTATATTTGGCTGTTCACCGCGCTGAGTCCGGAAGGAGAAGGGCGGTATAGAAATCTGAAAAATAAAATTAAATAAATAAATAAATAAATAAAATAACAAAGTTGGAAGAGACCTTGGAGATCTTCTGGTAGTTCAATCCCCTCCTCAAGTAACTGACCCTATACCAGTGATGGCTAACCTTTTTGCCGTCGCGTGCCAAAAGTGGGGGGAGCGCGGGGGGGGTCGCATGCATATGTGCCCACACCCATAATCCAATGCATCTGCCCCCCCCCCACGCATGCGCACGCGATCCCCCTGCACTCCTCCCACTTTTGGCACGTGATGGCCCGGTGGGCCCGGTAGGCCTGTTTTTTGCCCTCCTCAGGTTCCAGAGGCTTTCTTGGAGCCTGGGGAGGGTGAAAACAGCCTTCCCCACCCCCCTGCTGGAGGCCCACCGGAGGCCGGAAATGGCCCATTTGCCGACTTCCGGTGGGACCGGAAGGCCCGAAAATCAGCTGGGCATGCCGGAACTAAGCTAGGGTATCACTCACGTGCCCACTGATATGGCTCTGCGCGCCACAGGTGGCACGTGTGACATAGGTTCACCATCACGGCCCTATACCATTGCAAACAAATGGTTGTCCAATCTCTTCTTTAAAAAATTCAGTGTTGGAACACCCACAACTTCTAGAGGCAAGCAGTTCCACTGGTTAAATGTTCTCACTGTTAGGAAATCTCTTCTTTGTTCTAGGTTGCTTCTCTCCTTTATTAGTTTCCACCCATTGCTTCTTGTCCTGCCCTCAGGTGCTTTGGAGAATAGGTTGACTCCGTCTTCTTTGTGGCAACCCCTGAGATATTGGAACACTGCTATCATGTCTCCCCTAGTCCTTCTTTTCATTAAACCAGACATACCCAGTTCCTGCAACCGTTCTTCATATGTTTTAGCCTCCAGTCCCCTAATCATCTTTGTTGCTCTTCTCTGCACTCTTTCTAGAGTCTCCACATCTGTTTTAAATCGTGGCGACCAAAACTGAATGCAGTATTCCAAGTGTGGCCTTACCAAGGCTTTGTAAAAGCGATAATAATAAAGATTATAATCTTTCCATAATTACAGTTCCATAGTGGTGAGCAAATTCAGAAGGTACACCAAGAACTTAGGCTAAGGAGAAAGGTGTTCCTTTTTATTTATTTATTTATTTTTTTGAGGTACATGAAGCAGCTCAGGGACATACAAGGTAACAAAAGCTGATGGAAAACTAACTCTCTTTTCCGTCTACAGCAGTTTTTTCTTGCACTGGTCACGTGCTGGATGGAGAGACTCCAGGTAGGACAACCCTACGACCCACCTCATTTCTGCAGAGAGCACCACTTCCAGATCGCTCCCCTCCTTCCAATTCCCAAGCCACGATTCGTCCATACAGTCATTCACAAGCTTTGGCTAATCGATTAGGCCATGGCGTAGCGCGAGGAATTCCTTCAACGCCCACAGCTGAGATGTTAAAGGCAGAGTCCATCCCACTGACAAAATCACAGGCTGTGTGGAAACCCATAGAGGATGCAAGGACAACACTTTTGCCATCTGAGCCGCAAACTGATTGGACCGAAACCCACAAAACAAGAACGGTGTCTCAAGAAACAACCTCAACACCGCCGCTATCAGCTAGTCGGAGAAAGGCGACTCCTGTTCTGAGCACAACGAAGGAAAATGCGAATAAGACGACTGTCTCCAGGGCTACTGAGCAAGACACTACGAAGTTGAGGAAACACACAACCGTTGAGAAGACAAGTTCAGCAACACACAAGAGCATGACCTCTTCGCCTACGCCAACAAGTCAAACTGGACCAACATTGGCACCTCAGCCATCACCCGCTCTGACGGGCACTTACAGTGTTTCCAACGGAACTGCGGATTGCATTAAAGCTTTGGTTGGCTTGACGATGATTGTTACAAACACAAAAACGGTAAGCTGCTGTGTAGCTCTCCCACCCTCTTCCTTTCTTTTGGTTCCTTGTATTGTCAGAAAGGGTTTAATCCAGTCTTCCCCAGTCTGCTTCCAGTCAGGTGACCCTAAAAATTAAGGTTTTTTTTTAAAAAATGAGAGAAGTCAGAATCAGAATCGAGCTGGAAGGGTCCTTGGAGGTCTTCTAGTTCAGCCCCCTTACTCAAACAGGAGATTCTATACCAGTGATGGGAAACCTATGGCACGCATGCTGGAAGTGGCATGTAGAGCCATCTTTCCGGGCATGCCAGGCAGTGGTGGGTTCCTCCCGGTTCGGCCTGGTTCGGCCGAGCCGGTAGCGGTGACGATACGATGTCACCAAACCGGTTCTCTTTGTTCGGTAGCTGGGCCCCCCCGCCCCCCCCCCCCGTGTTATTCTTACCTTTTATTTGGCCCCACCCCCAATCTATTCGCTGCCTCCCGAGTCCCAGCTGATCAGCTGGAAGGAAAAAAACTGTTTAAACTCTTGCCGCGGTGCTTCAAAGGGCCTCCCTATAGCTGATCAGTGTTAAACGGCAGTGTGGTGGTAGACCAGTGCGCTTCAAGAATAACGCTCCAAAAACAAATGGGTAGACCAATACATCTCTGCAAGCAGTTAAAAGCCTAGTAGACCAGTACCTCTGCTAAATCCTAAAGAATTGTCACATGACCATCAAACCACACCCACAAAATAAGCCACGCCCACAGAACCGGTAGTAAAAAATTTTAGAACCCACCTCTGATGCCAGGTGTCACCCATTGCTCTTCTGGGTTCCGGCGGGAACATGCGCGCCAGCCAGCTGGTCTTCGCATGTGTGTGATGCCGGAAACTGGAAGAACAGCTCCCTGGCGTGCATGCATGTGCATGGAAGCTGAGCTGGTTTCTGGTGTGCGCATGCGCGCATGCGCACCGGCCAGCTGGTTTCGTGTGTGCATGTGCTCCAGAAACCGGAAGACCAGGTGACTGGCGTGTATGCGCACGCTGGAAACTTGAAGCTCAGCTTCCCGGCGCGCACATGCACACCAGGGAGATGTTCTTCCGGTTTCCAGCAGTCCCTTGTGTGCGTGCTTGCGCACGTTCCCATTTCAGCACTCCGTGCCAAAAAGGTTCAGCAACACTGTACCATTTCAGATGTCTTACAGTCTCTTCTTAAAAACCTCCATCTGAAGACAAGCTCTTCCATTGATTACGTAATTGTCCTCACTGTTAGGAAGTTTCCCCTCAATTCCAGGTTGCTTCTCTCCTTGTTTAGTTTCCATCCATTGTTTCTTGTTTTGCCGTCTGGTGCTTTGGAGAATAATTTGAACCCCTCTTCTTTGTGGCAGCCCCTCAAATACTGGAATACTGCTATCATGTCCACCTCCCTAGTCCTTTTCTCTAGACCAATGATGGCTAACCTTTTTGCCGTCGTGTGCCAAAAGCGGGGAGAGCGCGGGGGTGGGGGCCCACACACACACGTGCCCACACCCATAATTCAATGCGCCGTGTCCCACCGTGCATGTATGCGTGACCCTCCTGTGCTCCCCCGCTTTTGGCACATGATGGCATGGTGGGCCAAGTAGGCCCATTTTTTGCCCTCCCCAGCAGGGTTGGGTTCTAAATTTTTTTGCTACCGGTTCTGTGCACGTGGCTTATTTTGTTGGTGTGGCTTAGAGGTCATGTGACTAGGTGGGCGTGGCTAGGTGGTCAGAATCATTTCTGGAAGGTCCTCGCACTTACAACCAGTCCTCGCACTTACGACCCAACTCATTTGTTTGCTTTTAACACTGATCAGCTGTAGGGCGGCCCTTTGAAGCCCCGCGGCAAGAGTTTAAACAGGTTTTTTCCCTCTAGTCATTAGCTGGGACTCAGGAGGCAGCAATAGATTGGGGGTGGGACCAAATAAAAGGTAAGAATAACGTGGGGGGTGGGAGGGTGGGGGGGGGAGAACCTGTTCGATGATGTCATATCGTCACCGCTACCGGCTCGGCCGAACCGGATCAAACCGGGAGGAACCCATCACTGCTCCCCAGGCTCCAGAGGCTTTCTTGGAGCCTGGGGAGGGTGAAAATGGCCTTCCCCACCCTCCCGGAGGTGGGCCCGGAACGCCTGAAAATCAGCTGGCCAGCTGAAGTAGGGCAATGCTCATTTGCCCACAGATACGGCTCCGCGTCCCATAGGTTCGCCATCCCAGCTCTAGACTATTCATATCCAAATCCTGCAACTGTTCTTCATATGTTTTTGTTTCCAGGCCTTTAATCATCTTAGTTGCTCTTCTTTGCACTTTTTCCTAAGTCTCAACATCTTTTCTGTAATGTGGGGACCAAATAGGTGTAGCTAATCATTCTCTCTTGCTCTAAATTGGTAAGCAATAATAATTTGTCAGTTTTTCGCTTGAAATTAATGCACTGACGTCTTGCCTATTTCACAGGGCGATCTAGAATATTTTAATATTGATCCCAACGTCACACACACGGCAGGATATTGTGGATCTGGTCAATCGATGCTCAACATCTCGTTTGAAGGTGGCTTCGTACATTTTATTTTTACTAAGGTAAGGTTTTCTTCAGAAATGGTGCAGGTTGTCCTCGACTTACAACAGTTCATTTAATGACCATTAAAGTGAGAGCGGCACTGAAAAGGTGACTTTTGACCATTTTTCAAATTTATGACCATTGCAGCATCTGGGGGGGGGGTGTCACGTGATCAAAATTCAGACACTTAACAATTGACTCATATTTATGACAATTGCAGTGACCTGCAGTCATGTGATCCCATTTCTGACAAGCAAAGTCAAGAGGGGAGCCAGGTTCACTTAACAACCATGTTACTCACTTAACAACTGCAGTGATTCATTTAGCAACAGTGGCAAGAAAGGTCGTGAAATAGGACAAAGTTCACTTCAAAAAATGTCTCACTTAACAACAGAAATTTAGGGCTCAAACTGTGGTCGTAAGTCGAGGACTACCTGTATATGGGAGAATTGAGGGCTTTGGAATCCTCTTCAAATAAATGACTCAATGAACATGCCAGAATCCACGGTTAACAAAATCATGATTAATTCAATTGATACATCCATATAGCTAAATAATTGTTTTGCTGAAGTTAGGTCAAGTTTCCTAAAGACACAAAATGGTGTATAGAGCAGGTAGAAAATGCAACACACACAGAATTAAACTCACCACAAGGGTTCTATTCATATTCATATTGACTTTGTACTTCTTACTTTAGTGTTGTGAAATGCTTGGCTTTAGTTTTATTTGTATAAGATTCTCCCTCAAATGTTCTTTCTCAAATGTTCTTTCAACTCGTTGCGCCCACGTGACACCCCTCCTGTGCGAGCTGCACTGGCTTCCAGTGGTCTTCCGGGTGCAATTCAAGGTGTTGGTTACCACCTTTAAAGCGCTCCATGGCATAGGACCTGGGTACCTTTGAGACCGACTTCTGCCACCAATAGCCTCCCACTGACCAGTCCGCTCCCACAGAGAGGGTCTCCTCAGGGAGCCGTCGGCCACGTTATGTCGGCTGGCGACACCCAGGGGGAGGGCCTTCTCTGTGGGAGCCCCAGCCCTGTGGAATGAACTGCCCCCGGAAATACGTAAGATCTCCGACCTCCGGGTGTTTTGCTGCGCACTGAAGATCCTGTTGTTCCGCCAGGCCGGGCTATCAACATAATAATTTTAAATTGAGATATTTTAAATTTCTGGGATTTTAATTTGAGCCTAATCTATTTAATTATTTTAAATTTTAATCGTTGTTTTGTTTTGTGTTTTTAAATAGGCTGTACACACTGCCCTGAGTCCTTCGGGAGAAGGGCGGTATAGAAATAAAATTATTATTATTATTATTATTATTATTATTATTATTATTATTATTATTATTTCAAGAGAAGTGCACAGATCATGGTTATCGACATACAGTACATGTATCACTTTGCATATGCCAACAACCCCAGTGAAGGGACTAAAATAAATGCAGACCTATTTAACTAAAAAAAGTCCAAACCACGGCAAATTCAGCCTTCTCAAACGGAAAATTGATCATAGCTAGCTTCCTTAAGTCTTGCTTTGAACGTTAGTGAATTAGTTACAAGTTTAGGCACAGTATAAAAACGAACTAAGACTAAGCCACAAAGCTTCCACTTCTTGGAATCAACAAGCCAACATTAAAACAGGTTTCTAAACTGTAGTTTTCTTCCCTTAACCAAGTCATGTTTTTTATCCATTGACTCCGTTCTGCATATCACATAAAGCTGGTAAGAATATGAAATGGAAAACAGAATACATACCAAGGGACACACAATATATCTCTTTAAGGGAAAGGTAGATTATAAACTTCTGGGATAGAAAAATGTATTGTATCATTGGGGAATAGTGAAGTAAAATGTGTAAATAAACACTAGATAAAATAATGCAATACATCCCCATTGCACAGGGTAGGTTCTACTTACCTTTACTACCAGTTTGTAGCATTTTTTTTCCACCAGTTCGCCCAAACCAGTAGTTTTTATCACTACCGGTTCACCTGAACCGGTGCGAACCGGTAGCATTTCACCCCTGCCTTTTTCCTTCCAATTTTCCATCATGTGATTTCCTTTCCATTTTTAATCTGGCAGTTCCATAAAGCTATTTTAATTTTTCATGGTTCATGGATCACGATGAATCATAATGCATTTCTCTACTTCTGGGAGCGTCCGGTTGTAAGCTGTGCTTCGTGGCTTGTTCAAATGCATTCAATCTGGAGTATCTGCAGAGGAGAAGATACAAATAATCAAGATGGTGGACACATGAGCACATGAGGGGCTTCAATAACATATACACGGGGTGAAACCAGGCTTAATAGTAGTAACTGTGAGAGGGATCTTGGAGTCTTAGCGGACAACCAATTAAATATGAGCTAACAGTGTGCGGCAGCAGCCAAAAAACCTAATGCAATCCTAAATTGCATTAACAGAGGGATACAATCAAGATCAAATTATGTACTAATACCACTCTATAAAGCCTTAATAACACCACACCTAGAGTACAGCGACCAGTTTTGCTCACCACACTATAAAAAAGTTGTTGAGACTCTAGTCTAGAAAGAGTGCAGAGAAGAGCAACCAAGGTTGCTTGGACAGGGGACAGGGGACTCCAGGGGACTCCAGGGTACTGGAGACTAAAACATATGAAGAACAGTTGCAGGAACTGGGCCTGGCTAGTCTAGCAAAGAGAAGGACCAGGGGAGACAGGATAGCAGTCTTCCAATATTTGAGGGGCTGCCACAGAGAGGAAGGGGGTCAAGCTATTTTCCAAAGCACCTGAAGGCCAGACAAGGAAGAATGGATGGAAACTGAACAAGGAGAGATTCAACCTAGAAATAAGGAGGAATTTTCTGACAGTGAGAACAATCAACCCATGGAACAGAAGTTGCCTTTGGAAGTTGTGGGAGCTTCATCTCTGGAAGCTTTCAAGAAGAGACTGGACTGCCATCTGTCAGAAATCGTGTAGGGCAGTGTTGGTGAACCTTTTCGGCACCGAGTGCCAAAACGGGAGCGCGCATGCATGCATGCACATGCCAGAAACCAGAAGAGTAGCCACCCGGCGCACGTGTGTGTGCCAGGTGGCTGCTCTTCTGGTTTCCGGCGTATGCATGTGCACTTGTCACCTGGTCTTCAGGTTTCTGGCATGCATGCATGCATGAAGACCAGTTGGCTCGTGTGCATGCATGTGCCGGAAACTGGAAGAACAGCCTCCCGGTGTGCATGCCTCCTGCAGCCCCCCCCCCTGAACTCTGTTTTCACTGGCAAAGGGCTGCAGGAGGCCGTTGTGGCCAAAAACGGAGCTCGGGAGCCCGTTTTCACTGGCAGAGTGCTCAGGTCACAGGCGCCCTGACACGAGTGATGTCAAACTGCCCCCCCCCCGAGGTCAAACACAACCCTGATGCGGCCCTCAATGAAATCTGTGGGGATGGTGTGATCTCAGTGATCGGCAAACCGCGCTGGCTAAACAACGTTAACACAAAGTCCTAATCTTATCAGAAATGTAAAGACAGGATGTCTGGCAGAGACCCTATCTCAGATATGCAAGGCATGGGGACCCAGCACGTAGGCATTGTTTGTCACAGGAAAGAACATGAGGGAAACACGAGGGGTCCATATGGAATTCACGAGCTTTCTTTAGCCAATCAGTATCAGTAAATGTTGATTAATGTTTTGCCATGATAGTTGTAAAATGACAATAAAAGGGAGCCTTTTGAATGGGGTCAGGGTGCCTTGAACAAGGGGCCTTCCCACCGAGGGGCCTTCCCGTGAACCATCTTCCTGCCTACGCGTCTTTCTTCATCGAAACAACAGAAATCGAGTTTGACAGCCCTGCTGTACAGAATAATGGAGTAAGCCCCTCTCTATCTCTCCAACCCCTGCATTTCAAATAAAGGCTCAGCTTCTAGTGTTTGTTCTGTCTCTTTGCTTCTCTGCAAGTGAAGTATTATTTCACTCAAGTAAGATCTTAGAAAAGGCGGTGCGGTTAAGAGGCACCTCGATGGCTTTGGCGAAACAATGATGGCAAATCTTGAGTTGGCTAAGCCTTCCCATTGCCCTCCGAGGCCCGTGTTGCTAAAGGTACTGAATTGCATAATCCTTTTATGATTCAAGAGGAGGGTGACATCTGCTCCTTGAAATGTGAGTAGGTATGAAGTTTCTCCCCCATTTTCTCAAGAAGTATGTTTACCAACCAGAATCTGAGTTACTGGATTCCTAGTATTTAGGTGACGTTTAATTTTCTTTCATTATGAGCACTCAAAAAAGGAAAAATATAGAAAAAAGTTTGGAAAGAGAAAGACCTGGCCATACCATAAAGACTGGTGGCATTCACACAATGCGGATGGGTGGGTATTATTTTATTATTATGTTTTATTTTTATTATTTTTTTTCTGTATTGTGTCTGATTTTCTGTAAGCTGCCTAGAATCGCCATGAGAGAGTTAGGTGGCTATATACATTTTCCTAAATAAATAAACACCTATAATCAGACTGTGTTTTGCCCCAGCTACGGACCCCAAAGAACGCAGCACACAAAAAGTCCGTTCAAACCTTAGTTTACTAAATAAACCAGTCTTTTACAACAACGGCTGTTAATTAACTGCATTAACAGCCGCCAAAAATTCAAAGAATAATACTGAAAGCTTACTGTAGTTGGCAGAATGCCCAGAAGCAATTTGCAGGAAGCTGATAAGATAAGCAAGACATGACACGAAGGTATGTGAACAAAGTTGTTCCCTGCAAATTGCTTCAGTCGGCATTCCTCCTTAAATAGGCTAAGGGAGTGGCCAATGAGCCCCAAGCCTTACTCTCAAGGAGACCTCCTCCTGAGGAGCCACTCCTGCATTTTGGCAGTTCTGCGTGCCCGTGCATCGAGAAGAGGTTCCTCTTCGTTCTCTTCACTTAAGGGAGCTTCTGGAGGTTCTGAAGGCCCTGGCTGAATCCCCGCCTCTGGCACCACATCTTCTCCAGCCTCCTCGCTGTCCGACTTGAGTGCCAGCTGCACAGGCTGCTGATGCAGCACCACACCAGCCTCCTCGCTGTCTGAATCAGCTACTAGCTGCACAGGCCGCTGACGGGCCACAACAGACTGCTGAATTAAACTTTGTTCTGAGCTGTGCAAAACTTGAAATCATAAACCTACCAAGTGGGTTGATTTTAGATCAAGAAGGTGGAGAGAAAAAGATTAATCGTGCTTAGCAAAAGCATTTGAAAAGACTTTCCCCAGTCTCCTGAAGGGTGTTGTATGAATGCAGCCACTGATTCAAAGAAAAAGGCTCAAATTCACCCATCATGGTAAGCCATAATATGGTGGCTTGCTTTAGGCTTTATTTGTTACAGGCATGCAACCCTGGATGTGCCAGGAAGGGTATGGAGAGCAATAGTGAACTATGAACCATATTGAATTTGCAGAAATGCCATAATTTATGTACTTGCTTCACACGTCAGAACACAAACACACAATGGCGACCTTTGCTTCACGATGTCGTAGAGGAGAATCATGTCCCTTATGTTGTGTTCTGCCCCAGCTACGGACCCCAAAGAACCCAGCACACACAAACTTTGTACAAAACTTAAATTTACTAAAATAACTCAGTCTTTTCCAAACAAAGGCTGTTAATAAACTTTTTTAACAGCCTACAAGAAAACAAAGATAAAGTAATCACAATCTTACTAAGGTTGGCAGAAAGCTCAGAAGCAATTTGGAGAGAATCCAGACGCGAAGGAGAATGAACTAAAGTTGTTCCCTACAAATTGCTTCAGTCGGCGTTCCTCCTTAAATAGGCTAAAGGAGTGGTCAATTAGCCCCAAGTCTTACTTTCGAGGAGACCTCCTCCTGAGGAGCCACTCCTGCCTTTTGGCAGCTCTGTGCGCCCGTGCATCGAGAAGAGGCTCCTTCTCTTTGTCCTCTTCACTTAAAGGAGCTTCTGGAGGTTCTGAAGGCCCTGGCTGAATCCCTGCCTCTGGCACCACATCTTCTCCAGCCTCCTCATTGTCTGACTCGAGTGCCAGCTGCACAGGCTACTGGCGCAGCACCACACCAGCCTCCTTGCTGTCAGAATCAGCTACAATCCGCACAGGCCACTGACAGGCCACAACATGTTGTGCCTTTATGAGGTTCAGTGTGATATGTGAAATCCAGTCACTGTGGACTATAAGCCATACTTTATGCACAGGTACCGTATTCCCCCGAAAATAAGACCGGGTCTTATATTAATTTTTGCTCCAAAAGACGCATTAGGGCTTACTTTCTGGTTAGATCTTATTTTGGGGGAAATAAGGTACTAAATGCAACCATCTGGCTGACAATCTTAACTGGGGCTTATTTGGGGGGTAGGGCTTATATTATGAGCATCCTGAAAAATCATGCTAGGATTTATTTTCCGGTTGGGTCTTATTTTCGGGGAAACAGGGTAGTACTTGATTCATGACCACAATCAAGCCCAAAACATCTGTTGTTAAGTAAGACAGCTGTTTTTGCCCCATTTAACGACCTTTCTTGCCACCGTTAAGTGAATCGCTGCAGTTGTTAAGTTAGTAGCATGGTTGTTAAGTGAATCCGGCTTCCCCATTGACTTTACTTGTCAGAAGGTCACAAAAGGGGATCATATGACCCTGCAACCGTCATAAATATGAACTGTTTGCCAAACCTCCACATTTTCATCAGGTGACCAAGGGGGGGAATGCTTGCAACAGTGGTGTGAAAAATGCTCATGCATCACTTTTTTTCAGTCCCGTTGTAACTTTGAATGGTCACTAAATGAATTGTTGTAAATTGAGGACGACCTGTAGCTTGTTGAATCTGGTGAAGAAGGTAGCATGCAATTCGGTGTAAAGAAATAATAAGTTGGTGTAAATAAATGATAAAACACATTTTGCTTAACTATGATTTGCAGAGCCAAGCACAGTTAGCTGAATTCACACAAATTGCTAAACTCCTATAGTTTGTAAACTACATTGGCTGGAGATTGACATAACATGCTCAGCTTAAATGAAACTAACCAGGTGAAGCCAGCTTGGTGTAGCAGTGAAGCTGCTGGATGCAAAAGATCAGCCTTGAAAAATATAAAGGCATAATGTGATGCATGAATCCAAGCTAATACTAAGAAGTCATTGGGATAAAAAAAAAAAACACCTTTATTTCTCTTTCCATTATTATTTCCAGAAAGAAAAGATCTATTATATCAGCATGATTGAAGCTTCTTTGACCATTCTCTCGCAAGGTAGGTACCAGGTTGCCTTCTACCTATTCAGGTGATCGCTAAAGTGGAATCCATCTCTCCCTGAGATACTGGCACAACTAAATGCTGGATTACAAATACAACATAGGATCACAAGGCTGGAAGCGACCTTGGTGGGGAGGTCTTTTAGTCCAAAACCCCTACTCAAAACAGATCTTATATCATCCCAAATGGTTTTCCAATCTATTTTTAAAAACTTCCAGTGATAGAATAGAATAGAATAGAATTCTTTATTGGCCAAGTGTGATTGGACACACAAGGAATTTGTCTTTGGTGCAGATGCTCTCAGTGTACATAAGGAGAATAAAATACATTCATCAAGAATAAAAAAGATACAACACTTTGTGATAGTCAAGGTTACTAATAAGCTATCAAATCGTACTAGGAAGCAAATAAAAACAATATAAATTGAAAGAAACAAGCAACATGGTTATAGTCATAAGTGGGAAGAGATAGAGACAGATAGATAGTAAGGAAGAGAAGAATAGTAGTAATACAGTCTTAGTAAATTATTTGGCAGTGTTGTGGGGATTATTTGTTTAGCAGAGTGATGGCGTTCGGGAAAAAACTGTCCTTGTGTCAAGTTGTTCTGGTGTGCAGTGCTCTATAGCGTCTTTTTGAGGGTAGAAGTTGAAACAATTTATGTCCAGGATGTGAGGGGTCTGTAGATATTTTCACAGCCCTCTTTTTGACTCATGCAGTATACAGATCCCCAACTTGAGGATGCAAGCTGATTAATTTTTCTCATTGTCAGAAAATTTTCCCCTTACTTCTAGGTTGTATCTCTCTTTATGAAGCTGCCACCCATTAATTCTTGTCCTGATCTCTGGTGCTTTTGAGAATAAGTCAATCCCCTCTTCTCTGTGACAGTCCCCCAAGCACTGGAAGACAGCTATTCCCCCTTAATCCTCGTCTTTGATAAACTAGGCATACCTGACTCCCTCAATTGTCCATCGGACAACTCCATCCTATGATTTAGCCTCCAGACCCTTCATCGTCTTTGTTGCTCTTCTCTGTGGACTTTCTAGAATCTTGTCATCTCTTTTGTATCGTGGTGAGCAGAACTGTAGCAGAAGAGCTGAATTGGTCTAGAATAGCTAAACTCTGGAGACATCTAGCTGATCTTTTCAGATTAACCCAGGTCCAGCAACTTCCAAACATCTCTCTTCCCAAATCCAAATTAGTGGAGATTGTTTTTCTCACTGGCAGGGGACATGTTTATGGAACTTTTATGGAATTCTACTAATTTGTTCTGCCTTAAAACTGTAAGGGTATCACCACTCAGTACTAAAGCAGAACAGAGTTCTGGCGTTGGGATCCCTCCCAAATTATACCAGCATATTTTTCAGACAGCCAAAGATCTGGCCATAACTGTCTGGCTCTGTCTGGAACCACAAGCAAACCAACCATATCTTAGAATGGTAGCCCAATGTTTCTTAACCTTGGCTACTTTAAGATGTGTGGGCTTCAACTTTCAAGCTGGCTGGGAAATTCTGGGAGTTGAAGTCCACAAGTCTTAAAGCTGCCAAATTTGGAGACCCTGAACTAGTCTATTGTATGACTCCAACCAAGACATCTAAAGCACAGCTCAGTGTTGTGCAAAAACCGGGAATTAGTTTTAGGATTTGGTATTGCAGAGACACAGAGATACACCAGAGATAAAATTAGCCGCAAAGATCAACAGTGATGTGTCTTTCTCTGCAAATTTCAGGTTTTATGTACAACGGAATTAAAAACGACCACCTCTTTTCCACATCTGTGGGAAGCTCCTTCAAGTGTCTCAGTAAGCAAACGGTGGACTTGGCCAGCAACTTTCAGCTGCAGGCTGCCAATTCCCAGCTTCAAGCCTTTGATATCGTAAATAACCAATTTGGAAAAGGTTAGTATATGCAACCCCCGGGGTTCCTATGATTAAGAGTTTCCTGCTGAGGGCACAAAGGGGCATTTTCACACCATGATCTCCAGGTCTTGGGGTAGATGCGAAGCGATGACGTTTTCACTGATTCTCTCTCAGCCGTGCTGCATTTAATCCAAGCCAATTTTGCATGCATATAAATATGTGCATAGGACTCCCTTAATAAATTTCCCAGTAGCCCTCAAAAGAACAAATGCTTTTATAATTTTCAGATGTACAGACTACCAGGAGGCAACACATAGACTTAGAAATTAGAATAACTTTATTGTCACTTTGAATGTACACTGATCGGCATACATTAAAATCAGAGGTGGGTTTCAGCAGGTTCTGACCACTTCTGGAGAACCGGTAGCAGAAATTCTGAGTAGTTCGGAGAACCGGTAAATACCACCTCTGACTGGCCCCACCCCCATCTATTCTCTGCCTCCTGAGTACCAGCTGATCAGGAGGAAATGGGGATTTTGCAGTATCCTTCCTCCAGGAGTGGGGTGGGATGGAGATTTTACAGTATCCTTCCCCTGCCATGCCCACCAAGCCACACCCACCAAGCCATGCCACGCCCACCAAGCCACACCCACAGAACCAGTAGTAAAATTTTTTGAATCCCACCACTGATTAAAATGGAATTTCGTTGCATACAGCTCTCAAAGCGTCTCCATCTCTAATTAGAGGAGGGTCTCCGCCTCTAACATGACCACTTTCAATCTTATTGGAATTGTCAAGATTCATAGCCTTATTATTTATTTTTATCATACCTTTGTTGTTTACATAAATAACTGATAAGCGAACGTATGCAACACACCTTCCTCCTCCTATTTTCATCACAAGAAGAACAATCCTGTGAGGTGGGTTGAACTGAGAGAGAGTGACTGGCCCAAAGTCACCCAGCCGGCTTTCATCCCTAAAGCGGGACTTGAACTCATGGTCTACTGGCTTTCTAGTCTGGTGCCTCAACCACTAGACCAGGGGTCTGCAACTTAAAACACTCAAAGAGCCATTTAGAACCATTTCCCACAGAAAAGAAAACACCGGGAGCCACAAAACCCTTCCCGTGCCTGACTATTTCCTGAGCCACAAAACTAGCATATGTAGTTGAATTAAACATTCTGTTTTCTTCTGAAACTTTTCTTTTCTTGAATTTATCCATGGTTGGCCTACCGGGGGTTGAAAAGCTCAATAAATTGCATGCAGGTGTCGCACATTGGCGGTTGTGACACATATTTTGAGTGACAAGGAGCTGCAGCAGAGGGGTGAAAGAGCCACATGCGGCTCCAGAGCCGCAGGTTGCTGACCCCTGCACTAGACCAAACTGCCTTTCTAAGGATTTGCCATAGTTGAAATGATTTTAACTGGTACGAAGATAACTTTCACATATGGTGCTCACAAGGTCTGGGATAATTCTCGACAGCTTTATTTGTCCAAGATAAAAATCACCGTGGAAGATGAAAATCACTGTGGAATCAAATGATGCTTCTTTATTGAAGTCTAATAGTATTTTTTTCCGAATTGCAGAAGAGGAGTGCACTTTGGATAGAAACAAGAAGTTGATCCCAGCAACAATTGGCTTCAGTCTGTCGGGATTAGTTATCATCATCCTGTTCTCCTGTGTGCTTTATAGAAGGAAAGCTCACACCGGATACAGCCGTATCTGAATCCCGAAGTTTATTTATGAATGGGTGTAGTAGCAACAAATGATAAGATGAGGAAGAAGGGGAGATCCTGCTTGCTTTTGCTGTGGCAATCAGATGTGCAAATAGCAGTTGAGCATCTTTAAGTGATTTTTAAATTTCTGACACTTTTTAACACTTGATTGGAAATTAATCAGCTCAATGCAGGTGCAAAGATACCGATTATCTATATACAACAGTAGCAATATTTTTATTTGCTTGGGTGTTATTGCGGTTTTTTAATTCACCTGGATGAATTCAATTAAGATTAGTAGTACTAATGTGTATGTCACATCAGACAGATCTGTCTGCGGTAGACACATTGTTAGAGGTGCTTAGGCAAAACCTTCAACAAACATTATGTTCTGAACTTTAATAACTTTAACCCTTTGGAACAATCTACCAACCTCCGGACTTTTCGTCGGGCCCTAAAAACTCATCTCTTTCAGTTAGCCGGTCTCTCTTGATTTTATGATTTTATGGTTGGTTTTAAATTTTGATATGGATTTTAAATTGATAAATTTTAAACTATGGGCCAAATTTAATTATTTTAAATCTATTTTTAATCGTACTTTATGTATAAATGTTTTTATTTTGACTGTTCACCGCCCTGAGTCCGAAAGGAGAAGGGCGGTATAGAAATTAGAATAATAAATAAATAAATAAATAAATAAATAAATAAATAAATAAATAAATAATAGTGGTATTATAGCACACTGAGGGCAGGACAAGAAGCAATGGGTGGAAGCTTGTCAGAGGGAAATTCAACCTGGAACTAAGGAGGAATTTCCTGACAGTAAGAACCAGGGTGGATTTGATTTAAATCGAGTTGATTTAAATCACAATTTAAATCATGATTTAAATCACTAGTAAAAAGGCTTGATTTAAATCAACTCGATTTAAATCATAATTTTTAAAGAGCAACTGTCATCTCTGCTACTCCTTTGACCCACTGTTGACTCACCGATAGTCCCAGTGTTGCAGAATATACAGCCTCATGCTACATAACTAAGCTCCATTTCATGCTGAATAAACTAAATTATTTATGTATCTTAAATAGAAAACTATCTTACGATAGATTTTTTACCCCAAAAGTTTATTATTAAAATAAATTTGATAAAAATCAAAACAATCCGATTTAAATTAAAAAAATCCAATTTAAATTTTAAAAAATCTGATTTTTTTGATTTTTTTAAAAAAATCATTGATTTTTATCCACCCTGGTAAGAACAATTAATCAGTGGAATGACTTGCCACCAGAAGTTGTGGGTGCTCCAACACTGGAAGTTTTAAAATAGAGATTGAAGAGCCATTTATTCGGGATGGTGTAAGGCCGTGATAGCGAACCTATGGCAGGTGTGCCACAGGTGGCACGTGGAGTCATCTCTGTGGGCACGTGAGCCGTCGCCCTAGGTCAGCTCCACCGCGCAAGTGTGCGTGCCTCCCGCCGGCCAGCTGATTTTTGGGTCACCCCCCCAGCGTCCCTTTTTTGGTTCCAGGAGGCTTCAGTGAGGCCTAGTAGGCCCAAAATGGGGCGTGGGGGGGCGCACACGCATGCGCAGGGGCAAGGGAGCACAGGGGGGTCGGGCACACAAACACGGGTCAAGGTGCACGGGGGGCATTGCATTATGGTTGTGGGCACGTGCGCGCACTCTTTCGGCATCCGAGGAAAAAATGGTTAGCCATTGCTCGTATAAGGACTCCTGCCTTATGGGTAGGGGGTTGGACTAGACCACCTCCAAGGTCTCTCCCAGTTCTATGGTTCTATGATTGAAATCAATTATTTTACATTACTCCTTAGTTAGGGAATAGGCTGCCCTTCTCTGTTTTCTGAATGTAGGACATTATTTCACATCTGCTGCCAACTTCAAGGTTACAATAATGGGTGGATACACCCTTTGTACTAAGCCATGACTTCATCATGGCTTATTGAGTAGCCATTAACTGGCTTAGCAATAAATGGTTTATAAAATACCCAGGCTATTTTATTTTATTTTTTTACAAGTTGTGCTGTGTGCTAAAAGCAAACCATGTTATGGCATATCATAGCGTGTTAATTCAACCAACTCTGCATGCTTTCACACGTACAGATCGTTGCTTCACAATATGCTTGGCCAGAATTGTTAAATTTGTAACTCACTGCATTGTACAAACCCAGGAAAATGAAATACTGAAATAAACTATTTTTCAGTTAACCACAGATTGGTTCAAAAATACATTATCTGTCTCATGTAATTCAATCTACCTTGTCCAGTTTTTGCCAAATCAGTTGACTTGAGGTTGCACAGCCTTGTATTCACTGGTATTTAATCAATTTTCTCTTAGTTATTCGATAAAAAGCATAACCTTCCTGGAGGATTTTCTTGGCAAAGAATAGAAGTGATCTGCCACTCCTTCCTTCTTGAGATATATTTTAAACTCCCGAGGCTCAGAAAAACACTGTAAAAAAAAAGAGAGAACTATTTTCCAAGAAAATATTCCTCTTAAGGCAAATTTGATCTTTCTAAAGTTGTGAAATGTTTTGTTTTTCAGGTGATTTATCTAAATTGTGGAGAAACTAGAAATACATTGCAATGACAAACTATTTTTTTTTTTGTAACTAAGAACACTGCCACTGCCTTGTCAAGTTCCTAGCTTTTGCATTTATTTTTACCTTTTTTTAACTTGGAAGTTTTAACCTGATTTTAATTCATGCTTTTATTCATGTGTTTATATCAGTGGTGGGTTTCAAATTTTTTTTACTACCGGTTCTGTGGGTGTGGCTTGGTGGGTGTGGCATGGCATGGTGGGCGTGGCAGGGGAAGGATACTGTAAAATCTCCCTTCCCACCCCACTCCAGGGGAAGGATACTGTAAAATCCCCATTCCCTCCCCACTCCAGGGGAAGGTTACTGCAAAATCCCCATTCCCTTCCAATCAGCTGGGATTTGGGAGGCAGAGAGTAGATGGGGGCGGGGCCAGTCAGAGGTGGTATTTACCGGTTCGCCAGAACTGGTCAGAACCTGCTGAAATCCACCTCTGGATGGATATATGGTTTTATATGGTTTTATTACAATGTTCTAAACTGTCTAGACTCATTTAGGAGAGATGGCTGGTATAGAAATTTAATTTGCTTTATTGTTTACAATCCCAGACTGTTTCCAACAGTTCATTTTTTTCCCTTACCACACCAAAACTTTGTTCCTTTACCGGTCCTATACAAACCACAAAAAAGAGGCTGGATTGAATTTTCAAGTAATGTAGCTCAAATACTCACACAAAATGTGGATTCTGAGATGAAAGTGCTAGTGCTTTGCAAATATATGTATTTGCAAAGGAAAAAAAATATGTTTCAAAACTTTCTGCAAGGCTAATCTGTGATCCAAGTCTCCACTATCAACCTGATCCAATCATGGTTAGGTTTCAAAGTCAGACAACTACTGCCACCTACTGAGCAGGGGTGAAATGTAAAATTTGTTACTACCGGTTCTGTGGGTGTGGCTTGGTGTGTGTGGGGGTAATGTGACTGGGTGGGCGTGGCCAATTTTTTTTTTAACTTTTCAAAGCATTTTTTCTAATGCTTTGAAAAGCCTCTGTGGATCAGGCAAGTCAGCTGGGATTGTCAGACACTTTTCAAAGCAGTTTTTTTACCACCTTGTTGTGGATTTAATAAGACCAACACAACTTTTGGGTTAATCAGAGACAATTTGTATATTGCGCAATAGGTTCAAAGCTCTGTACATGAAGCGTTGAATAAAGACAGAAATTAGGTACAATGGTTTTTATACCCTTCTAGACAAAGGATTCTGTTAACAATTCATATGGTCATATACATTTGTCATTTTTAATTGACATTTCCTAATTAGTTTCTTTGCAAAACAGTTATAATTCTTTTTGTAGATTACTGAAGCATAGACTCAAATCATCCTCTGACGATAGACAACTTTTAACTCATGTGGATCCCCTTGACCTAACCAACCTTTAAGCTGTATGTCATTAGAATGTTCCTTTCTTCTGACAACTTAGAGGCCTCCTAGAGGTACCAAAAGGATTTTGGCTGAGTTTGTACTTTTTCCAACCGGATGCATTGCTTTTTAGAATAGAGTGAATAGAAAGTTATCCAATGGTCATCTATCAGAGCCCGCTTCATTTACATTAACCTCTTCGGCCAAGAGGTTGCAGAAAAAAATACTCTGAAAAGCCTCTGACGATCCCAGCTGAGCCACGCGATCATCAGAGGCTTTTTTTTTTTTTTACTTTTAAAAGCATTTTTTCATCGGAAGAGGTTGTAGAAAAAATGCTTTTAAATAAAAAAAAAAGCCTCTGATGATCGTGTGGCTCAGCTGGGCATGGTGGTGGTGGGGGTGCAGGGATTTTTGCTACCGGTTCTCCGAACTACCCGCCGCCATTGCTACCGGATCAGGCGATCCGGTCCGAACCGGGAGCATTTCACCCCTGCTACTGAGGCTTGGTGAAGATGGTGGATCAGGTACCTTCCTAAGAGAAGGCAATGGCCAGAATCCTATAAATCTACTTAAGTTAATAATAAATCTCAAACTCTTCAAATGATGGAGAGAAAAAAGTTTACAAAATAGCTTTACATTCACAGCCCAAGTTTCTTGCTCCGAATAATTATGAGTTTTCATTCCCAATACTTTTCTCTGAAGAAAAAAAAATGCTCTATGTACATTCCTACATTGTACTCGTCCAAGAGGCCAAAAATAAGAATTCAGGATCCTCACATTACAGACAGGCTCTGCCCTATGAGTCCCATTAATTAAAACAATGCCATCTATCCGGCCCCTGAAAGCGGGGGCCTGTCCTGTCCTTGGGAGCAGCATTCCCTCCTCCCTCCCTCATTCATGTCACTGCCATTCCATTACAAACTAATAAAAAAATTGTTAATAAAGAGAGGAACTGGATTCACCCAATGACACCTGTTCAAGGAAAGCGAAGCTTGGTTGGGAGCGTGTGTGTGAATAGAAATATAGAAATATAGAAGGAATAGAAAAGAGTAGAGTAGAGTAGAGTAGAGTAGAGTAGAATAGAAAAGAATAGGAATTCTTTATTGGCCAAGTGTGATTGGACACGCAAGGAATTTGTCTTGGTGCATAGGCTATCAGTGTACATAAAAGAAAAGATACGTTCATCAAGAATCATAAGGTACAACACTTAATGATAGTCATAGATATAGAGATAGATACATAGATGCATTGATACATTGATACATAGATATAGAAAAATGGAATGGAATAGGAATAGGAATAGGAATAGAAATAGAAATAGAAATAGAAATAGAAATAGAAATAGGAATAGGAATAGGAATAGGAATAGGAATAGGAATAGGAATAGGAATAGGAATAGGAATGGAATGGAATGGAATGGAATGGAATGGAATGGAATGGAATAGAATAGAATAGAATAGAATAGAATAGAATAGAATAGGGATTCTTTATTGGCTAAGTGTGATTGGACACACAAGGAATTTGTCTTGGTGCATAGGCACTCAGTGTACATAAAAAGAAAAGATACATTCGTCAAGAATCATAAGGTACAACACTTAATGATAGTCATAGATATAGATAGATAGATAGATAGATATAGATACAGATATAGAAGAATGGAATGGGAATAGGAATAGGAATAGGAATAGGAATAGGAATAGAATAGAATAGAATAGAATAGAATAGAATAGAATAGAATAGAACAGAATTGGAAGGGACCTTGGAGGTCTTCTAGCCCAACCTCCTGCTTAGGCAGGAAACCCTACACCACTTCAGACAAATGGTTATCCAGCATCTTCTTAAAAAACTTCCAGTGTTGGGTTTATTCACAACTTCTGGAGGCAAGTTGTTCCACTGATTAACTGTTCTCAATGTCAGGAAATTTCTCCTTAGTTCTAAGTTGCTTCTCTCCTTGATTAGTTTCCACCCATTGCTTCTTGTCCTGCCCTCAGGTGTTTGGGGGAACAGCTTGACTCCCTCTTTGTGAGGGTCCTTTAGAAGCGCCCCCAACTCCTTCCTCGACTTTGCCAAAGCCCTGCACAAACCAAGAAACCTGGCTAACGAGACTAAAGCTTTTAATGGGAACGAAGCCATTATGAGGGGAAAAAACACAGGGCAGGGCAGGGCTCTTGGGCGTCAGAGGCAGCTGGAAAACCCAGGTGGAGCGCGCCCTGCCCTTCTCCTTGGCGAAGGTTGGCCAATGTTTCCTCCGCCCGGGCAGCTCCGACGTTTCCTTCTCCCTCCCCACGAGCCCGGCCTCCTTTCCGGCTTCGCTGATAGGCCCAAACGCCGCCGTCAGCCCGGCCCAAGTTCCCCCGCCTCTGTGCAGCTCCGGCTGGCGCAGGAGGGATGGCGGCGGCCTCGGCTTTGGCGCTGGGCAGCGAGGGGCGACACCAGCTCAGGCGGGCGCTGCAGGGCCGGTGAGTGCGCAAAGGCGCGGGGCCGACTCCGCTCGGGGTTGCCGCGGGAAGCTGGGAGAGGAGAGCCCCGTTTTTCGCCCCCCGGCAGGGCAAGGAGCTCCGCGGCTGTGCTGAGCCGGTCCCTGGCAGAGCCCCACCGTCTGGCTGGTGGTGGTCCATAATGGAAGGGGGACCCCAGTCCCCGTCCCATTCCCGGGGTTGGAGGCATATTTTTGAAGTCGCGCTTTGTAGATCAACCTTGCACGTATGGATTTGGCCCCGACGCGTGTCTTAAGCTTCCACAAGACACATACACACACACACCCCGCTGGCAACCTGGAGCAACTGGAGGGCTAGCGGTGATGGGTGATTTGTCAGCTGATTTGTCAGCCGTTTGTCTCTGCCGTATGGGGCAGGTTTGCTTCCACCATGTTGCAGAATAACAAAGAGCTGGAAAAGGGACCTTGGAGGTCTTCTAGTCCAGCCCCTCTGCTCAAGCCGGAGACCTTATATCAGTGATGGCTGACCTTTTTGCCATCGCGTGCCAAAAGCTGGGGGAGTACGGGGTGGTTTGTGTGTGTGTGTGTGTGCCCATACCCATAATTCTATGTGCCCTGCCCCCCCCACGCATGCGTGCACGACCCCCCCATGCTTCCCCCCACTTTTGGCATGTGATGGCATGGTGGGCCTGGTAGGCCTGTTTTTTTGCCCTCCCCAGGCTCCAGAGGCTTTCTAGGAGCCTGGGGAGGGCAAAAACAGCCTTCCCCACCTCCCCGGTGGCTCTTCAGAGGCCGGAAACAGCCCAATTGCCGACTTCCGTTGGGCCCAGAAGGCGCAAAAATCAGCTGGCGGAGCTGAGCTAGGGCAACGCTCGCATGCCCACCAATATGGCTCCGTGTGCCACCTGTGGGGCACATGCCATGGGTTCGCCATCACGGTATATAATACCATGTCAGACAAATGGTGGTCCAATCTCTTCTTAAAAAGCGGGGTTGTTCTTTGGGAGTGGCTGCATCAGGCCTGGAGAATTGTGTTCACACAACATACTGATCTACAAACGGAACTCTTCCTTCGAAGCAGACTTGAATGTCACCCAGGAACTACAGGTAGTCCCCGAGTTACGACCACAATTGAGCCCCAAAATTATGTTGCTCTAAGGGAAACATTTGTTACGTGAGTTTGCCCCATTTTACAACTTTACACGTCACTGTTATTAAGTGAATCGTTGTATTTGTTAAGTTAGTAACACGGGTGTTAAGTGAATCATTGACTTTGCTTGTCGGAGGGTCGCAAAAGCTGATCACGTGATTCCAGGACACAGCAGCCGTCATAAATGTGAGCCAGTTGCCAAGCCTCTGAATTTTGATCATGTGACCACAGAGATGCTGCAATGGTCGTGTGAAAAACGGTCGTAAGTCACTTTTTTCAGAGCCGTTGTGACATTGAACGGTCACTAAATGAACTGTTGTAAGTCGAGGACTACCTGTATATGATTGGATCCAGGTTGTTTCCTTGTCAACAGTATGGGATCCATTTATCAGAGCTGCTTTCAGTATTTTTTTTCCTGCCTAAAAAAAATAACCTCTGTTAAATCTCCTGGTGGTCTCCCATTCAAGATCGAACAAGCTGTCATCCTGCTTAGCTGTCACAAGTTCAGCCAAAGTCATTTGTTTAGTATAGTGTGTTCAATACTAAAGGCTCCAAGTTGTTATTTGAGTTTCAAATATGTGTTTATTGAGAAAAACCATGGTAAAACTAGCAATGGATAAGCATATTACGGCAACCAGAATTGATAGTTGGAGCTGCTGGTTTACTGCCCCTTCTTAAGTGTTGGCATCTTTGGATGTTTCTGGAATATCTTGTGCCTAGAAAATGTTTGTAAATCTTTCATTCAATGCTTTTCGGATTTCATTGGACTAAATTAAGAATACATCTTAGTCCTCGACTTTACAACCACAATTAAGATAGAATTTCCATTGTTAAGCAAAAGTGGTTGTTAAGTGAGTCACACCCAATTTTATGACCTTTTTTGTCATGGTTGTTAAGTGAATCATATGATCATTAAGTGAATCTGGCTTCCCCTATTGATTTTGCCGGCTGGGAACACAAATGGTAATGGGGCAATTGCTGTAAATCCCGGGGTCTCCAAACTTGGCAACTTTCAGACTTGTGGACTTCAAGCTTTGCTGGCTGAGGAATTCTGGAAGTTGAAGTCCACAAGTCTGAAAGTTGCCAAGTTTGGAGACCCCTGCTGTAAATACATGCTGGTTTCTAAGTGTGCAGATTATGATCACGTGACCTTGGGGATGGTGCGATGGTTATGTTGTGGTCTGTCAGCGGCCTGTGCGGATTGTAGCTGATTCTGACAGCGAGGAGGCTGGTGTGCTGCGCCAGCAGCCTGTGCAGCTGGCACCCGAGTCAGACAATGAGGAGGCTGGAGAAGATGTGGTGCCAGAGGCAGGGATTCAGCCAGGGCCTTCAGAACCTCCAGAAGCTCCTTTAAGTGAAGAGGACGAAGAGGAGGAGCCTCTTCTCAATGCACAGGCGCGCAGAGCTGCCAAAAGGCAGGAGTGGTTCCTCAGGAGGAGGTCTTCTCGAGAGTAAGGCTTGGGGCTAATTGGCCACTCCCTTAGCCTATTTAAGGAGGAATGCCGACTGAAGCAAATTGTAGGGAACAACTTTAGTTCATTTTCCTCCCGTCTGGATTCTCTGCAAATTGCTTCTGGGCTTTCTGCCAACCTTAGTAAGATTGTGATTACTTTATCTTTGTTTTCTTGTAGGCTGTTAAGGAAGTTTATTAACAGCCTTTGTTTGGAAAAAACTGAGTTATTTTAGTAAATTTAAGTTTTGTACAAACTTTGTGTGTGCTGTGTTCTTTGGGGTCTGTAGCTGGGGCAGAACAGGTCATAAGTGCACTTTTTGCAGTTGTAGGACTGGTTGTAAGTCACTTTTTTTCCAGTTCTGTTGCAACTTTGAATGCTAAATTATTTTTTTTTTGGTTTTTTGATGGGTCTTTTCCTTCCACAGAAAATGGCTTTGGGCCTTGAGTACCAGAGAATATGCTTCTGTAACAGGTAAATTACATGGCTTATTTTCTTTATGGAAATTTTTTCTCGATTCCTAACAATTTATATGACAACTAGAAACTAATTTTGAAGTCAGATAAAAATAATAACATTATCCTGCCATTCTGATCATTGTGGACGAATTAGTAGTAATAGAGAATATGGGCGTAATTATGGCAGACCTAATTTCTCATAACGTGCTTTTTTAATTTGGAAAAAAAAAACAGGTCAAAGGAATATTGAGAAAGTTCTCGTGGCAAACCGAGGAGAGATCGCTTGCAGGGTGATGCGAACCGCTCGGAAGATGGGGGTGAAGTCGGTGGCAGTTTACAGCGAGGCTGACCGGAATTCAATGCACGTAGCCATGGTAAAAATTCATCAGCTGATACTCTTAAGGGCTGCTCTTAAGGCAATTGCGGAGCCAAATAATTTTGTATGAATAATACATTCACTTAACCATACTTGGAGATATTGTAGTTGCCTCAGTTTAGATCAGGGGTGTCAAACTCAAGGCCCCAGAAGTGCTTAGATCTGGCCTACGGGGCCACCCTGGAAATTGCAAAGGAGTGGACCGTGATGCCTCTGCCAGCGAAAATGGAGCCCGCCCCGCCCCCCAGCCCCGTTTTTGGCCTGGACAGCCTCCTGCAGCACTCTGCCAGCGAAAACAGAGCAAAAATGGCCCATCTCTCAGGCCTGGAAGCCATCTTTTTCATTGGATCTTCAGGCCTGCCACATTTACTACTGTGGGAAACTGGGAGGGGGGATTGTATGGAGCCAGGGTGATATATAGTCATAATAACATTCCTTTCTCAGAGAGTCAAGGACATCTTGCCCTGCACCTAAACGGCTGGAACTGGAAGGCATCTCCAATTGGGACGGTGCTTGGATTGGACCATGTGATGGACTTGTGGGTGTTGGGCAGGGACTTGGACTTTCTTTTGGGTGGGGAAAACCTGGAAACTTTCAGATTTGGGTTTTCCCAGATGTGCCAATATGACATCTCTAATAAAATGGAACTTTGAAGAAACTCCAGCCTCTGAGCTTTCTTTCATTGGGTGGTGTTACTTGGAACCCTGACACCATCCTGGCCATGCCCCCCCGGCCAAGTGATGGTCCCGGGGTCCCCCAAGGTCAAACACAACCCTGATGCGGCCCTTAATGAAATCAAGTTTGACACCCCTAGTTTAGATTGATCACAGTACAGGTAGTCCTCAATTTACAACCAGTGGCTGTTCAGAATTACAGCGACACTGAAAAAAGTGACATATGACTGTTTTTCAAACATCCTTTGCAAGATTCCCCACATGGGCATGTGATTAAAATTCGGACACTTGGCAACTGGTTCATATTTATGACAGTTGCAGTGTCCTGGGTCATGCATTCACCTTTTGCAGCCTTTTGACAAACAAAGTCAATGAGGAAGACAGATTAATTTAAACAACTGTGTCTTTTAACAACTACGGTCATTCACTTAACAGCTGTGGCAAGAAAGGTCATAAAATGGGCCAAAACTCACCTACAGATACCTTGCTTAGGTTCAGTTGTGGTCGTAAGTCAAAGACTACCTGTATGCAAACCTAACCATGGTTGTACAGTGTTTAGATGACAATCAGTTTAGGGTTTAAAATAGTCATGGCTTAGCTCAGTGTTTTTCAAGCTTGGCCATTTAAAGATATGTGGACTATCACTCCCAGAATTCCTGCATTGCCAGCTGGAGAATTCTGGGAGTTGAAATCCACATATCTTTAAGTTGCTAAGTTTGAAAAATACTGTGATCAGTGCATAGGGTTTAATCACATTTCAGGCCTAAATAAAGCAATGTGTTTTGTAATCGGTGTTAAAACTTTAATAGGAAGTCCTATGCCTGGGGTGTCCACAGCCATGGTCAAAAAAATCAAGATGGTGGCTTTGACTCAAGGATTGAAGCCCTGTCTCTTTTTTTTTAACCAGTGCTACCTCACAAATTATAAAGGGGGGGGGGGCTTTGATAGTATGATTGCAGCTTCCATTTTGCTTTTTCGTTAAGTTACTTTATGGCTAATCCAGCTCAATCCTTCTGCTACTTGAGTTTGTTCTTCAAGGATGCATCAAAATCTTGTAGAAAAGTTAATCTAAAATATGTAATAAAGTATAAATAAAGTATACTAATAAAATGATGCTGTTTTCTTGTAGGCCGATGAAGCCTATTGCATTGGCCCAGCACCATCTCAGCAGAGTTACCTATCCATGGAAAAAATAATGCAGGTGGCCAGAAACACTGCAGCACAGGTACAAATTCTGCTTTGTAACAACTACCGTATTTTTCGGACTATAAGACGTACCGGACTATAAGACGCACCTACGTTTTTTGGTGAGGAAAACAAGAAAAAGAAATTTGCCTCTTCCTCTGCCTCCCAGCAATTTTGACTCATTGCAGCAAACAGCCTGCTTTACTTTCATTTTCGTTTTCAGCATAGCTTGATTAGCGCAATGAAAAAAAAAATCTGCTCCCAGCAATTTACCTCCTTGCAGCAAGCAGCAGAAGTCCACGCAAAACAGCTGAGAGTCGGGAGGCCGATCCAATCAACTTGTGCTAATTAGGCTGTGCTGAAGCTGAAAGGAGCTGTTTCTTCTTGCTGCTTGCTGCAAGGAGGTAAACTGCTGGGAGGCAGAAGCCAAAGGGTAGGGGCCAGTGGGTGGGCAGGGCTACATTCGGTGTATAAGACGCACCTAAATTTTCACCCCCTTTTAGGGGGGAAAAAGGTGCATCTTATACTCCGAAAAGGTATGTTTTACTTAAAATTGGGTTAGTGCAACATAATAACATGGATTCTCTGTGTAAGTGACTAAACTCTCACATTGCAGGCTTTGGTATTCTGATTGAATTTCTTGAAGCAATTTAATTCATCAAGTCTGCTTTTTTTTAATGGTCTCATTTCCCATAAAGTTGTGTAAATATTCTGCTAACGCCCCAGTTCTTTCTGTGGTTAACCTCTGTGCCTGCTACTTGTAGAGGTTCAGCCATCCTAACATGTCCCTATGCTACTGTTTCATAGGTCTTTTAAGTGCAACAGGGGGATAATGTCGGGATGGCTTTGCAGATCACTCTCATAGCAATTGATCAGATTTTTTTGCTGGTCACATACAGTGGTAATTGTTGGGTGGGAGGACCAACTAACCCTTGGGTTCTCCTATTGGTCGCTGAAAAAATGACTGATTGCTGGTAGTATTCTGAGGTCAACAGCAATGGAAAAGATTGCACATAACTTCAATCTGCTTTTCAGTGTTTGGGCAACAGAAAACAACAGTGTGGACGTTTCTGCATTTTGGAGGCCAGCTTCAGCTTCTAGAGCAGCTCAGCAGAAACATCACAAAGCCTCAAATAAGCCTCTCACAATATACCTTTGATATTTCCTATTTTAGGCTATCCATCCAGGCTATGGTTTCCTATCCGAAAACACAGAGTTTGCTGAACTCTGTAACCAAGAAGGGATAATTTTCATAGGTCCTCCTTCATCTGCCATCAGAGATATGGGCATTAAGAGGTATGGCTAAATTTATTATGGAAATATTGTTTTGTTGGAACTACTAGGTTGTTCCTTGTATCTGGGAGGCACATTTTTTAAGATATGCAGTGAATTGATCCTGCAATCTTTTAATACCCTTGAGAATTATGTTCTCAAAAATCTCAGTGTAGAGTGGCCAAATGCAGTACAACCTTTGGTCTAATTTCATGTGGGCCTTTATCTAATACATGGGGTGGTGGCGTGGCTCAGCGGTTAAGATGTTGGGCTTGTTGCCTAGAAAGCCAGCAGCCTAGGTTCGAGACCCGAGCACCATACGACGGGGTGCACTCCCATCCTCGCTCCAGCTCCTGCCAACTTAGCAGTTCGAAAGCATGCAAATGCAAGTAGATAAATAGGTACCACTTCAGTGGGCAGGCAATAGCGCTTCGTAATATACTGTCATGTGACTGTGGAAATGTCTTTGGACAACACTGGCTCAATGGCCTTGAAACGGAGACTTAACACCACCCCTTATAGTCTGCAATGACCAGTGGAGTAAAATCCGCAGGGGACTCTAATTAATTAATATCTCATTTAATTGAGGTGGGAGGAGCCCAGACATGTGAATAATAGAAGGAATCTAGATGAAGTAATGGTTGATTTACATGCCATCAAGTCAGTGTTGACACTTGGTGGAGACATAGATTTTCTCCTTGATCAAAATGGAATGTGGGTTTCTTTCTAAATACCGTAAGGAAATTGCATCAGTTGAGAGAGAGGTGGGTTGTGGGAATGAAAAAGATGTTTTGCAGAGTTCCTTCTATTGTTGACACTGAACATATGTTGTGTTCCCTTGAAGTACTTCTAAGGCCATCATGTCTGCGGCTGGAGTTCCTGTGGTGGAAGGTTACCATGGGGAAGAGCAATCGGACAAGTTTTTGGAAGACCAAGCCAGAAGGATCGGCTACCCAGTTATGATCAAAGCTGTCCGTGGAGGTGGAGGCAAGGTAGCATCTGTTCGATGACATTTCATCATTTAGTCTACCGTTTGTTGCATCATAAAGTTCTACTTAAGCTATAATTCCTTTCCTCTGTGTTGATGCAGGAGTTAATCTATGCACTCACGGTACATTCATATCATAGCTAGATTCACTCCTTGCAGTAAATCAGGAGTCTCCCAACTTGGCAACTTTAAGCCTTGTGGACTTTAATTTTGAGAATTCCTCAGGCAGCCATGCTGGCTGAGAAATTCTGGGAATTGTAGTTCATAAACCAAGCTGAGAGACCCCTGCAGTAAGCATGGTTAAATACATTTGTTGAACAAGCTGGACTTGGATAAGCAATCACAATATATAATTTATGTGGTTAACGTGATGGTAATCCAAAATTGGTTTTAGGGTTCCTGTTGGCATGTGTGAATGAGTGTAGACCGTTGTGAAGGAACACACCCATGTGCAACAATGGAGTATCAATAACCTTGGGGGGATGAAGTTGTAGACTGTAAAGTTGCATTGCAGTCACTTGGTTTTTATTTTTATTTATGTTGCCATCTATCTTTAATAAGTTCAGAAAACCAAAGATGAATTCATTTTGCAGTCTCATCTCAAGTGCCCTCTGATAATGCTACATAATCCTTAAAAGAATCTTTATAAAAATACAGGCATCAGGACAATCTTTTTTTATGGCTATCAAGAATATATATACACTGCTCAAAAAAATAAAGGGAACACAAGCAGAAGACATCTGAGATCTGAATGAATGAAATAGCCTTATTAAATGTTCGTTACATACAGTAGTTTTGTGTTCCCTTTAGTTGTTTGAGCAGCGTATAAACTACTGTATGTAACAAACAAAGTATTTAATAAGGCTATTTCATTCATTCAGATCTCGGATGTCTTCTGCTTGTGTTTCCTTTATTTTTTTGAGCAGTATATATATAATCTATGCATGTATTCTCTGTGATATATATTGAAATCAGAAATTTAAGCTAGTGATTGTGCAAATGAGGTGCCTCTGTTGTCATTAATGCAACAGAAAACATTTCTTACTGATTTTTTTCAAAGTAATTTATTTGCTTGTTTTGCTAATATTAGTTTTATCCCTTGTTTGCCCTAGGGAATGAGAATAGCATTTACTGAAAAAGAATTTCAGGAGCAATTGGAATCCGCTCGAAGAGAAGCAAAGAAGTCCTTTAACGACGATGCCATGTTGATAGAGAAGTTTGTTGACAATCCAAGGTAACACAACAATCTGTTGGGCAGCTCTTTATCACTCCCGATTAGTAGTGCCACTACTAGGCAGGAAGTACACTATAGAGGAATACGCAGCAACCGTTTATAAAACATAACCTATGTCAGCCATACAAGGTGGACCAGGCAGGAAACAGAAAAACAGAATAATGCAGTTGGGAGGGACCTTGGAGGTCTTCTAGTCCAACCCCTTGCTCAAGCAAGAAACCCTATGCCATTTCAGACAAATGGTTGTCCAATCTCTTCTTAATAACCTCCAGTGTTGGAGCACCCACAACTTCTGGAGGCAAGTTGTTCCACTGGTTAATTGTTCTCTAACAATTAGATAAATTTCTCCTTAGTTCCAGGTTGCTTCTCTCCTTGATTAGCTTCCATCCATTGTTTCTTGTCCTGCCTTCAGGTGCTTTGGAGAACAGGTTGACTCCCTCTTCTTTGTGGCAGCCCTTCAAATATTGGAAGGCTGCTATCTTGTCAGCCCCAGTCCTTCTTTTCATTAGACTAGACATTTCAAATTTCAAATCTTTATTGTCAGTGCACAACATATGTACAATGAGATTGGTGGAGCTCCCTCAGTGCACCCCCCCCCCAACACAATACAATTTACAGCGAAGATAGAAAATTCCTAACCCAATAAATCATATTAACAAAACACCCAGTCCTATTGCACCAGTGTGAACATGTTACACATTGCGCTGGCCTTGCAAATCCATCGTACTACGTAGTTATGATGTTATTTCGCATTCAGGAGTCTGACAGCCCACAGATAAAAACTGTTCTTCAGCCTGTTTGTGTTGCTGGCTATGCTTCTATATCTCCTTCCCGATGGTAGGAGGCAGTGGTGGGTTCCGCCCAGTTCTGCCGAGCTGGTAACGGTGACGATATGATGTCACAACCGGTTCTACCACCCCCCGCCACCCCTGCATTATTCTTACCTTTTATTTGGCCCCACCACCAATCTATTGCTGCCTCCTGAGTCCCAGCTGATCGGCTAGAGGGAAAAAACCTGTTTAAACTCTTGTCGGGGGGCTTCAAAGGGCTACCCTACAGCTGATCAGTGTTAAAAAAAAACAAATGGGTAGACCGGTGCCTGCAAAAATAACTGGGTAGACCAGTGCCTCCAAAAACAAATGAGTAGACAGGTACAGCTCTGCAAGCTGTAAAAGCCTGGTAGACCAGTACCTCTGCTAAATCCTAAAGAATTGTCACATGACCATCAAACCACACCCACAAAATAAGCCACGGCCACAGAACCAGTAGTAAAAAAATTTAGAACCCACACCTGGTAGGAGGGTAAAGAAGTGGTGACCAGGGTGAGAGTTGTCCCTGAGAATTTTCCTCACTATTGTTCATATGTTTTATCCTCTGGTTCTCTAATCATCTTCATTGCTCTTCGCATGACTAGATGAGCCAATTCTATTTTATTACATTAGAATCTTGCAAGTTTGAAAGTATTTCTTTCCCTGGGAATATTTTACAATCCCCAAGCTAAGAATGGTTTCTTCTAAACCCTTGCCCTCCCTACACTCCTGCTGTGGGCTTAGCTGTCTTTTATCTAACTGTTTTCTTGATGGTGTCTCATTGCCCTGTCTGCTAAATTCATTCCCACAAAGCATTGCAACTTACCCCTGGAAACCAGGAAAGCATGAGAAAGAAACATGAGATTTCCTGCCTTGGTTCTCTTTCATATAAAGGTAAAGATTCCCATCGGACATATGTGCTAGTCGTTCCTGACTCTAGGGGGTGGTGCTCCTTTCCGTTTCAAAACCGAAGAGCCAGCACTGTCTGAAGACATCTCCGTGGTCATGTGGCCGGCATGACTAAACGCCAAAGGCGCACAGAACACTGTTACCTTCCCACCAAAGGTGGTCCCTATTTTTCTACTTGCATTTTTTACGTGCTTTTGAACTGCTAGGTTGGCAGAAACTGGGACAAGTAACGGGAGCTCACCCCGTTACGTGGCACGAGGGATTAGAGCTGCTGAACTGCCTACCTTTTTGATCAACATCTTATCCACTAAGCCATCACGTCCCTTTCTCTCTTTCATATAAAAAGAAACAAAAAAGAAATGTCTTTGGACTTTCAGGATTCCATTTTTACAGCAATATTCATAAAGTAGAGTTCCATTTTCTTGTGCCTCTTTTCTGACCTGGCCTTCCTCAAGGGGCTGACATAGAAATAAATGTCTGAGGTGAGCCGTGAAACTCATGACAACAGTTGGAAGAAAAAAAAAAGAAAATTGTTCCACATCCTTTCATCCAAAAAAGCAAACTGGAAAATCCCAGTCCTGCCACATTTGAGGTATGCATTCCTCCTCTCCTCCCATATATCAAATGCTTTATGAAATACTGATAGGAGAAATGAATAAGTATCCCCAGAGTAACAGATGGATTTTATTAGTCATGTTAAACATTCAAAAATTTTGGATTAAGAATAAGCATTGATGGACAATATTATGCCCCCACTTACAAATTTTAAAATATGAAATAGGCACGTAGAAGTTCAAGTATTTGGAGACCAACATGGCAACGCAGTCTACCTGTTTGAAAGAGATTGCAGTGTACAGAGAAGACATCAAAAAATTATTGAGGAAGCTCCAGGGGTAAGTAGACAGCTTTTGAAAGACAATTCAAATAGCCATGATTCTTGTGTTTACTACCCTGTTTCCCCCAAAATAAGACATCCCCTGATAATAAGCCCAATCGGGCTTTTGTGTACATGGCAACAAGGCCAAGCGCTTATTTCAGGGTTCAAAAAAATAAAACAGTCTTATTTTCAGGGAAACATGGATATATTGTTTTTATGCTTGCTATTTCTGCAGAAAATATCTTTTTCAAGGTCCTGAAATTCTCAAAGCATATTAATGTGCAATTTTCTATGTACCATATTGAACAGAGTGCAGTTTCCATATTGTACCATATTGAACAGAGTGCAGTTTCATTTACAAATGTGTGATGTAGCCATTCCTTCTTTTTCTGAACATGGAAGGAATTAGTTTTTCTAGAAAGTTCTTAGTGGCTTTGTTTTCAACCAATGGAACAGCTTGCCTTGAGAAGTTTTGGGAGCTTCATCACTGGAAGCTTTCAAGAAGAGACTGGATTGCCATCTGTCAGAGCTGGGGCGACAGCTCATGTGCCATCAGAGAGGGCACTGTGTGTCACCTCTGGCACGCGTGCCATAGGTTCTCCATCACGGTCCTAGTCCATCTTTTCTCTAGACTAGCCAAACCCAAATCCTGCAGCCGTTCTTCATAGGTTTTAGTCTCCAGGCCTGTGATCATCTTCATTGCTCTTCTCTGAACGTTTTCCAAAGTCTCAACATCTTTTTTGTTGTATGGTAACCAAAATTGGTTGCAGTATTCCAGATGTGGCTTTACTAAGTATTAGTAAGTACTAGTTAGTACTAACTACAAGTAATACTTCACGTGATCTTGATTCTGTGCCTGTGTTTACACAACTCAGGATTTTATTCGCTTTTTTGCTTTGAATTTTTTGTCAAAATTGCACCGCCCATAGTGAATCATTGGTGTGCGTAATGTCCACAGCATTTCCTTAATGACGGTTATTCACATAACAACCACTGCAAAAAAAAGAAGAAGGTAAAATTGACTTCTTTTGCAACCATCACAACTTCCAGCTCTGATCAGCAGGCTCCATTATGGTCATAAATCGAGGATTATCTGTAAGGAAAAACTTTTAACATCAATTGTCCAATGTGACTGTGCAGTCAGTAAAAAAAAAACAAACCACAAGCGTGTCTTGGTGTATCGTGTGAACCTAACATAACATTATTGCTATCCTTGTTAGCCAGGAATTAAGCCCGAAGTGAGAAGAAAGCTTGGAGAAGCCGCTGTTAGGGCAGCAAAAGCCGTGAACTACGTCGGAGCAGGTATTGCAGGCTCAACTTCCTTTTAATGCTGAAGACAGGTTCATGGGGAAAAGTGTTGATGCTTTTATCCGTCTCAACTGATACTTGGAAAGAAATTATGTAGAAAATATTGGAACTCTTTCTGTACCATCCGCAGGTTAACTCCCAAGAGTCCCTTGGGAGTTGGGCGGCATAGAAATGTGAATGAATGAATGAATGAATGAATGAATGAATGAATGAATGAATGAATGAATGAATAAATAATAAACTCTCCTGACAACTGAACAGGATTGGATCAAATTTAGAATATGGGGGTGGGAGTAATCTCAAATTCAAAAGTGAGCCAATTCTGGCTGGGGGCTGCAAAGAAAAACTTTTTAGGAGCAATTTCCCAGTGGGTCTCCAGCAGGAGAAGCAGTTGATTGACAGCTCAGAAGGATGGAGGAATGCATTCTAAGTCTCCCTCTTGCTCCACCTCCACCTCCTGGTCATGTGACTCCTGAGTGGATAAGAGCTGGAAAGAAGTCTAAAAGCTTGGTGGTTTTAAGACTTGTGGACTTCAACTCCCAGAATTCCCCAGCCAACCATGGTTGGCTAGGGAATTCTGGGAATAGAAGTCCACATGCCTTAAAGTTGCCAAGGTTGTGAAACTTTTTTAGCCTCTCATACATAGAGCAGCTTCCCCGAAAAGAATTAGAGGAATCTGCAGGGTGTGATCAAAAAAGTCAAAATGGCAGCCACAACAGACTAATCAAAGCATGTAAATAAATGCACATAAAACCAGGCAGAGCTTCAACTGCACTGTCATGGCTGCCATCTTGATTTTTTTTGACACCCTCATCGAAATCAGTGGTGTGCTATAAGATAAGATACTTGGCTATTGTAACTGCAGTTTAACTCAGTTTAGAGGACACGTCACACCCTGTATTGTCTGGGGAATTCTGGGAGTTGAAGTCTACACATCCCTAAAGCCATCAAGGTTGAGAAACACTGCTATAGGTATTTCCTACCTCATTTGCATTTTGGAGAATCCAGATCAAAATCTGTTGCGATGCACCACAACCAAACCTAATAGCTTATAAGGCTTTTGAAGGAGTTACATGTTAAATGCAATTTTACTGAGCAATTTTACTTCCCCGTTATATATATCTATACATAATTTTTAACTATTAGTTTGGTTTATAATGCTTGCTTTATCACAAAAGTGCTTTTTCAAAAGGCAACTGGGTTTTATTTATCCTTGAAGACGTTTCGCTTCTCATCCAAGAAGCTTCTTCGGTTCTGACTGAACGGTGGCGGATGGAAGGATTTATATTCCTTGCAGTCATCTGGTCGTTAGCCCTCTTTCTGAGAGTTGTTGAGGCCACTTGGGGGTTGATATCGGAGGAAGTGCTAATGACCAGATGACTGCAAGGAATGTAAATCCTTCCATCCTCCACCGTTCAGTCAGAACAGAAGAAGCTTCTGGGATGAGAAGTGAAACAACTTCAAGGAAAAACCAGAAAGTCCAGTTGCCTTTTGGAAAAGCATCTTTGGGACATCCATGACCTGGATGACTGAGAATCTCCATAGACGATGCTTACTTTAGTGAGTGAATCTCAGGGACCATGAAGCTATATTGGGATTGTATTCATTTTCAGTTTTAATATACATTGACCTTGGTATATTATGCCTTTATTAAATATTTTAGGAACTGTGGAGTTTATCATGGACAGTGCACATAATTTCTATTTCATGGAAATGAATACCAGGCTGCAGGTGGAGCATCCTGTTACTGAGATGATCACAGGGACGGACTTGGTGGAATGGCAACTGAAGGTGAGAAGTAATAGAGAACAGGAATATCAGTTGGATTGTTCTTTCACTTGTGGCCATTAATTATATTCGTTCTGAATAGAATAGAATAGAATTTTTTATTGGCCAAGTGTGATTGGATACACAAGGAATTTGTCTTTGGTGCATACGTTCTCAGCGTACATAAAAGAAAAGATACGTTCATCAAGAATCATAAGGTACAACACAGAGGTGGGTTCTACTTACCTTTACTATGGGTAGTAATGGGGCCGCGCGCGCGTGCTCGCTTCACTCTCACTGCCCTGTTGGCACAATGGTTAAGAATGCAGGGTTAAAACCCTGCCCTAGATAAAGGAGTTCTCACTGCCCTGTTGGCACAATGGTTAAAAATGCAGTATTGCAGGTTAACTCTGCCCACAGTCTGGAGTTCGATCTGACTGACTCAAGGTTGACTTGGCCTTCCATCCTTCCGAGGTTGGTAAAATGTGAATCCTTATTGTTGGGGGCAATACGCTGACTCTGTAAACCATTTAGAGAGGGCTGTAAAGCACTGTGAAGCAGTATATAACTCCTAAGTGCTATTGCTATTTAGCTTTGGGGTGTTTGTACAGAGTTGTCTTTAACTTTTTGGAACTCTAAGCATCAAACAAGACCTTTGTGGCTTGACTATCCCTCATTATAGGATCCTTTCAATTCTGAGTTCTATTAGAAATGCTGTTTTTAAATGATGGACAGAGTTAGAGGAAGCAATTTAGTGCAGGTTGTTTTCTATCAATTAGCTTTTTTCCAGAATCCTTTTTATTTCCTTGGCCTGTGATCAAATCCTTTTTCTTGAAATTTTTTAAATATTCCAATTCACTGATAATCTATTCCAAGCTAGGTGTTCAGGGATGTTCCCTTCTTTATTTACCATATTATTTGTGATCCTTTGAGTATCATTATTTTAATGTTTTAATTATCTCTCTCTATATATCAAAGTGAAATACCACTCACACATCATCACAAAATCTCCAGAACGGTAAAGCCTACAAACTTGAAATTTGCCATGTATGTTCCTCTTGGCTTCTAGGTGCTCGCTAAGAAAAGATTTTTCGAAATGACAATCAGAGCATTAGTATTTCCTATATTATTATTAACAGGCTCTGATGCTGAGGAGTTCTACTGTCCCTCCCCACCTGAAAAGAAATCTGTCCCAAATGCAAAACACAAGCAGAGGAGAGGAGTTTCAGTTTCAATTTTACTTTCACAACAGCAAATAGCTTTACTACAGAACAGTTGAGCTAAACCAGGGCCAGGCTCTTTCCTGTCTCCTTGCTCACACAGCAAATACTGTTTCACTTTTCAAACAGCCCTCTGATGCTAAGGAGTTCTTCTTTGATTTATCAAGCCCAATTACATAGTTTCATAGCGGAGCACGGGTATTCAGCTAGTGTTTTAATACTGTTGTAAGCCACCCAGAGACACGACAATGCAGTGGGTGGCATATAAATTTAATAAGCAGAAATAAATAAATTAGTGTGCAGAGCAAATGGACAATACTGTTCTTTCCAGGTGGCTGCAGGAGAGAAGATTCCTCTGACTCAGGAAGAGATTGTCCTCAAGGGACACGCATTTGAAGCTCGGATCTATGCTGAAGATCCCAACAACAACTTCATGCCCGGAGCGGGACCTTTATTGCATTTGTCCACACCTCCTGCCGACAGCTGCACCAGGATAGAAACTGGGGTAAGACAAGGTAAAATGAAAGCCTCTCACTGGGATGCGCAGAAATCTCTTCTGGTTTTAAAAGTCCTGCTGATAGTTGCCTTTGTTGAAACAAGTGACGGATGATCGACATTGGTTTCCTCTACTACTAACAAATCAAGGGTCTACGATAGGATGTCAAACTCAAGTCCTGCAGGCTGGATCTGGCCTGTGAGGTATTTAGATCTGGCCCTCAGGGCTGCCTTGGAAACATCAAGGGACCGGCCCATGGTGCCTCAGCCAGCAAAAATAGAACTTGTGAGGGCCGCATGTGGCCCTCCCAGGCCCCGTTTTTGGCTACAAGGGCCTCCTGCAGCCATCTGCCAGTGAAAACGGAACCCCATACCGAGATTCCCCCCCACAAGCTCCGTTTTTGCTGGCAGTGGGCTGCAGGAGGCTGTCCCAGCTGGAAACGGCCTAGGAGTTGCACACAGCCCTCATGAGCTCCGTTTTCACTGGCAGAGGGCTGCAGGAGACCGTTGCAGCCGCAAATGGCCTGGGAGCCCGTTTTTGCTGGCAGAGAACTCGGGCCACCACAGGGCCCCCCAACATGAGTGACGTCAAGATGGCCACGCCACCTGGGAGCATATTGGCCCCACAGAGGGGGCCTCCTCAGGGTGCTGTCGGTCAGGCAATGTCGGCTGGCGACCCCCCATGGAAGAGCCTTCTCTGTGGGGGCACCCTCCCTCTGGAATGAGCTACCCCCAGGGATACGACTGATCCCGGACCTCCGGACCTTCCGCCGGGCTCTGAAGACTTTTTTATTTCAGCAAGCCGGGCTGGGTTAAAAATCTTTTAATTGCTGAATTTTATGGGTAAGGGGTTTTAAATTGGGGGAAGCCAATATAAATTTAATTTTGCTTTTATAGTATTTTAATGTTTATATTGTATGTTTTTTAATTTTGGCTGTTCACCGCCACGAATCCTTCGGGAGAGGGATAAAATTTTTAAAAATAAATAAATAAATAAATAAATAAATGCCAAAATTTTTGTTGTCAAGTGAGACAGTTGTTAAGTGAATTTTGCCTCATTTTACGACCTTTCTTTCCACAGTTGTTAAGTGAATCTCTGCAGTTGTTAAGCTAGTAACACGGTTGTAAAGTGAATCTGGCTTCCCCATTCACTTTGCTTGTCAGAAGGTTGCAAAAAGTGATCACACGAGCCTGGGAGATTGCAACTGTCACAAATGTGAGCCAGTTGCTAAGGGTCTTAATTTTGATCATGTGATTCTGCAATGGTCGTAGGTGTGAAAAAAGATCACAAGTCATTTTTTTTCAGTGCCACTGTCACTAAATGAACTGGTATAAGTCAAGGACTCCATATTGTGCTTCTGTGGGGTAGAAGTACTTCATTGCTAACCTAGAATGATTCTTTCTAATGTCAACTTTACAGTTGATATTGTTAATCTAGAATAGTTTCTAGACTTGTTCTGTCAAGCTGCAGGACATTCATATTGAATTGTGAGTAGCTTGCTAGAAAAGTTTAGCTTGCTTAGTTTACTGCAAATGTCTTAAACTGTGACAACATGGAAAATCCAGTGGCTCCTTTTGAGGGAGATGGGCGGTTCAAAAATGTGAAATATAAATATTCATATTCAATAAATATAAATGAATATAAATAAATATTTATTCTGGCAAATCATTTTTCCATATATTTTTATTTTAGGAGATGAGGTTTCTATACACTATGATCCAATGATTGCTAAATTAGTTGTTTGGGCAGAAGATCGCCCAGCTGCTTTAAGGAAATTAAGATACTGCCTCCAACAATATAATGTAAGTGTAAAACTCTGTTAAGTGTTTAAAATGGCATACCTGATAAAATACTTTCCAGATTTCCCCTCTCTGATGCTATCAGGCCAGTAGAGATTCAGATAATAAGTCCAATTAGGCTTTTGAGCTCATGCACTAAAATAAGCCTCCCCCCGAAAATAAGCCCCCCCCCGAAAATATTTAAACGCAGAGTTGGAAATAAGACGGTCTTATTTTTGGGGAAACACAGTAGTATTATATTAAGTCTTCAGGCATTAACAGATGTACGTCGGTGTATATATATATGTGCCTTTAAGACAGTTTTGACTGGATTAATCCCTGCAATTTTCTTGGCAAGATTTCAAAAATGGTTTGCCATTGCCTCCTTCTTAGGGCTGAGAGAGAGTGACTGGCCCAAGATCACCCAGCTGGTTTTGTACCTAAGACAGGACTAGAATTCCTGGTTTTCTGGTTTCAAGCCTGGGGCCTTAACTACTACACCAATGTGATTTTCCAAATGTAGTTACACAAAATCTCACCACTGCAACAGGTGAAAACCAGCAATTGGGTTGATGGACATCAGGGGTGGGTTCCACTTACCTTTACTACCGGTTCGCAACGGGAGTGCGCGCATGCATAGGTCGTCAGTGATGACGTCAGGGTGGTGGGCGGAGCCTCCCGCCGCCATTACTACCGGTTCACAAGAACCAGACCAAACCAGGAGCAACCCACCACTGATGGACACCATCCTGAGACATTGTTAATTGATTAGTCAGGGACTCAAGTCATGCACCATATGATTTTGATTAGTCTCTTTGCTCCTCTTCCCCATCCTTGCAATCTGGACATTTGCTATTGTTCTTCTCTGCTACTTGCTGCTTGCTCACCTGCAGAATATCCATCCTTGAGAGATTCTCCCAAAATATGGAAGACTATGGGATATACCAGCAGACTTTGGGATTGAGATATTCCCTGTTCATTTTAATGTTCCAAACGTTGCTTAAGGAAACCAAGTTTTCTGCCAATTGGAGAACAGTTAACTGTCACCATCTTAGTATATTTTCATTTTCAAGTTTATTCCCTTGTTTTGCTTTTGGACCTTGGTAGTATACTTGTACCTCTATATTAATATTAGAATATACATTATTTTCTGGAACTATTGCTCTCTTCACTTTTTCTTGGTGGATAATTTAATTGAACGGTTGGGTACTTAGATGGTTATATACAACCATGAAGCTTTCTTGATTTCTGCTGTATGCAAGTTGAATTGATGAAATAATTTTTTGCTCTTGCATAAATTGCTTCCTATGATAATTGTATGGAAGAGAGAAACATTCTTCCCTGTTGATTTATCAAGCTTAGCTTCTTCTTTTTTTAATACATCACCGTTTGTTTCTCAAAGGTAATTTTGTACAGATTTGTGGAAAGGCTAAGCTTCTGAAGTGCAATTAGAAAATGTATGACATAGTTCGAACAGATGGATATGTTTTTAAACATAGAATGTTGCTTGACTAAATTGGAGCTGCCAAGATACATTAAAAATAAATTGAGTTTAATTAATATGGAATAAATGGTATTCCTGGCTGGAGAGTAAACATAAAATTTAAGGGATGTTTTCATTTGAGATTGAATTGAGATTGAATTGTAAATAGAAATCAAGATAATTTAAATAAAGATGTAAGTTTAAGATAGAGATATTTAGAAGTAGAATTTGGGAAAAGAGGTTAAATAGGTTAGAGATACCGATGCAGAAAAGTTGTTATTAGTATTGAAATTTTGATATGTTTGTTTTTGGTTGTTTATATCTTTTGGTTTTTTTGCTGCAGATTTATTGATTTAGTTAGTTAGAACCAAAGACTACCTGTTGCTTGATTGGCCTTTTTCTGGTACATCTCTTCCTCTCTTGACAGATCGTCGGACTGAGCACCAATGTGGATTTCTTACTGAATCTCTCAGTCCATCCAGAGTTTGAAGCTGGGAACGTTCACACTAATTTTATCCCTCAACACCACAGTGAGCTCTTTCCACCCAGACGGTCGATTTCAAAAGTGACTTTGTGCCAGGCAGCTCTTGGGCTCATTCTGAAAGAGAAACTGGTGACTGATACCTTTAGACTCCAGACAGAAGGTGAGAAAGCTGCAGCTTTTTCCTGTTTTATTAGTGAAAAAGGTGCTTTACATACTACTTACTATATCATTGTTTCTCAATCTTGGCAACTTTAAGATGTATGGACTTCAACTCATGCTGGCTAGGGAATTCTGAGAGTTGAAGTCCACATATCTTAAAACTGGAACGGTTGAGAAATCCTCATCTCTTATAAAAACTGCGGGCGTTTCTGTGCATCCTGTTTAAGTACTTTTCATTTGATTATCTTGGGGTGGCTGCAAAATGTAATCGAACACGTAACCTTATAAGCACAACCATCAAACTGCATGATTTGATTGTACGCTGAGGTTGCTGGGATTCAGAGTTTGTTTTGCAAGCATTTGGGTTTGATTCCTTAATAGATGTTCTGATCCAGTGTGGATTCTCATAGACGGAGACTTTGAGCAATTTGCATAAAATATGTTCCCAGTGTTGTTGCATGGAAAATTCCAGTTTGAAGAGTTGCACGGAAATATAAATTTGTACTGAGAAGTTCAGATGTGTATATAGTCTTTATGTGTGCAGTGTTATGCAAAGTAATGTATCTAACTGTAAGCAGGTTTAAATATTGTCTAATTCAGCGGAAATATGTATTAAGTATGTGTCTTTTTCTGTACATATTTAATATTCTAGATAAGTTCTCTCCATTTGCATCCAGCAGCGGCAGGAGAATAAATATCCCCTATGTTAGAAACATGATTCTCCTGGATAATGAAAAAAGTAAGTGGCTGAACAGTAAATAAATAACTAAAAATTGCTTATGAAATGATAATGAACCAGTGGTGAAATCCAAATCTTTTTGCTATTGGTTCTGTGGGCGTGGCTTGGTGGGTGTGGCTTGGTGGGCGTGGCAGGGGAAGGATACTGCAAAATCCCCATTCCCTCCATTCCCCCATTCCCCCCATTCCCTCGGGGGCCAGCCAGAGGTGGTATTTGCCGGTTCTCCGAACTACTCAAAATTTCCGCTACCGGTTCTTCGAACTGCTCAAAATTTCCGCTACCGGTTCTCCAGAACCTGCCAGAATCTGCTGGATTTCACCCTTGTAATGAACGTATCTGAGCTTCATTATTGTGCAATTGAAAAAGGCAGAATGATATAGTGTGATTAGGCTATATATAGAATACCCTATCTTAAAGTTGCTGACCTTGATTATGGGTTATTGGGCTTTGTATTTAGGGTTTTATTACTGTACTATGAGTTGGGTGGCCATACAAGTTTTATGAATGAATGAATGAATGAATGAATGAATGAATGAATGAACAAATAAATGAATACAAAATCCACCAAACAAATAGAGACAGAGGGTAACTCGAGAGATTAATGCGATTTCGTTTTAATATTTATGTATCCAGTTAACTATATGTTAAGCATTGGATTTACAATGTTCCCTAACTCCTGAATTAATTTAAACCTTTATTTTTACAACAGATGTGAATATTGCCGTACAGTACAATCTCGATGGATCTTATGACATGCAGGTAAACCTCTTCATAATAACGTATTCAACAACTTCAGCCTTGTGCTGTTCAGAACATTCATTCCAGTATGTAAAAAAATGTAATGGCACATTTATTGGGAGCAGTCTCATTTCTGGATAGAATTAAGAGGGAAAAACAGTTGAGTGGCTGTGAAATAATATTACTATTTTGTGCTATTTTATTGAGTGTCATTATTGATTAACATTATGTCAGTTCCCCAACTTGTTTGCAAAGAAAAATGGGAACGCAGGGAAAGAAAAAAAAAATTTTTTTTTGGTTTTTCAGGGTTTTTTCTTCTTTCCCACATGATGTATCCAGAATTTATTTTACTTTTTTATTCTGTCCTGCCCTTTGTTGAAACCTTTTAAGCTTTCCAACTACACATTTCTTTTGAGCGAGGAAGCATATGTTAAATCCAAATATGCTAGCTTCAAAATGATAATTGTATGAAGAGAGAAATATTTCTTCCATGTTGATTTAGAAAGCTTAGCTTCTTTTTTTTTAAATACATCACCGTTTGTTTCTCAAAGGTAATTTTGTACAGATTTGTGGAAGGGCTAAGCTTCTGAAGTGCATTAGAAAATTTATGATATAGTTTGAACAGATGGATATGTTTTTAACATAGAATGTTGATTGACTAGACTGGAGTTGCCAAGATACATTAAAAATAAATGGAGTGGGATTCTCCTACAATATGAGCTATTTTTGATATTTCCTTGAGTTTTAGGGGAAAAAAGAGGAAGAGAAAACAAGACTTGTGACGTTTCTGATTTCTAAGAAACACAGATTTTTCTTCTTGTTTCTGTTCTGTTTAGTTTTTTTCCTCGAAAACGTTCCTTAGAAAGCAGTATGAGCTTTTCCTCTCTCAGCTTGATTTTTCCTCAGGAATGGTACATAAACCTTTGTAAATTTATTTCAGATAGAGGATCAGTTTTTCCACGTTTCTGGTTGCCTCTCAAGGGATGACAACAACATAGAATATATAAGATGTTCAGTGAATGGAGTTGTATACCAGTCCAAATTAGTAGTTCTGGACACTGCCGTTTATCTCTTCTCGTCGGTAATATGTTTTGTTTTATTTGTGCAGGGAATAAAATTCACAGAAAAGTGCCTTTAAAAAAAGCAGTATTGACTTCTAATCTATTAGTTCTCTAAATATCAGGGGCAGGGAATCTCTGGCTGTGGCTAGTATGCAGGTCTTTGTAAGGCACAAAAGATCAGGACCAAATGTTAACTTGCAATTCATGTTTATTGCTCATGCCTATAGACAAGAATTTAGTCAACTAATGGTCAGCGCTTGATAATTGCACTTGATAACAGTCAACTGAATTCCAAGGGAGCTGGACTTGGATGGCTTGTGGCAACGTAATGACTCTAAGCTGATGATACCTTTAACTCGGCCCCCAGTTCTGCCTACTCTTTTTCTACAGTCCTTTTTATGCTTCCTAAAGTCACCTAAAATCTCAACTCCAAACTTTAATGGCAAATATTTTAATATTAATTTTTCTACATTGTTTTACCTCGACTCACAGCAGTTCATTTAGTGCAGAGGTGGGTTTCAGCAAGTTCTGACCAGTTCTGGAGAACCGGTAGCCGCAATTTTGAGTTGTTCAGAGAACCGGTAATAAAAATTCTGACTGGCCCCGCCCCCATCTATTCTCTGCCTCCCAAGTCCCAGCTGATTGGTAGGAAATGGGGATTTTGCAGTATCCTTCCCCTGGAGTGGGGTGGGAATGAAGATTTTGTAGTATCCTTCCCCTGCCATGCCCACCAAGCCATGCCACGCCCACCAAGCCACACCCACAGAATCAGTAGTAAAAATTTTTTGAAACCCACCACTGATTTAGTGCCAGTTCATAGTTGCAACATTACTGAAAAAAGTCACTTATGACTGATTTTCACACTTATGACCGTTGCAGCATCGCCATGGTCATGTGTTCAAAATTCAGATGCTTGGCATCTGACTCATATTTATGATAGTGGCATCCCAGGGTCACATGATCAGCTTTTGCAGCCTTCTGACGAGCAAACTCAATGGGCAAGCCAGATTTACTTAACCACTGTGTTACTAAGTTAACAACTGCAGTGATTCACTTAACAACTATGGCAAGAAAGATGGGGAAAAAAATCACTTTTTCCGTCTCACTTAGCAACATAGATTTTGGGCTCAGTTGTCACAAATTGAGGTCTCTCTGTATTATATTGTACACCACCCAGAACCCCTCTTTGAAAGAGACGGGAGGTTTAGAAATATGAATTATAAATAAATAAATCCATAAAAAAAACAGCAAAAATTAAAGTTTCTCCACATCTTCTTTGTGCATCATTTCCAAAATATGTACCAAATTAGGCAGGATGGCTTAGAGGCCGTATTCAACCCCAGGGATTCCCCTGTCAGAATTTGGCTATAAAAATGGCAATTTAGATGGATAAATGTTTCTTTGGTTGAATTAAACTGTAAAATAAGTGCATTCAGCCTTGGAAGGCTTAGGGTACTTATTTTGTTTAAACATTCCCAAGCGTCCGATCATGAGACCATCTGGATACTGCAATGGTCATAAGTTTGAGAAACTATTTTCAGTGCTATTTCAACTTTGAATGGTTGTAAGTCAAGGACTACAACCGTTAGTATCAGCATCTTTATTTAAATGAGTAAAAGGAATGGGGCAATGGTTCTACAATGCAATTGGAGGACAATTGTTACTACTTTTATCCTAAGAAGTGAACAATTAAAATATTGTGGGATTTTTAAAAATAGTTTGTGGAGTTATTTAGCCTTTAAATACCCTTGTTTCCTCCAAAATAAGACACTCTTATAATTTTTTTGCCACCAAAAAAGGCACCAGGTCTTATTTTCAGGGTGGGGAGATGTTGTCCACTGATTCACCTCACTTGCATGCATCGCTCTGGGCCTCCTTTTCGCTGTCAGAGGCCTTCAGGAACTTCTTCTGCAGCCAACAAGGAGCTCTATTATTGACTTGCCGGCTGCAGAAGAAATGAGCCAGCAAGGCAGGTGTCGGGGTGTGTGAGGCCTGGCTGCAACTGTCCAAATGTAAGTAGTAGAGCAGCTCCACCCCCCCCCATCCCAATCCTAGCTTAATTTTTACCCGTGTACCCTGGAGTGGGTGGTGTCTTAATTAAGGCTTATTTTGGGAGTAGGGTTTATATTGGGTGCACTTATATTGGGTGCACATAGAAAAGTATGAAGGCTATTGCTTAACGCATTGTAAGCTGCCCTGAGTCTCCGGAGAAGGGCGGCATTTAAACCAGGGTGGATAAAAATCAATGATTTTTTTAAAAAAAAATTAAAAAAAACAGATTTTTTTTATTTAAATCGGATTTTTTTGATTTTTATCAAATTTATTTTAATAAAAAACTTTTGGGGTAAAAATCTATCGTAAGACAGTTTTCTATTTAAGATACATAAATAATTTAGTTTATTCAGCATGAAATGGAGCTTAGTTATGTAGCATGAGGCTGTATATTCTGCAACACTGGGACTATCGGTGAGTCAACAGTGGGTCAAAGGAGTAGCAGAGATGACAGTTGCTCTTTAAAAATTATGATTTAAATCGAGTTGATTTAAATCAAGCCTTTTTACTAGTGATTTAAATCATGATTTAAATTGTGATTTAAATCAACTCGATTTAAATCAAATCCACCCTGATTTAAACCAAATCAATCAACAAATAAATAAACATGTAAAAATCAAGCTAGGACTTATTTTCGGGGTAGGTTGTATTTTCGGGAAAACAGTTGTAAATGTAGAATTTGGTTGTAAATGGTTGATTTTGTTTTCTCTAGGAAAGTCATGAGCAGATTGATCTTCCAGTGCCAAAATATTTAACTAGCACGAGTTCAGGAGGAGGTCATAGTGGGGCTGTAGCTCCCATGACAGGGACAGTGGACAAGGTAATTCTGGAACGGGAGTCTTATGAAACATTCGTTAATTTAAAGTATGTTTTTTTAAAAATTGGAAAAAATTGTAGAGAAGACATGAAAATGATTCAGAAAGGCTAGTAAATCACTACTTATTTCAGGCTGCTTACCATTTCTCACTTTACTACCTGGGTAGTTTGCAGATGTGTGGAGTTTAATTCCCAGAATTCCCTAGGCCAACATGGCCACCGTGGAGACTTCTAGGAGTTGAAGTCCACTCATCTGTAAATGACTCATATCAGGAAACACTGCATTGAGTTTGTGGTTTCTTTTTCGCGCTTGATATTTTCCTGACATTCATTTAAACCTGCTTTTGTTTTCTCAATTGTAATTTTGGTTTTTAAATGGGTTTTTAAATTGATTTTAAAAGGGGTTGTGGTGTTTTACTGAGTTTTGGATTTCTTTTTGTTTGTTATAATTATGTGAGCTGCTCAGAGTCCCAAATGTGACATGGCCGACTATAACAAATTGAACGAAGGAATATATATATATATAGATATATATATATGTATGTATGTATTATCTTTAAATATCCTGCTGGAAAAAATAAGTCCAAAAATAAAAACAGGAGGTTTCCATTCTTCAGCTTTGCCCAGAGAACCATTTTGTTTTCTTTTGCTATCTGTGAGTCTACAGGAAATATAATCCTAATGATGTTCGTAGGGGAGGAATAGGCCATGCAACTCAATTCTCGTTTTTTTTTTTTGTTTGTTTGTTTGTTTAGGTTTTTGTAAAATCTGGAGACAAAGTTCAAATTGGAGACTCCCTTGTGGTGATGACAGCTATGAAAATGGAGGTATCTTTAGAAAAACTGTTTTTGTACAGGTAGTCCTCGACTTACAACAGTTCGTTTAGTGCCCTTTCAAAATTACAATGGTACTGAAAAAAGTGACTTACAACCATTTTTCACACTTATGGCCATTGTAGCATCCCTGTGGTCACATGATCAAAATTCAGGAGATTGGCAACTGATTCATATTTATGACAGTTGCAGGGTCCTCTGGTCCCCTTTTGTGACCTGACAAGCAAAATCAATGGGGCAGTCAAATTCACTTAATAACCGTGTCACTAATTTAATAACTGCAGTGATTCACTTAAGCACTGTGTCAAGAAAGGTCGTAAAATGGGGCAAAGTTCACTTAAAACAAATGCCTCACTTAACAACAGAAATTTTGGGCTCAGTCATAAGTTGAAGACTACCTGTAATGTCTTGATTGCAAGAGTTTTCCAGATGTAATATTAAATGGAATGGAATATTCCATTACAGATCCATAAAGGATGATCTTTCAAAATATACTACTGTTTCCGTAAGTTGGAGTAAAGTTCCACTCTGCCAGTGTTCCATTCTACCAGTGTTTCCCAACCTTAACTATATTTTACCATGTGTGTAGTTCAACTCTCAGAATACTCCAGCCAGACAGCTGGTCTTTGCGTGCACATGTGTGCCAGAAACCGGAAGACCAGGTGGCTGGTGTGCATACATGCGCCGGAAACCAAAAGATCATCTGCTTTTTCGGTTTCCAGCGTGTGCACGCGCTCCCGTTTTGGCACTCAGTGCCGAAAAGATTTGCCAACACGGGTATAGGGTGTCCTGCTTGAGCAGGGGGTTGGACTAGAACCGTGATGGCTAACCTATGGCACGCATGCCACAGGTGGCACGTGGAGCCATATTGTTGGGCACGCGAGCGTTGCCCAAGCTCAGCTCCAGCATGGATGCGCGCGCTGGCCAGCTGATTTTTGGGCCTTCTGGGCCCACTGGAAGTTGGCAAACGGGCTGTTTCCGGCCTCTGGAGGGCCTCTGGTGGGGTGGGGAAGGCTGTTTTTGCCCTCCCCAGGCTCCTAGAAAGCCTCTGGAGCCTGGGGAGGGCAAAAAAATGGGCCTACCGTGCCCACCATGCTGTCACATGCCAAAAGTGGGGGGTCGCATGGGATCGCGCATGCATGCATTGGGGGGCAGGGCGCCTAGAATTATGGGTGTGGGCACACGCGTGTGTGACTACCCTGCACTCCCCCAGCTTTTGGCACGCAATGGCAAAAAGGTTAGCCATCACTGGACTAGAAGATCTCCAACAAGATCCCTTCTAGCTCTCTTCTGACATGTATATAATGTGTGCCTTCGAAACTGTGGACTAAGTATGCATCTAGTTTGTATGACATTGTTTTCGGTTGAACTCAAGAACTGATGTAGTTTATCTTTTATCTACAGCATACCATCCGGGCTCCCAAGGCAGGGATAATAAAGAAAGTCCTTTATCAGGAGGGTTCACAGGTCAACAGACATGCTCCTCTTGTTGAGTTAGAAGAGGAAGACTGATGCAGAATAATCCCCAGCGATTGGAGGTAATGCGTTTTGCATCTCAGTTGTTCTTTTTCCCATTTCTCAAGAATCCATGTTTATTTGTTATTTACTGAATAGATTATCAATGCAATCTTGTGTACAGGTGGTCCTCGACTTACGACCACAGTTGAGCCCAAAATTTCTATTGTTAAGCGAGATAGCTGTTAAGTGAGTTTTGCCCCATTTTATGACCTTTTTTTTTTTTTGCAAAAAAGTTTTTTTATTTTTATTTTTCTCAACACATAAATTACATCTTTTTGGAACAGAGCCCGGATCCAGTCATCAATTTATACAATTTTTTATCATCTTTAGCAAGATTTTATATATTCTATTTTGCCATAACACTTATTTCTTAATCTTAAATCACCTATCTCAACTAATACCATCTTTAAAAAATTTACTTAATCAAAACAGTTACCCTTCTATTTACCCCCCTTAAATCTTAATTCAATTAATATCTCATAGTACATTTCACAATTCTTACCCTAAATCCTCACTATTAACAATACTTAATTTTAAATCACCTATCTCCCCTATTACCATCTGATAAAAAGTTTACTCTTATTTATTTAATCAAAACAATTACCCTTCTATTGACCTTTTTCTTTTTGCCACAGTGATTAAGCGAATCACTGCTGTTGTTAAGTTAGTGACACAGTTGTTAAGTGAATCTGGCTTCCCCATTAACTTTGTTTGTCAGAAGGTCACCATGATCCTGGGACATTGCAACCATCATAAACCAAACAAGACAGACACAGACTTCAGAGGATAATTAGAACTGCAGAAAAAAACAATGGCTACCAACCTGCCTTCCATTGAGGACCTGTATACTGCACGAGTCAAAAAGAGGGCTGTGAAAATATCTAGACCCTTCACATCCTGGACATAAACTGTTTCAACTCCTACCCTCAAAACGATGCTGTAGAGCACTGCACACCAGAACAACTAGACACAAGGACAGTTTTTCCCCAAATGCCATCACTCTGCTTAACAACTAATTCCCTCAACACTGTCAAACTATTTACTAAGACTGTATTACTATTATTTTTCTCATCCTTCCTATTACCTATCTCCTCCCACTTAAGACTATAACCATGTTGCTTGTATCTTTACGATTTATATTGTTTTATTTATTTCCTAGTATGATTTAACCTATGGCTATCACTGTTGTATCTTAAGATTCTTGATGAATGTTTTTTTTTCTTTTCTTTTATGTACACTGAGAGCAATTGCACCAAAGACAAATTCATTGTGTGTCCAATCACACTTGGCCAATAAGGAATTCTCTATTTCTATTTCTATTTCTATTTCTATTCTATGCCAGTTATCAAGCATCAGAATTTTTATCACACATGACCATGGGGATGTTGCAGTGATCATAAGTGTGAAAAATGGTCATAAATCACTTTTTCCATGCCGTTGGAACATTGAAGGGTCACTAAATAAATCGTTATAATTTGAGGACTACCTGTACTTTGTTGTTTTTTTGTTTTGTATTCTTCTGATGTTTTCCTATCACAATTTCAGGAAGAACTGCCTCCAAATTCTTTGCTCACGAGAATGAAAGAGAAGAGTCCAAGGATTGGTTTGCCTATGCACAGCCATGTTTGATCATCCTCGGCGTTTCAATAGTGATCCTTTCTTATTGCTGGATTTCTTAGCAGTTGATTACTCTCCATGAAAGCAAAAAACGGTCCCCAATGAAAAATATTTTAGATCTCCACTTGAGAGGGTGTCTTACAATAGAAAACTCTGATGCCTGCATGGGGAGTCCAAACATCTTCCTCCAATCTTACCAATATTGCCTTTTTGAGAATTGGGACTTGAAAAGTTTGTGATTATATTTTCATTAAGCCAGCAGTGTAATCGGATAGTCCTGGATGAGCTGAGTTCTCACATCTCCATTGGCATAATAATAGCTTGATCCTGGACAGTCAGTGTGGATGAAGAAATCTGGACTGAGTCCACTAAAGAACAGAAGATAATGAAGTAATGTACCTTCCTTTCCAGAATCTGTACTCATTTGAGGGATCAATTATAGGCAGAAACTTTTTCCTCCATCGTCTTTACTGGCATGTGTTGTCTCTTTGGAAAACAGCTGCAATGACCATTTAGAGCTTCAAAGACCAGATTCAATTGTTGCATTGTTTTAAAACAGGGGTCTCCAATCTTGGCAACTTTAAGCCTGGTGGACTTCAACTCCCAGAATTCCCCAGCCAGCTGGCTGGAGAATTCTGGGAGTTGAAGTCCTCCAGGCTTAAAGTTGTCAACCCCTGTTTTAAAGCATTTTGAGAGCTGTGGTTGGGAATGTCAAATTGGGATTTGTAATTTAAGACAGGGACAGTTTGTTCTGATCTCTTTTTGTCTCGGGTTTGATTATCTGATTATGGCATTTCTAATACAAGATCTCTACGTTTTATACAGTACATTTAAAAGGCTAATTAACGTGGTTCACAATACAGCTCTGCAAGTATTTTTCCTACATTTTCTTACTCTTACTGTGATTTGTAGAATTCTTGAGTGGAAATAGGAATTTGCAGATGAGTTCTTGCAACTTAGATTGGATGCATATTTGAAGGTGGAAGCCATTTTTTCCAATAATTTCAGCAGTCTGAACAAACAGACAAACAGGTTTGAGAGCAGTTCTGTGGGAAAAGAGAACTGTTGAATTTAGAGGTACACTGACCTGTGCTTGATCTGCTTTCTTCTCCCTTCCCAAGTCAGATCAGAGAAATTTCCTAAACAAAACTATTTCTTTCTGAGCTGCCTTTCTTCCCAGCAACTCTAAACTTTAAAGCACTAACTGCAATTTAACAAGTTCAGTTTTATGACTTAGATTAATAAATGGAACTTTCCAACCAGCTTGTGCTGCTATATGAAACTGACCAGACCCTAATCAGTTTCACACAAAAGGTTTCCTTTTGTCTCCCAAGTGCAACCAATGTTTGCCATTCCTTTTGAAGCGTGTTCCCCATTGCCTACTTATTCTCTTATAATCCCGTTCTGTCCAATGGATGTAAATACAAATTTCAATTTTCTTCTTGTTAATGATCAGAGCTTTCATGATCACATGGTCACGTGCATTCCAAAGGGCAGGAGAGTAGAGAAAGGGACTGTAACATTTGCCTTTTTACCTAGCTATCTTGTGAGTTGAGTTCCCGGGAACATTCCCCACCATTTGGGTTCCCAGATATCTTTGGGGATGTTTCCTTCTGATGCTGTAAAGCAAAGCTGAAGTAAAACCCTAATAACTCACGTTTATGTGATTTTTCACTTAGCTTCACTCGATGACCAGGTCATCAGTACCAATTGTGGTTGCTAAATGAGGACTACCTATATATGCATCATATGGAACATATACTTGCTCAACAAGGAACTATCCGTCAAGGGAAGAGTAGGAAATAGATGGGTAAAAAATAATGAGCTGCCTCTATACTTGATTCTTGACGGACTAAAAGAAAAGATGAGCACTCAATGTTTCTTTCCAAACTCCTGGCTATTTGCGCAACTTGCCCTATGAATTTTAATGACATTTAAATTTAGGCAGCCTACTTTTAGCAGTAGCATGTTTGTCCATGGATGTTTTCCAGGAAGTACTGACCATGTTTTGGAGACTAGTGGATCATACTTAACTGTTCCACAAAAGGCTTATCATCTCTAATATTGATTTAAAGCAGAGGTTTCAAACTCAATTTCATTGAGGGCCGCATCAGAATTCTGTTTGGCCAGTGGGGGGGCATGGCCAGCTCAACCAGCCTGAGTGGCGTAGGAGGCTAATGCCTCCTACTAAGGCAGCGTTTAACATCCAGCTGCCTGCAATTACTGCGAGTTCAATTCTCACTAGGCTCAAGGTCGACTCAGCCTTCCATCCTTTCTAAGGAGGGTAAAATGAGGACCCGGTTTGTGGGGGCAATAAGCTGACTTTGTATAAAATATACAAAAGTATGAAGGCTATTGCTTAACGCATTGTAAGCCGCCCTGAGTCTCTGGAGAAGGGCAGCATATAAAAATAAAATAAAATAAAATAAAATAAACATCACTCGTGTCCGGGGTACCTGTGGTGGCCCAAGCACTCTTCCAGTGAAAACGGGCTCCCGAGCTCAGTTTTCGGCTGTGACAGCCTCCTGCAACCCTCTGCCAGTGAAAACGGAGCTCGGGAGGGCTGCACATGGCTCCCTCCCAAGCTCTCTTTTTGCTGGCAGAGGCACCGCGGGCCGATCCTTCATTGTTTCCACGGTGGCCCTGCAGGCCAGATCTAAGCAACCTGCAGGCCAGATCCGGCCCCCAGGCCTTGAGTTTGACACCCCTGATTTAAAACATTCATATCCTACAAATAAGGGGACGCAGTGGCTCAGTGGCTAAGACACTGAGCTTGTCGATCAGAAAGGTAGGCAGTTTGGTGGTTCGAATCCCTAGCGCCGCATAACGGAGTGAGCTCCCGTTACTTGTCCGACCTTCTGCCAACCTAGCAGTTTGAAAGCATGTAAAATGCAAGTAGAAAAATAGGGAACCACGTTGGTGGGAAGGTAACAGCGTTCCATGTGCCTTCGGTGTTTAGTCATGCCAGCCACATGACCACGGAATTGTCATCAAACAGCGCTGGCTCTTTGGCTTAGAAACGGAGATGAGCACCGCCCCCTAGAGTCAGGAACGACTAGCACATATGTGCGAGGGGAACATTTACTTTTACCTTATCCTACAAATTAGCCTCAAAGCTGGAAGAGCTATTCACATTATGATAAAAACCAAGACTGTTCCTGATCTGAAGCATATAAAATAAGTCAAGTTACTATAATGATAAAACAGGAGAATACATTTGCATACATAATATAGGTTCCTTAACTCCTCCTTCTGCTCTCTCTGAGTTACTTTTCTGTTTATAGACAAGAAGTAAAGGATGGAAACTAATCAAGGAGAGATCCAATCTAGAATTAAGGAGAAATTTCCTGACAGAACAATTAATTAGTGGAATGGCTTGCCTCCAGAATTTTTGGGTGCTCCATCACTGGAGTTTTTAAGAAGAGATAGCCATTTGTCCAGAATGGTATAAACCGTCTCCCTGCTTGAACAAGAGGTTGGACTAGAAGACCTCCAAGGTCCCTTCAACTCATTCTGTTATTTTTCTTGAGCCAAGCAGCCGAGTTCCAAGCAAGATGTCCACCCATTATTTTTATTTTAATCCTTTCACCTGCGGATATCATTGATAAATATTCAGAGAGACTGTCTTGGAAATAAAAACGATGGCAATTTATTTTGTTGTGTGTGTGTAAATACATATATACACAGGCATACATACCCTTTCTAAAAGTGACAAGTTGGTTAGGTTTAGTTAGTTTAGTTTATTTGATTTATATACCGCCCTACTCCCGAAGGACTCAGGGCAATGAACAGCCACAAGATAAAAAACACATAAATAAAAAATTTAAAAACAGAATAAAACCGAATTAAACAATTTGGCCAAAGACAGATTTAAAACACCCCAATAAATTAAAAACGAATTAAAATTTATGTTTTAAAAAGGAAAAAAGGGAAAAATTAGGCCAGACCAGCCTGATGGAATAAGCTAAATGGGATCTGGGCTGTTACTTTGAGTGTTTTTTTTTTTAATTTGATTTATATGCCGCCCTTCTCCGGAGACTCAGGGCAGCTTACAATGAGCTAAGCAATAGCCTTCATTCTTTTGTTTATTTATACAAAGTCATCTTATTGCCCCCACAACTGGGTCCTCAATTTACCTACCTTAAGAAAGGATGGAAGGCTGAGTCAACCTTGAGCCTTGGCGAGATTCGAACCTGCAGTAATTGCAGGCAGCTGGTCTTAATAGCCAGCTTAATAACAGGGTGCCTTAGACCACTATATTACCAAGGCTCTTGTTGAAACAATTCAATATTTTTTTTAAAGAAAAGAATTAAAAGTCTTGAGATTGATCCTTGGTGATTACATGGAGAGATCGATATTAAAGTTTTTGACGACAATATGGAAATAATTTTCCTTTTAAGGATTTTCCCCCCCAACTTTCCAGTCCAATACTTTGGGTAGTTCATGTCTACCCAAAGTTCTAACCAGGTTTAACCCCACTTAACATTGTTCAGGATTAGCCAAGGTCATTGGATACTCAGACTCTCCTCCGAAGAAACTGGGGATTGTAAGAAATAGAGCACAGAAAAACAAAAACAGCCCTCACAAATCTGTTTCAGGAAGTGATGAGAAGAATTACGCAGCCGTGCCCAGAGGCAGCCAAGAGGATTACAACTTGGGAGCACAAATGTGATGAAATGAAGGATGTGTGACTTCAACGCATGATCTGCGGCCTTCTGACATATGTGTGTGTCATGCATTCCTGGGTGTTTAAAAAACAGTTGAGGAGAAGGAAATGTGAAAAGACTCCACCTACTTATTTATTTGTAGTATGGCACATTCACATTTTGATAAAAAAAACACAAGAGATCAAAATACAAAAGATGAAATCTAAAATAATACAAACGTATGTCTAGATCACGGGTATAATTTTTTTTTGCTTCGTTTGTCACCGCCAGGAAATCGGCAAAGCCTCCATTACAGGCTCTGTTTTGGCACTTGGACAGTTTGTTTTTCAGCCCCACAATCGCAATTTGGTGACAGTATTTCGCGGCTTTTCCAAATGCAAACAAATGCACCTATCACGCTATTCCTTTTCAGAGCAAGAAAAATTATGCAAAGTAGAGAAAACAGCCAGAGGTAAAAGAGGATGACTAAAACAGGTTTGTATCAATGCCGTTCACTATACTGTTCCATGAGTTTCTGTTCTGGCAAACTGCCATGTCCATAGAGAATCTCATTTATAGATAGTCCTCAGAACTGTTTAAGGACAGTCTGAAGCTATGATACCCTTGGAAAAAGTGACTTCTCACCAGGAGTGAAATGCTCCCGGTTTGGACCGGATCATCCGATCCGGTAGCGATGGCGGTGGGTTCAGAGAACCGGTAGCAAAATTCCCTGCGTCCCCCACGCCATGCCCAGCTGAGCCGCGCGATCATCAGAGGCTTTTTAAAAAATTTTTAAAGGCATTTTTTCTACAACC